GATTGGGGCCCAGGAGAGGCGGAAGAAGATCCGCTCTCTGTCTCTCTCGATACGGTATAACCGAGAAAGAGGCAGCACCGGAAACGGCAGAGATAGACTAAGATATGTGCAGTATCTATTGTTCCTACATGATAATCCATGTTCGTCTTAAGAGAATTGATCGTGTGGGAAAATACTCTTTATCAAGAGACCATTGGTCCCAATAGAGCTCTACTCCAGACGGAGACTCCCGATTCTAGAACCACATCGTATGTCTCAGCATGTCTCATGGTAGAAGTGGATATTATCCCCTTGACAAATTCTATCAGCCATCACATAATTGCCCAAATATCCCTAGAAGCTCTATACAAGAAGGCCGTCCACTCGGCCGAGCACGACACTCGAAATTAAAAGAAAAGCAACGAAAAGAAAGGAAAAGAAAAGAAGAGAAGAGAAGACATCCAGGTCGGGAATCAGACGCACTCAAATAACGCCATCTCTGTCCGTGCGGTGCTGTATACAATGCCGGCCGTCTACTCCGGTGGCTCAATCATCTCCGCCGATGGCCGTGCATCAGCTTCCGAAGCCGCCTCGGATTCCGTGCTCCATTCCTTCTCCGAACTCGCCTTACTCGACTGCGTCGGGAGCTGAGCCGGCGCGGGAATGACTCGGACACCACCAGCCCGCGTGAAGAAATCCTCCGTTCGGAGTCCGCGAACATCCTTCGGATCGACAGACGTCATCTGCTGTCCATCTGACTTCTTCTGTCGGATCAACTCCCGCACGGGCACCATCGCCGCATCGCGACACGCTTCCTTGATATCACTACCGGACATGCCGGCCATCGCCTTGACCAGATAATGGAGGTCGAAGTTCTCACGGTCGATCTTCGTGTCCTTGAGAATCAAACTGAGAATGCGGAGTCGCTGAGCCGCCGGCGGAAGCACGACGGGGAACTTCTTCGGCATCCGTCGCAGAATCGCTTCGTCGATATCCTGAATGCGGTTGGTGGCGCCCAGCACGACCACTCGCTGGGGTTCACCGAGCGAATTGGCCGAGGTCAGTCCGTCCCAGTGCGTCATGAACTCGGCCTTCACCATCCCGCTGGCCTCGTGCTCTCCGCTCCGTCGCGTGCCAAGAACAGCATCGATCTCGTCGATGAAGACGATCGATGGCTGCAGCTTCCGGGCCAGCGAGAATACCGCGTTCACCAGCTTATTCGAATCACCGTACCACTTCTCCGTCAGGGTAGAAATATGCAGATTGATAAAACAAGCGCCACTTTCGTGGGCTAGCGCCTTGGCGAGCATGGTCTTTCCGCACCCCGGAGGGCCGTACAGGAGGACACCCGACGGAGCGGTCAGAAGCGACGACGTTGAGGCGTACAGGTGCGGCATCGTAAGGGGGTATATGACGGATTCTTTGAGCTCCTCGATAATCTCGTCCAGGCCACCAATGTCCTCGAACGAAACGGCAATGTCGTCAGGGGCGACAACGTCCATGGCGATCGCCTGTTCATATTGGTTCAGAGTGAGCTCGCCGCGTTTCTGTCGCCGACCGCGCTTGCTACTGTTACTGCCACCTCGTCGGGGCGATTCCTCCTCGGACTCGTCGCCACCGTCGAGTCTTCGTAGAATGGCAGCGGACTTCCGACGCTGTTCCTCTTTCTTCTGGCTCTCGGGATCGAAATCAAGACGCGAGAGGAGATAGCGAATGAGAAAATATGCTGAAGCTGACTGTGAGGAAATATTAGCGTCGTCCGCGTAGTCATTTAGTTTCTGTCTGCGGTGGGAGACGTACTGTGCCCGCTACCATGACCAGCTCTTGTAGGAACTGCTGCCACCGGGGGCCGCGCGCTGAAGCCATGACGAAAGAGGGTCAGGTGCAACGGCAATGACCGGTCAGACAATAAAAAGAGTATCGTGTCAGATGGTGACCCGGCCAGACAAAGACAACGAAGACAGCAAGCGATGAGATAGAATAAAATTGCTTGAGTCGGTGATGATGGGAGACGTCAGTTCGGCTGTCGGCGAGTCGCAGGTGTGGCGTTCCATGAGTGGCTTTGCCGACGGTGTCACATGTTCCGCCCGACACGCGGTTTGTTGTGGTAGTAGTCTGTACTCCGAATGCCTCGACCACCATTATTAGCGCACATCATCAACCACACGCCTACCGAGGTATATATACCAGATTCATCCAATATGCCCAAGCGAAAAGCGACCTCCAAACTCTCCGGTCTCATTGGTTCCGACGATGAAGATTTGATGCAGGTCAATGGCGTGCAGGAACGCGACAGCGAACCTCCTGCAAAGAAACAGAGAGGTCGCCCCCGGTCAAAGTCGGTTGAAGGGAAACAGCCTGCAGCCCAGAACAAAAGAAATACTACTGCGCCCACGACGGGAGAGCCTGCGACGAGAAAGTCGACGCGCCGAGGGAGACCCAAGGGGAGCCGCAACTCGGGACAGTCGGACGTGCAGGAGATTGTCGAAGAAACACAAGATATGGGAGGATACGTGCAGGAGGATGCGCCCCAGGATTCGGAACCAGCGCCCATTTCCAACGATGAGCTAGACGGTCCCCAGAATGTTCGCCGACCCGTGAAACCTACAAAAACAACGAAAGCGACAGGCGCGCGTCGCGGGCGCAAACCCAGCATCGAGAAACAAGTCAAAACGGATGGTGAATTTGAATATACGCCGACGAGTGCTCGGCAAGCGAAAGCCGCGGTGAACGCGAAGGCGAAGCCCGAGCCCAAGGGGCCGCGACGGAGAGCTGAGACCGAGTCCGATCATGATATGTCAGAAGCCGAGGAGCCAGCAGCGGAAGTCGTCGATGAGACTATGATGGATGAAGATGTGAACGAGCGCCGAATCTCCTTCGCATCCCCAACCAAGCGCAATTATTCAATTGGACGGACGTTGCAAAGCTCCCCGTCGAAGAGGGCGCTCGGTGCGGGTGGGGAAGAAAAGCCTACAGAGCCTGAATTGCGACGGCGAATTGGAGAACTGACCAAGAAGTGCGACACCTTGGAGAATCGGTATCGGAACCTGAAGGAGATCGGGGTTGTGGAGGCGAACGCCAATGCCGAGAAACTCCGTAAACAGTGCGAGGCAATGACAAACGGTATGTGCATACAGAGGGGTTTTATCTAGCACCTGCTAATTAGTGTAGCTTCCAACAATTTGATTGCTTCTCTGAAGTCTGAATTGGAAGCCCAGAAGGCTCTTGGCCAGCAGAGCCGTTCGCTCCAGAAACACCTCAAGGAGCGCGACGCCGAGGTCGCCCGATTGCAAACTCAAGTCGAAGAAGCAACCTCGCAGCTCTCTTCTGCACAGTCGGAAGTCAAGGCGTTGCAGACCAAGCTTGCTGCCGCACGAAACACTGCTGCGAGCCTTGAGAATGCGGCCCTGAAGGTCCCGGGCAGCGCCGTCAAGGGTGGTAATAACCGCGCCAACGCTGCCGCGAGTGCCGAAGCTGCCTACGCCGCCCAATTTGCGCAATTGAAGGAGGATCTTTACAGTGACCTGACGGGTCTCATCATCCGTGATGTCAAGCGCAACAGGGACGATAACATATACGATTGTATCCAAACGGGTGTCAATGGAAGTGAGTTTCTCATCAGACATATGTTCCTTGACCATATATTGACTCAAACAGCCCTCCACTTCAAACTGGCAGTTCCTAATGTGTCCTCCGCCAACTTTGAGTCGGCCGAGTTCCAGTACATCCCTCTTTTGGACGAGAACAGAGACCGGGAATTGGTTGATATTCTTCCCGAATACCTCACGGTGGATATCACGTTTGTCCGCCAGCAAGCCTCCAAGTTTTATACTCGAGTGATCGACGCGCTTACGAAGCGACGGGCTAGTCAGGCCAATTAGTCGGTGGCCTTTGTTTTGAGTTCATTTTGCATGACATTTAGGTGCATCTGGGAGGTTGGAGTTGGTCTGGAAATTTCCTTGGATAGGTGCCTAGTAATCATTATGCTGTTGACTGCTATAAAAAGCGAGGTACTCCACAGAAAGTACCCCTTACCTATGTAGTGTATGGTGTAGGTACCTACCACCCAGGTACCTACGTAAGTACCTGGTGCCACAGTGGGCGGTCCCGATTGGTTGCGGATCCCCCCAAGTTCCCCAATTCAGGAACGCGGAAAAGAACAACCTTCATCGACCTTGGAAGCTGTCATCACCTTTCTCCGTCGTCTCGAGGATGCTGCTGTCGTTGTCAGCAATTCCCTTTTTCTGTTCTTGATTGATCTCTTCTCTTTCATGGTTGTGTTTATTTTCCTACCATCTTCGTAATTCTTGTTCTTCTCGTCCCTCCTTTCCGCACCTCCTGACCCTGACCACCGCTCAATTGAACCTCCCAGCGGTAAGAAATCATGGCGCGTCTCGGTCGCGTTGGGTTTCTCACCATCGCGGTGGTCTTCCACCTCATCTATTCCTATTCGATCTTTGATATATACTTTGTCAGTCCGATCGTGAACGGAATGAGGTCGTACCGCGTCGAGCGGGAACCCGGAGTCGAGGCGCCGGCCAAGCGGCTTGTCCTGTTCGTCGCGGATGGTTTGCGCGCCGACAAGGCGTTTCAAGCATTGCCAGATCCAGATGAACCGGCGGATTCCACGCACACTGACCCAATCTACCTCGCACCGTTCATCCGATCCCGCGTCCTTTCCCACGGCACCTTTGGCATTTCGCATACTCGAGTCCCCACCGAGTCGAGACCCGGTCATGTGGCGCTGATCGCTGGGTTATATGAGGATGTCTCCGCAGTGACGACGGGATGGAAACTGAACCCGGTGAACTTTGACAGCGTGTTCAATCGGAGCCGACACACCTGGAGCTGGGGCAGCCCGGATATCCTGGCGATGTTCAAGGAGGGCGCCGTCCCCGGTCGTGTCGATGCGGACATGTACTCGGAGGAGGAGGAGGACTTCACCTCGGATGCGAGAAAACTGGATATATGGGTGTTTGACAAGGTCAAGGAGTTGTTTGCTGCGGCGAAGAAGGACCCGGAATTGGATGCGCGACTGCGGGAGGACAAGCTGGTCTTCTTCTTGCATCTTCTCGGAATCGACACGACCGGACACTTTCACCGACCTTACTCAAAGGAATACCTGCGGAACATCAAGCTGGTGGACAGTGGAGTCAAGGAGATTACAAAACTGGTTGAGGACTTCTATGGAGATGACAAAACGGCGTTTATCTTCACGGCGGACCACGGAATGAGTGATTGGGGCAGCCATGGGGATGGTCATCCTGACAATACTCGAACTCCGCTGGTGGCTTGGGGGTCTGGTGTGGCCCGTCCCGAGTACTACGAGGGTGACGGTCTATCCGGCCACGAGGATGGAGTTTCCGCGGATTGGGGTCTGGAGAGTGTTCGACGCCATGACGTTGCCCAGGCCGATGTTGCCGCGCTCATGGCATACCTGGTGGGCCTTGACTTTCCCACGAATTCTGTCGGTCAGCTGCCTTTGGAGTACCTCAAGGCTAGCCCGGAGGAGAAGGCATCCGCTACTCTTGTCAATTTGAAGGAGGTTCTGGAAATGTACCGCGTCAAGGAGGAGCAGAAAAAGGCGGTGCTTCTGCGATACAAACCATTTAAGCCCCTTGCAGGCACGTCGGCTATTGAAGCACAGCTTGAGGAGATAGAATCCTTGATTGCGAGCGGCTCTTACGACGACTCCATCGAGAAATCGTCCGCTCTATTGGCTACGACCTTGGAGGGTTTGCGATACCTCCAGACGTACGACTGGGTCTTCTTACGTACGATTGTTACCTTTGGATATCTGGGATGGATTGCATACGCTTTGACGACGGTCATCGATTTGCACGTCCTACGGGGCGTATCTGACTCGAACCGCACACTGACCAGCACGATCTTCTTCTCTTCCATCCTTGTTGCGCTCTTCTCGGTTCTGGTGTACCAGAAATCTTCTTGGCGATATTATTTATACGCCGCATTCCCCATCTTCTTCTGGGAAGAAGTCTTTGCCCGTCGGAAAGCCCTTGTTGCTGGACGTGAGATCCTATTGGGCCATGTCAGTTCGGCTAGCGGCTATATCACGTTTGGGGCTCAATTATTGATGTTTCTGGGCGTGTTGGAGGCATTGGTAAGTGCTGATGTGGATATGCTGTGGACGACAGCTGATGGTCTTGCAGGTCCAATCCTATTTCCAACGAGAGATTTACACTGTCTGCTTCATCCTGGGCGCTTTCTGGCCACTGGCGTACGGAACAGGATTCCTGAAGAAGAACAAGCTACTGTGCGCTTCATGGACTGTGGGGTGTCTTCTGATGAGCACCTTCACTCTACTTCCCGCTGGGAAAACCGAGGACATTAATATGATGTATGTGAAGTCTCCCGACAGTCTTCCGATCTTGGATGGCGACGCTGACTTATGCCGATGCAGAACGGTTGGGGCTCTGTTGATGTTCTTCACCGGCCTCCTCTATCTGCTGCTCGAGGACGATATCCTGGGGCAGACGGCAATCTCCAGCTGTGGATCGCGCACTGTTATGGGCATTCAGGTATGTCCCTCCTCCACAGGATGTTGTTGACCGATATGCATCGATATCCTAGAAGGGTAGCGTACTCCACATGGTCTGAGCGAAACTGATCGTCTGTCGTAGGTCGGAATGGTCCTGCTAGCCCTAGTAGTGACGAGATCTAGTGCCGCATCTCTGCAAGCGAAACAGGGTCTTCCCTTTGGTAATCAAGTGGTCGGATGGTCTATCCTAGGTAAGATTACAGGATCTTCCTTCGGGACTTATTGCCCCTGGAGGTCGCATGCAATTTCGGCATTTACTGAGTAAACTTCCTTGTAGTTGCTTCGCTTCTGCTGCCGTTCCTGCACCGGCTGTACCCCAACAGCCACTACCTGCACCGGTTGATGGTGATTTTCCTCACCTTCTCGCCGACTTTCATCATCCTCACCATTTCATATGAGGGGTTGTTTTACTTTGTGTTTTGCATGACGCTTATCACATGGGTCCGCTTGGAGCATGCCATCTACGTGAACACTGCCGCCCCTCGGGTCGTGCAGGGCTCTGCTGCAGGGTCAGATACTGTCACCGCGAAGAAGCCCGCCACGAAAGCCACCACGGTCGTGGAAGGCCACGCGTACGGATATCGCACGCTTAGCGTTTCAGATGCACGTGTGGCACTGTTCTTCTTCTACCTCCTCCAATCCGCCTTCTTCAGCACGGGCAACATCGCGTCGGTGTCGTCCTTTTCGATGGAGAGTGTCACCCGGTTGATTCCGGTGTTCAATCCTTTCGCGCAAGGCGCCCTGTTGATTCTGAAGCTGCTGATTCCGTTTGCGATCATCAGCGCGAATCTGGGGATTTTGAACCGGCGCCTGGAGGTCGCGCCGAGCGCGCTGTTTATGGTGGTGATGTCCATCTCGGACGTGATGACGCTGAACTTTTTCTACATGGTGCGGGACGAGGGCTCGTGGCTGGACATTGGCACGACGATCAGTCATTTCCTGATTGCCAGCTTACTGTGCACGTTTGTGGCGGGGCTGGAGTTTTTGAGCGAGGCTTTTGTTGGAGGCGTGGAGTTTGGCTCCGTGGACGCTGCTGTGACGGCGACGAATGGAGTGGTGGGGAATGGACGTGCCACGAAGGGAGAGGGCAAGTAGGCCATTGAGGCTTTGTATATTTGAATCTTTCATATAGAGTAATTGATGCATGGCGGCGTATGTTAATACTATAGATTTTTTGCTTTACAGATCAGTCTGGTGTACGGAAGAGATGGTCGAATGGCAGTGATGTGGACTGATCAGGAACTGGTCATCCCGAGAAGATCCTTTGTGATCAGACTCAGGCACTAGCTGGGTAGCCATGCATGATATATTCCTTTGTCTATATTTATCAGGGGATGGTTTTCTATGGCGGTGAAGCCAAAAAATCCTTTGATGAACATACAATAGGCAAGGACGAAACAACCTCGGCGTCACAAGCTTGCCAGGCCATGACATGACGCCAGCGTTGGCGGGGCAGAGCCTGGACCACAGAGTGACTTGGCTGGAACCAGGGGGGACGATCGTTTGGTCAGGAAGGACAAGGGAAGTGTCGCGATTCCCAAGGTAGGGTAGGGTAGGGTATGGTGGAGTGGGGATGGTGTTGCGGGGAAAGCAACCGAGCGGTTGGAACTGCGTCATCCGGGTTCGGCCGGCTGTAGAAGATACTAGTACGGAGTAGGAGTAGATACGGAGATACGAGCACCTACTCCATAGATGGAAGAAGGAGGGAGAGGCTAAGAGTGGTGACGTTGTGCGGGGAAGATCCTAACCCCAGACGGAAAGGAATGCGAGGGAGGCTCTTTCGGAGGGACGGTTATAAGTAAGGTATAGTAAAGTATTTCTTCAGGTGATGTGTGTAGTTCTGTGCCTGACATGATATATTCTGTCAATGACATGGTGATGGAAAACAAGATTCCGCATCTCCCCGTATGAGTGTGGCTGGAGTGCGGAGAAAACCCTGTAGATGGTGCAGGAGCTGAACCAGTTAGATGAGGATGGTGGTGTTGGATGTGCAGGATCCGGGGAGGGGAAGAGATGAACGGACGGCGTCGGAAGGTATCTCCGCTGGATGATTTTCTAGTCGGTTTTGCTTTTGGTTTTGCGTTTCTTGTAGTTTACTTCCTGATGCTGGGGGACCTTTGGGTCCAGATGGAGACCGTCATGGGACCAAACGGTGGATTGGGTCGGCGGACTAATGTTTCAGATGGATCTTATTTGGATCGAATACTTCAGTCAAAGGCGCGGATCGTGCTGTAGAATATCAATTAACGAGTACAATATCTAAAGTCATCCGTGTTGCAAGGGAGATATGGTGTACTCGATGTCTGACAGTGGAAATGTAGATGAGTCAGCTCAGTGGAGGTCACCAGAAGCTTAAGTGGGATTCATAGTGAGACATTCGAGGTCTCGACACGACTATGAGGATTGGGGGCGACTATTGATGATGATCATATCATTTAACCTCCTGCATTGACAGATATGTTGAGGTATATACCACGGAGCGTATCTATACCCAAGTCATGACACTACTCCAGAGTATGTACATCGAGTCCATACTATCCCGACTGATGTGAAACGCCAGATCAAGTGCATGGGAGACTCGGAATCCTCGCTAAAGCGGACCCTGGGGATCCTCTCGCCCAACCGGCTTCTCCACATCGCCGTCTAGACGATCCTCAATTGTTAGGTAGGGATTATTATTAGGCGCCTCCATGGACGGCGATGATGGTTACCTGTTCATAATCATACTAATGCCAGTCACCATTTGCCACTCCCCGCCCCCATAGTCTCCCATCTTTTCTACAGTAGTAAGAGGATTATTACGGAGTACTACCGTTTCCTAATTAGTCTTGACCCAGACAAAACTCCCGTAGGAAAATCCCCTAACTTTTGCCGTTCCTGGTGGCTCCCCCCTCCTGTCAGACTTCCTTCTCCTCGCCTCGTGCCTTACCTGTTCCGTCCATCCCTCCCCCTCGTGAACTTTCCAACCATCTTACTCTTACTACTACTCTCTCTTCTTATTACCACCTATTATTCTGACTATTTCCCCAGTTTCCATCCATCTGCCCAATAGAAAATTCAGGAAAAAGAGAAAAACACATCGGGCAAAAAAGAAAGAAAAAAAAAGAAAAAACGTTTCTTTCTTTTCTCGTTCTCTGCCTGGTATTCTCGTGCTTCTTCATTTCGCTTCTCTTCTCCTCCGTGGCCTTTCATAAGAGACCGTATTTTCGTTTCTCCTCTGCTCTCTCCGCCCGTCCCAAACTCCCCGGTCTCCCTCGCCCCCGTCGCTTCGTCGCCTCGGTCGCTACTCCTCCTCTGCATGGATACATTTGGCCATGAGCACGACCGGTGAAAATCATACAGACTCTACATCCAGACCTAGCCCGGCCCCCAGTGCCACGGGCTCAACGGGGACCTCAGGAATCACGGTGCGAGCCGGCCCCAACGGACACATGAGTTTCAGAAGGTGCGTTTTCATTGTCTCTTTGGCTTTTTTTCTTCCAGTCGAATCTCAGGATGCGATTCACGTCGCGTTAATTCTCTCCCTCTGCGTTTTCTCCCCTATTCGGGTCGCGGGGCCGTCGTGGCCATGAGGAGAATGCGCACGAGGGGCGATGCAGAATCCCCGGGAAACCCGGGGATGCGCATCACGGTCGAGGGAGAAAGAAAAATTTCGGTCGGAGAGAGTTTACAGAGGTTAAGATCATTTATCTAATCGGTGTTTAAAACAGGCAACGTGCGTCGCGCGCTTGTGAGGTACGTTTCTCCTCGTTCTGCTGAGGTCGACGCGACCTGTGTGTTGCGAGCCTCGGCACCTCGGCTCACCACAGCTGCTGCACCATGCGTGATTCAGCTGCGGATAGCCGCTACACAACGACGCTGAGCATCCCATCCTCTATCGAATTAATGAAGCTGACCTAGTTCTTTCTTGAATACAGACGTGCCACGCTCGTAAGGTATGAAAAATTTTTTTTCACTTTTTACCCTCACTGTTCCCTGTTTCGCCGACCGAACGCCCCTGCGGAGCCACGCCACTAACCAACTCTCCACTAGGTTCGTTGCGATGCCGCCAGTCTAGGCGTGCCATGCACCAACTGCGTGGCCTTTTCCATCGAGTGCAAGATCCCCACACCGAAACGCAAAAAGAATCAGAACAAATCGAAGGAGACGAGCGGGTATGTAGTCGAGGGTGGAATCTCGCGGATGCGACCGGTGCTGATGATTCGTGCCCAAATAGATCCGAAGCGGGCAGCGAGAGGCCCCCGACAAAGCAGGAAGAAGAAGCCCCCGCAGCAGATGGCAAGAATGCCTTTGGGTACCGCAGCAATCGCATGGCTGTCGACGGCATGCCCGTCACCACCCTGTCCGATCAGCAGGTCGCCGAACAAGCTTCTCAAAATAACACCTATGCCCAGTTCATGAAGCCCAAGTTCGCCCGCGCCCCCATAAAGGAAGCCGGGGAGGGTCGCCTACCTGGGCGAGTCGTCGAATCTGTCGCTCCTGGTGCAGGATCGCCATGGAACGACCGATGTCGTGCACTACCCCCCTTCCACATCCGTGGCTCGCGCTCCCGATTGACAGACTTGGATAACCTGGAGTTGGATATACTACACCAACGTGGTGCATTTCTGCTGCCACCCAAACCGCTGTGTGATGAGCTCGTCGAGGCCTACTTCAAATGGGTTGCCCCTGTCGTTCCCATCGTGAACCGCAGTCGCTTCATGCGCCATTATCGGGACCCCAAGAACCCACCATCCTTGCTTCTTCTCCAAGCGATTCTTCTGGCCGGATCGAGGGTCTGCACCAACCCCCAGTTGATGGATGCGAATGGCTCGACCACCCCTGCGGCCATGACTTTCTACAAGCGCGCAAAGGCGCTGTACGATGCCAACTATGAAGACGACCGTGTCACCATCGTTCAGGCTTTGGTTCTCTTGGGCTGGTACTGGGAGGGCCCGGAAGGTGGGATCCCCATGAGGATGTGGTTCGAAGATGTAAACGGCGCTGACTCGAATAGATGTCACGAAGAATGTGTTCTATTGGACTCGGGTGGCCATGGTTGTGGCCCAGGGATCCGGCATGCATCGGAGGTATGGCGTCGCATGTCTTTCGCCTTTACATATCTAACTGTTCTCTAGCGTGGAAAGCTCGCAGCTGAGCAAGCCCGACAAGCGACTGTGGAAGCGCATCTGGTGGACCCTCTTTACGCGAGATCGATCGGTTGCGGTCGCCCTAGGACGTCCCATTGGCATCAACACAGACGACTCGGATGTGGGCATGTTGACCGAAGACGATTTCATCGAGGACGAGATCGACATTGCGGCCGAATATCCCCCGGATCCCGTGCATGTGCAGTTCTTCCTCCAATACGTCAAGCTTTGTGAGATCATGGGTCTTGTCCTATCGCAGCAGTACTCGGTGGCATCGAAATCACGAAGAATGAACGCTATGGACCTGACGCACTCGGACATGGCACTGGCCGATTGGCTGCAGAATTGTCCCCAAAGAAGTCTGCTGGCAGCGATCGCGGCACCACTTCTGGGCCGCGCTTCTCCACGCAAACTACTAGTAAGTTAAACCACCCGGGCGGCTCTCACCACGTCTTTAACACCTGTGCAGCACCACGCTATGTCTCCTGCACCGGGCACACATGCCACCGGCGTCTTCTGTTCCCAGCAGTTACCGCGTGGAGGAGATGGCGTACCCATCACGCACCATTGCCTTCCAAGCCGCCGGAATGATCACTGCCATTGTCGAGAATCTGCAGACGCACCAAGAAATACGCTACACCCCGGCCTTCATGTATGTGCCCGCCCACCAGTGTGGCTCTTCTGATACTCACCAAGTGAACAGTGTCTACAGTCTTTTCTCGGCTTTGATTATGCACGTCTATCAAATGCGGTCCTCAGTGCCTACCATTGTCGCCACCTGCCAGGAAAGAATCAACATCTGTATGCAGGCCCTCAAGGATGTGTCCAAGGTTTGGCTGGTGGCAAAGATGGTCCACACGCTGTTCGAGTCGATTCTTGGAAACAAGGTTCTGGAAGAGCGACTCCAGAAGGCGGCCGGTAGAAGACACCAGAAAGTCCGGCCGGAGGCCAATCAGCAACAGGCCTTGAGAAGACCCGATCCGCCGCCCAAACGTAAGTTCGACGATATGGATATCGGTCTGCCGAATGGAGGACCAACGCCGCCGGTGTCGTACGAGCGATCACGGCCTCAAACGCCCGCCGTGACGCCTTCCCGGGAATTGAGCCAACCGGGCTTGGGGGTGCCCCAGGCATCCCCCACGGCTCACCGGGACGGAGGCCCTGGCAACTCTCGGGCCAACACCAGACCGACGACTCCCTTCAATGGCCAGTTCTCCCTGCCGGCTACGCCCCCGGATCTATTCCTTGTCACGCGTACTTCTCCCAATCTGTCGCCGTCTCTGTGGGAGAACTTCCAGCCTGATCAGCTATTCCCGGATGGCACCGCGATCTTCCCCGAATTGACCTCTCCCCAGCACAATGCGGTTGATCCCCAGCTACAGATGCAGACTCAGCTCCAGACGCAGGGGATAGATCAGCGGATGATGGGGCAGCCGGTGCCGTCGCGCAGCATGTCAGGGACACAAGGCAGTCCCGAGTTGCTGTCAAGCATGCCTCCGGGCATTCCCTTACAGGGACAGCAACCGCCACAGATGTTTGGCATGGAGCACCAGGGATCGTGGCCGATGCAAGGCCTGGAGGCAACCCTGAGTGCTGCAACCGTGGATCCCGCCAACCAGGATGATAACTGGAGTAGCAGCTCTCGTAGCGGGCCGACCGCGCCCACGACTTTGAACGTTGAGGATTGGTATGTTGGGGTGTGAGACGTGGATTTGTTTTGTTCTTTCATACTGACCGTTGGCTTCTGTGTTTTAGGTTCCAATTCTTCGGCATTAATGGCAGCTTGGGTGAGATGGCGACCTGATGGGAGGCTGGAAGTCCCACATGCGCTATGGTTATGAGTGGATTGCGATGGCTGTACAACATGTTTTGCGTTCTTTTGACTCTTTCCCGGACGGTCACACCGGGGCTCTGCTCGTACGTGTTTAATGGATGACCTGGGTGAGGATTGGAGTCTGGATGGGGGGAGTCTGTATAGCGTTCTGGACCTCGTGCATATTCTAGTCGAGTGATGACACGAAGACTTGTATATAAGGATGGAATGCGAAGACTGTCCATGATATCTCTTTGAAGTTGGCCTACCGCTCTAACTGGCAGCCACCCCACAACAAGCAAAGTCATCATCTGACCAACCCTCCTACGCGCTAAAATTGCAGTGTTGAACAGTACAGCATAATATGCGATACAGTAATGTCAATACAGGCCGTCCTGTACAGGTTGCCAGGGCTTCACCGCCTATACAAAATTGGTATAGTAATCAGCCTCTCCACCTCTGTCGTGTAGTTAGAAAAGATCGGAAATCCTACTAAAAATGGGGTTAAGATAAAAATTCTAAAAGAAGTTAATTTCTCGCTAAATTTAAGATAAATTTGTTAACGTAGAACAGTGGAATGGAACGAGATACCTACTAAGTTAGGTAATTGAAGGAAACGGGTGAGGTTAGTAATGGTAAGGTAAAGCAGGGCGCTACGGTGGCTGCTAGCGACTACCTATGCTGTTCCTTACGTTATCGCATTGCCCACTAACTAGTTGTTTACTGTTCTACCTAAGTACGTACACCAACAGTATTATAAAGGATAAGAAAGAATAACTAACGAGTTAATGTCTTTATTACTTAAGACTCTTCGCTTGTGAGTAGGGTGTTATATCCGTATCGCAGATCTATGGTCTGCTCAGTATCCACTCCACAGGCTCTATAATATAGTCGACTTTAATGCCTTCCCATATACTTATATATATTTTTATGGGGAGTCGAACCATGGTTGTTGCCCCGCAACGGAATTACGTAGACATTTTGCTAAAACTACCTATATATGCGATGCGGCTCAGACGTAGTGAGGCTCTAGGTGGGGACATGACGCACAGAGTAGACTGGTATATTCTCTCAAAGGAGGCCTAGGTTTGTTCCTTTCTCTTTTACTTCTTTTTTCTTTCTTCGTATTTTATTTTTATCAATTACTTTACTTTATTTCCCTATCCATGTTGTTCTTTAATATATCTTCCTGGGATGGCTTATTTTTCTTCACCGTTTGAAGTACGACAAGAGAGAACCAACACATATATATAAAGGGATATGCAAAGCCTAGCTTCCTCCAAAACCCATCTTGCTGAGGCTTAATTTCCGTGTTTGCTGTGAGCACATGTCCTACACGAGAGCACAAGATCAGCGTGCAAGCCCACATCATGTCTTGATATCTGACTCTGACTCACCTCCTCAATGCTCCCCTGGACATAATAGCGGATGACAGATACTGTCTGTTCCTGACCCAGGCGAATGGCTCGTGCAATAGCCTGGGTCTCGACACTAGGGTTCCACTGCGGCTCAACGATGAAAACCCGATTCACCGACTGTAGATTCAATCTGCATCATAGTCAGCTTCTTGTTCTTCTGTCTCACGTTGAGTAGAGTAGCCTACCCCACACCACCGGTTCCCGTCGTCATGATTAGAACAGCAACTGTCGAGGTCGTATTGAATTTGTCAAGTCTTTCTTGGCGCACCTGTGGAGGGGTTTTGCCGTCGATACGTAGGAACAGAATATCAGCCATTCTCAGGTGTTTTTCGACAAGGTCCAGTGTTCTTGTCCAGCAGGAAAAGATAATACTGCATGCAGTTAGCTTGATTTGCACGCCTAGGGTCTGGTACAAGGTACCTCTTCGTAGTATCCAAGCTATCCTGAACATCAGAGACGAGCATATTGATTTTGGAGGAATACCCGTCGGGTTGAAAGACACTGTCGTCACTGCCATCCGCTTCATCACCTGTATTCTCTGATCGAGAAATCCCACCTAAAGAACTGCACAGTGGACAATGCCGATTTTTCTGCAGCCCGTTCGTGACTTGCGAGCAGTCGTCACAGAAAACGTGTTTGCAACCCTCCACAAATCTGCTCGTGCTGCTAGGGCCTATGATAGGCAAGTGCTGTCGACAGCCCATACACCGTGCCACACTGTCCCGGGTGATTGAGCAAATGGCGTCAGTCTCCTCGTGGACCATGTTCCTTCTCGTCCATGAGAACTGGCGCTGGTAGGTTCCATGGTTGCAAAAGCTTCTAAGCTGCAGGTACATCTGGAACATGCCAACTGTCGACCTGACTCCGCGATATTCCCCGGCTTGCTGGACGATAAACCTCTGCATCACCTTCCTAGTCTCCTGGTATTGATGCCGCTCTTCAGGAGTAAAATGGACGACTCTTGTTTCCTCTTGCTGGCGGGGGATATCGACACGTTCAATTGTTCGCCGGATACAGATTGCTTCTAGAAGTAGAGACAGCCGGTGTATGGCGATTTGCTTCGTTTTATGGTCTTCGAATGGGCCCATGATCCAGTGGCGGAATGCACCGTGAGCGTCAAGTGGCTTTATCCGCATAAAGGCCAATAGGGCGCCTAAGTCCATTAATGTGTTCTGGATTGGCGTGCCGGTAAGACACCAGCGAGACCTGGCTGATACACCCAACACTGATCGATAGAACGTCCTGGCCTGATTACGGATAGTATGTGCTATCTATCATTAGTACTGTATGTCTTGAAGGAGCGGTCCGACTCAAGGTTACCTTCGTCCAAAACCACGCGGTACCATTCCACTCCATGCAAAGGGCTGGGGTGACCTCTGTCCTGTTCGATCCCGTATTCCCTTGCGATCGTGTTATAGGTGGTGATGACAATTTCGAACTGTCCAATGTCGGCCAGATGCTGTTTCCTCCCACGTCCATGATATTTCACTAACTTAATGCTGCCATCTAGATGTCTGTCAAAGTCAGCAGAGACTGCGTCATTGATTCCCGGACTACTTACTCCTCTACTTCTCTCATCCAGCTATTGATCAAAACTGAAGAAGGTTAACTCCTGAACGACCAAAAACACTATAATTGACACTTACTGAGTGAAGGAACAATAATTAGAGTCGCTCGGGATCGTTTCTTCCCAAGACCTTCAAGTTGCGGACTTGGCTCAATCGACCATTGATGTGCATCCTCGATTGTCTTACAAATTAGTGCCAGAGTTGTCAGAGACTTCCCCATCCCCATTTCATCGGCCAGGAGTCCACCTCCGCTCTCGTCACTTGGTTCCTGGCGTTTAAATCTGGTTATGGCGTGACGATACCTAGGAGTTGTCAGCTAGCCACGGCAAGATGGGATGGAAATCTAACACACCATGTCTCTCCATCGATGACCTCCGGTTGCCATAGCCGGTATTCCTGGGGAATGTTTCCATTTTCGCGTTGGGTCATGAAATCCAAGGCCTCCTCCTGATGCCTGTGTTTCAGAAGTGACCGACATTAGCACGCCATGTGTGGCTGAAAAGAATGGAAAGAACGTACGGGTACAGTGGTCTTGTCAACCTCTCAACCCCTCCTAGTCGCTGGAGCCCGTCTGCTCTCCGCAGGGAGCCTAAGAGACCCGTGATTGTTTGTTGGAAGTTCTCAGCTTGGTGTAAATTGCCATTGAAAATTTCCGCGGCTTGGGTGTCTTCATCCTCCGTTCCTGACTCATCCATTTTTTCATCAAACTGCAGAAGATGCGGGTTGTCATAGTCTATCCCCTCCCGGAGCTCATTAGGCATCTGCAGATAGAGCTGTTTCTCTGATAAGTCTGCTCCCACTCTGTCGCGCGCAGACGCTGGTCCATAGACATTGATCTCCACCGCGAGCTTGGGGTTTGCCGGACTCAATATTGCGCTCTCCAGGGCGGCGAGGTTGACCACGGCTTCGAATTCTATAGAGGGCAGGTTGACGATGTCTCTTAATGCGTTTGTAATCCCACGGGAGAAGTAGCCCAGTTTCGTACCGTCCAAGAACTGTAGAAACAGGGCTTCCGGCGATTGATGTAGGCAAAAGGTAGATGTATTCTGGAAGCGGGATCCTTCACTACTCCGAAGCTCTCTGACTTTCAAGCTCAAGAGTTGTCCACTCCCAGCCAGCCTTACATTTGCTGGCAGGATCTATTGTCCGTGTACTCAGTGGATATGTCTGAAACATACAAGACTGACAGGAGATATATAACTGACCATACCATAACAGACTGTACGCTCGGAAGAAGAGGCCCCACAATCGATTACCATCGCCACCGGATCCTGCTCTCTTGGAGGTGGCATGAACAAGTCCCACTCCATGTCGTTGGGGGTTGTATGCATGGCCGAGAAGGCATTGCGAGGGGTATGTAAGGCCGGAAGAGGAGAAGTGTATGGCATCGCAGTCAGCCCAAATGGACCGACGGGAGGTTTGTCGGTCCTTGTATTCTACAGCATTAGCTAGAGTGAACCAAATTGTACCCTATGCGTGAAGCCATACCCTGCATCCTCGGTTGGGAAGAGCCGCCTCCGAGCCCAGAGGTGGGGTTCAACGGCGTCGGGTATCTCGTTATCGTCACTCCAGCTTGCAGAGCCGAAGCGCCTTTTGACTGACATGATCACGAAAGAGGTAATCGTGGATGATAGGTTCCCGGTTTCCAGGGTGGGATAGGTATACTCTGCCGCGACGATATCGCAGCGGATTGCGCGGGGAAGGGTCAATCCACACAACGACAGTGAGGCTGAATGAGGCTGAAGAAAATGTTGTACGACTCGCTTGCAGCTTCACCGCCCACTCTCCATATACAAATTCGGTATAGCTACTTGCCCCTGCACCTCGCTTATAACTGCACAGTCGGGAAGAGGTCGAAATTAAGCCTATAATGAGCCCAATTTAGTGGATAGATTCAAATAAACTGGAGTCCCTGGCACAGTGCAGGATAAGCGGTACATTATACAGTATTTCAGACATCTGCAGATTGACGGATTGTCATCAGTCCGCGCTGAACAGACACCTGATTTCCTCTCATTCCCTCGCTTTGCCGTGCTCGAGCCTCTCGTCTAATCGATGATGCAGATCGTTCTTTCATTTATTCCCTAATTCCTTTCTCTTGTCTCATTATAGTTCTCTGAGTAGTGGCATCTTAATTTTGACATTCTTTATCTTCCTGAAAGTCATCAGCCTCAGCCAAGGCCACGCGTTTGGTCTGCAAGCAATTCCATGCGGCTCTCTTTTCTTTTCTCGAAGTTAGTATGGTGGGTCTTCGCTAGCGGGGTCCCGACAGTCTGGTAGCACCGCACTGCAATTTTAGTGCACGGGAGGCGTTGGCGAATCGACGAGTCTCTTAGTCTCTGTGAACGGGCTTCCCAGTCTCAAATCAGTTGCTCCCACTTAGACTGATATTTACTATTTTTTCCATGATAGATTAAGACTGGCCTCCAAGGATGTAAATTGCAGCCTGTGTGGTAGACATGAACGGTTCGTTTTATGTTGCCAAATCCATGCATTCTGTTACCGCATATTGTACTGTATGAGCCCTCTGTGGCTTGATGATAATGAACCAAAGTTATAAGATTGTAATCTCCCTCCCCTCATACGTTGTACAAACATGGGCAAGGCACAGTCCTGTCGACACCCCACATGGGCTACCTCATACATCATTCATTCACTTATGGCACATACGGTCTGCTCATGTCTTCTCACATCATTTTTCCTGGCGAATCTTCTGCCGCAGAAAGAACAGTTGAACGGTTTCTCCCCTGTATGTGTTCGCTGATGCTCTACCAAAATACTCCTCCGGGTAAAGCTTTTGTGGCAGTCGGGACATTTCCATTGCGTCCCAGTCACTGTCCGCCGGTTCACGGGAGCAAAGGAGTCGCTGAGATCGCATTCGTCCGGATGGAAACCTCTCATGTGCTGCGTTAACGCTGTCTTAGAGACAAAGCCCATCCCACCCGTACTGCAGTTCTCCACCGTACAATGATGGGGGCGCTCATGGCTGTTGACATGGTTATCCCGGCTGACGGCACTTTTGAAGCCTTCGTGGAAGTAAAAGCACAGGAGTTTCGAGCAGCGGAAGATGTTCAGGCCGTATTGCATGGCAAGATCCGTCTCTTCCTCCATGGCCATCGACTCGAGTAGTTGGCGGTTTCGTAGCAAGGTTTGCCCAAGCAAGGCAATGCTGACATTGTTTCGAGAAACTATATCCTTCCTTTGTTCAGAGATGATATGACTCCAGACTCTGACCAGGCTCTCATAGAACGGGTAGTATCGAAATGCTCTGCAGTCATGGTAGGAATTGTCCGACATGGAAACGGGACCAAAGGTGTCTGGATAGAATTGTACAAAACCATCCATGATGTGAGTGAGCATTGTGACGAGCTTATCGTCGGCCAGAAAATCGTCCTTTCCCTCGATCAGTTGCTTGACATGCATAAACCATGCTGATATCGCGTAGTCTTGAAATCCAAGGTCGCCTCTAAGCGCATAATGGCGGAGATCCACGTCCGCTATATCAAGATCAAAAATATCGAGCGTAAGGTAGCGTAGACAACGGATGGCAAGATCACATTCAACTGCGGCGATACTAATTTCGCTTTGCTCTGATATGTACCTAAAGAACAGTGAGCATGTCAAGTACTTTACCAGGCACGTATAGGGAACATTATACTCTCTGGCAGTGCTGTGGACGAACTCAACACGGTCTCCATCCAGTATTTGGACAAGGGAGCCGCATATCTTCTGCACATCGTCCCGCAACATGAGATCCATGTTCAGCTCACGAGTCGTCTCCCACCCATCAAGGTCTACGCATAATGCGATTTGGATTTCTGTCCATTTGAAGGGTCGTTTTGAACAGGCGAGCCAGCCAAGGAGTAGCCGCGTGTATGAGAATTGTTCGAAGCTGAGATCTGCTTTCAGGCGCTCCATGATCCGGTTATACCTGTATCACAATCAGTCGCAGGAGTCTCGTCAATTATAAACTAACCCATCACATACGCATCTTTAAGTTGGTTTGGCACATTCGTACTTGTAATTTCGGCGTTGAATCGGTATCGATTTGGCTGCGCTGCTAGATTGCCCATGACCAGTTTTGCAAATAAAAATATGCCTAGATTGTTAGCAGAAAGTCCGGAGAGTTCGTGCAAAGCAGGGAACTTACCATCCGCCCTGCTAGAAACCATGTGTGCAACATCCTGAAGAGTTTTATCGTCGAGTTGAAACTTTTCTAGCTCTCCCAATCTGCGTTGGCAATATTTCTGGATGTCGTCTCGGTTGTGCTCTGCATTTAGATTTAGAACATCTGCAAACTGAAGAACACACTTGATCTCCGGTATAGGTCGACTGAGAATGAGGACGCGAAAAGTCCCAGGTGCCCTTTGATCAAAATTTCGGCACATGTCTCTGAGTGTGTCAAGCAGAAGCTTGCGTTCCGCCGGTGCGCTCTCGTCAATTCCATCTATAACGACGCGTAGATGGCGAGCTCTTTCGCAGAACACATTAAGCACGGTCTTCGCCTTGGAAAAGGCCGATAGGACGGGGCTATCTGAGGTCTTCAACATGTGGTGGCAGTACGGGATCAGCTCAGGCTGTCGTCTGACAAGCTGCAAAAGGAGGGTTCGAAAAATCGCAATGGCTGTATTACGACTCTCGTCCAATTCTTTGCAGTAAAAGTAGGCAGTCACCCAGGCATTGGTCTCTGTGCAAGTTTCGATGATGGTAGACGCCAGGTATGTTTTTCCTATCTCTCTTTGTCAGCGTGCTACGTGGAATGAGCTATCCACATGAGGGCTCACCTGCACCCGGTCGCCCATTGATCCATAACATAGATTGGGGTAGCTGACTGGGCTCCATGGACAACCACTTCTTCACTTGCCCTGTTTCTAGAACCCAGTCTCCTCTACTGTAGGAACGGCTCGGATCGTGATAGAAGCTGTAATGGTCTACTTCGACGTCAATTCCTGGAAGCCAGTCGCGGATTTCGTTGAACCGTTGTCCTTGCTTTTCAACTTCTCTTTCGTTAAAGTCAAAGGTACCCTTCTCCATATCTTTGATGTGGGCATGAATTGCCATACTGTCCGCTTTGTCCTCGATAAGACGTCGATGGGCCCGAATCTGGGATCGAATGTGCTCAAATCTGCGATGGAAGTCGTTGATAAATGGTTTGAAAACATCAGCCAATGCTGCATCGTCATGATTAGCCGATTCGCCTGATAGGGATGGTTCTTGTTCGTGTACCGTTGCCTGAGAAGAGCTTGACCAACCTTGATTGGATATCCAGAATATCTCTGAATAGCAATACAAGGAGCCGCTGTTGAGCTAGGTCGTCCTCGATAGCGTCGCGATGGTGTGCAAAGATAGGCAGATCCCTACCGAGCTTGTCGTAAGTAGACAGTAGTGCATCTAGCCATTCTTGACGATCTTTGGTAATCTGCTCTATGGTTAAGCGCCAAAGTCACATATTATACGCTTGGAGTCATTACCTGAAGTAATAGTTTCGTAGGGCCACAGAGGAAAGCCAAGGCTTCAGGGATCTCCGAATCCTCTACGATAAATGTACCAAATTGTTTCACGAAAACAAGAAATTGCTCCATTCGTCTGAAGTTTCGCAACGACTTCGTTTTTTGTTTCTCTTCTTGGACTTTCTTCAGCTGCTTTGTTAGGGAACTGAATGTAGTAGACTTGAAAGTGTTGACTTGTTCACTCGAAAATTGTTCTTCAAAGTCTCTCAGAGCCTGTTCAAACATATCACATGGCAATGAAGCCGGACTTCCAGTAGACTCTTCAGATACAGCTTGAGATGAGAATAAGCGCGAAGAGTGAGGTGAAGGTTGCAAGCTGCCTGCCAACAATCAGCAACGTTCTATCTTCCCGCAATCCATTCCTTAGATCTCACTGTTGAAAGCTTCCGTTTGTGGCCTTTGCGCAAGGACATACTGGCTCAACACCTCCTTCGCCACTGATGCAGCGACGGCCGCGGCGTAGTGCTGCCACTTTTTGCTCTTGTGGCTGTCCGAGTAGTCGCATACTCCCTTTATGATCAAGCTGTTGAATTTATTCCAGACACCAGCACCCTCCATTTCAAACGCGACGATGCCCCGCGACTGTGCATATTCGTCGCGATCTTGCGCGGACTTCATGACGCTGTCCGAAGTACCGATTGTTCCGAAGTGTATCGAAGGGATAGGCAAGCCGTGTTCTGGTAATAGTTCCGCGTTCAAGCGACGACGAGGAACTAGACGTCTTTCTTCGCACTGAAGATCGACACAAGACGCCTCCATGGCTATGCCACATCCAGAACCGATGGCGTCGCAGTCAACGCAGTGACTATGATGTCGGTGGATATAGTAGGCTGGGAAGAGCTTATCCTCTTCCTGGCCAGGATAGACCGTTTGAACAAGCGGATGCTTTAGGAGGCTTTTCAAATGTTCCCAGGATCTTTCCCGCAGGTGAACTAGAAGGGAAGGAACCTTCCAACGCTGCAGGAGCCCCAGAACCTCCTCATTAGGTCGACCATGAACATCCAGAATGGTATTTTTGGATATGAAATTGCCATGGTAGCGTCGGCCAAAGTCGAACTCCACGATACTTTCACTCAGAATGACATCGCCAAGGATAATCTCGCTGCGATCACTTTTAAAGGGGACTCCGCCGCAGATCCCAACGAGCAGAGCAAGCTTGATAGAGCTAAAGCTCATTCTCAAGGATTGAGCAGCGGTAGACGCTTTGACTTTCCCCATGCCACCCAGTGTCAGGACGACAACACTGTGGACTCCGATTCTCCCGTAATCGTATGCGTTGCAGTCTCCTGCCGCTTTGCGGTAGTGCTGGCCAGCCTCGTACCATATCTCATCCAAAGAGCATAGAACAGCATGGGTTTCAAGGGGTAATGCACAAATGATGGCGATTTCAAAGCCTGATCGGTCTAGAGGGCGTCGATGTGAGATGTCCATGTTGCAAAGACCTCAGGCTGGAAGAATGTTCTTGGGAAGTTGAGCTTGGAGGCGCAAGGCTGAGAGCCGCCAAAGTCTTCATAGCGAGTGAGCCTACCGCCTCACGTGTCATGCTGTACTTTGTACATGGGCAATGGGAGACATCGAGGACGGAGCTTCGCCCGTCGGACAGTAGCGAACATACTTACGGACCAAGATACCATCACCATAATATCCGTCAATTTACAACCACATCCCGCACCACAATATATGGCCCTGATGCCTCAGGTATCGAAATACCAGAATGGGCACTAGCGGATGACGACATCGCCCCCGGTCACCGCCAGCCAATCAGAGGCACCGCAAGGATGACTGTTCGGTTTCTTTTCTGGGGAATCTTAACTAGCATCTTTGGGGTCGTTGGTGACTCCGACTTCCATTCTCCCTTCTTCTTCATCTCCTCCCACATTGTCACGTCTTCATCTTTATTGAAAACTCAATTCCTCTTCATAATATTCCCTGATCATCTCCTTAACCTTCCGGGTGTCCCTCACTCTTTCATCCCTTTCCTCCCCCGCTGTTCCGCCCCGCAGCGATGTCGGCCTCAGGATCTGGTGCCTCCGCCGCGTCCGACGCGGTGAAGAAGGGATTCCCTCATGTGGACCTCGAAGGTCATAACCTTCCTCCCTCTCCGGCACCGTCTAGCCCGCGGACGGGGAAGCGATATGCCATTGCCACCGAGCTGGTCTACACCGAGGCCAATGACCAGTACAATGCCAGCAGTGTTCCCATCTACCAGGTGCGTCTGAAATCACACTTTTATCTCGACGGCTGCCTTGTCAATACCTAACCATGCCGGATCCATAATAGAGCGCTACCTTTAAGCAGTCGTCGGGCGGTGGAGGCGGAGAATACGACTACACTCGTTCCGGTAACCCTACGCGGACGCACCTGGAGAGACATCTGGCCAAAGTGATGTCCGCTCAGCGCGCCCTGGTCGTTTCCTCCGGTATGGCCGCACTGGATGTGATCACTCGCCTTCTTCGTCCCGGTGACGAAGTGGTGACCGGCGACGATCTCTACGGCGGCACCAACCGTCTCCTCAAGTACCTGTCCACCAACGGCGGCATCATCGTACACCACGTCGACACGACGGACCCGGCCAAGGTCCGCGAGGTTCTGAGCCCGAAGACTACCATGGTCCTGCTGGAGACCCCGACCAACCCTCTCATCAAGATCGTCGATATCCCGCAGATCGCCGCCGCCGCCCACGAAGTCAACCCCGCGTGTCTAGTGGCGGTCGACAACACCATGATGTCCCCGCTCCTGCTCAGCCCCTTGGAATTGGGCGCCGACATCGTGTACGAGAGTGGAACTAAGTACCTCTCCGGTCACCACGACCTCATGGCTGGTGTGATCGCGGTCAATGACCTCGCCCTGGGGGAGAAGCTTTACTTCCCCATCAACGCATCAGGATGCGGCCTCTCCCCCTTCGATTCGTGGCTGTTGATGCGTGGCGTGAAGACCCTCAAGGTGCGCATGGACCAGCAGCAGACGAACGCGCAGCGCATCGCTGAGTTCCTCGAGTCGCTGGGCTTCAAGGTGCGCTATCCCGGCCTGCGGTCGCACCCGCAGTACGACCTGCACCACTCGATGGCGCGCGGTGCCGGCGCCGTGCTCTCGTTTGAGACGGGTGATGTGGGCATCAGCGAGCGGATCGTGGAGAGCGCGAAGCTCTGGGCCATTAGTGTGAGCTTTGGCTGTGTGAACAGTCTGATCAGTATGCCGTGTCGTATGAGTCACGCCAGCATCGATGCGAAGACGCGCGCTGAGCGCGCGTTGCCGGAGGACTTGATCCGGTTGTGTGTTGGCATTGAAGATGCGGACGACTTGATTGATGATTTGCGACGGGCGGTAAGTTTCCTTTTACTTCTTGTTATATGGAGATGCGCTAATTGTATCTAGCTGGTGCAAGCTGGCGCGGTGAATGTTACACTGGATGGCATTGCGGCCAGCCAGTAGGTCTGGTAGACATGGAATAGGGCGGTCATGTACGGCGTTGGGAGTTGATAAAAGACTTACTTGGAATATATTGCGTATATTTTCATGATCATCACGATATCAGCATTAGTTTTGTACCTAGGGATGATTCGGGTGAGACAAAGTAAGACGGAGGCTGCCGGACAACTACCCGATCGGCCGGCATCGGAGCGACTGCCGACACGGACGACAAGCGTCCGCAGCTTCGAGCTGCGACTCCTCGTCATCCCAGACATAATGTCTCGATAATTCTCGGTTTCTTTCTTCTGCCCCATATTCCCCCCGGATTCTGCCCCAGACGCGCGTGTTCGTGTTCTCCCAGTGTCTGTGTTGACCCCGGATGACGTCGTGTTGTTCGAGTCACATCCCTGTGTTGGATTATCCGTAGACTCATTCGGACATCGCATTCCCTGGGATTATGCCGTCCAATGCCGTCTCCAACGACCCTGCGCTCTCGATGTCGGCGATGAAGGAGCGCTCACCCACGCCGCGCAATACCAAGCGGCTGGGAATGCGCTTCGGCGTCGACATCGCCAGCGCAGCCACCGCCGGCGCCTTGACATGTCCAGTGATTACGGTGATTGACCGGTACGTTCGAGCTGACTGGGACGTAAAGCTGATCTAACGCGATTCCTGCAGGGCGATTATCGAGAAAGCCGCGAAAGGCGTCTCTATCCGACAGACCATCACCTCATGCTTTCGATCCATGCTCACCCATCCGGGGGGCTTCTTCCTGAGCACACCCTTCCTCCTTATCTACACCCTCTACACGTCGACATATCTCACCGCCAACGCGATCGACACAGTCACATCGACGCTGCGCAATAAGTCCTTCTCGACCGTCTTCCCCGGCACCGCCAAGTTCGTCACCACGACGGCCGTGAACATGGGAATCTGCGTGTACAAAGACGCCCGGTTTGCGAAACTTTTTGGCGCGAAAACACCTCCTCCGTCGTCCTCCGCATCCCCATCACCAGAACCTTCCCCACCGGCCTCCTGCCACCCATCAGGGACCGCCAAGGTCCCGCGCATCTCCTATGCGCTGTTCTGTCTCCGCGACAGCATCACCATCTTCGCCTCGTTCAACATCCCTCCTCTCATCGCCCCGTCCATCCCTGACTCCGTCGCCGCCACACCAGGCATGAAGGCCGCCATGGCGCAATTCGCCTGTCCCGCGCTGATGCAGTTCGTCAGCACGCCCATGCATCTCCTCGGGTTGGATCTGTATAACCGTCAGCCGCCGGGCGGTCTGGGCTGGCACGAGCGGATGTCGCGCATCCGGCGTGATTATGTACCGAGTTGCTTTGCGCGCATGGGCAAGATTGTACCGGCGTATGGTGTTGGAGGTGTCGCGAATGTGAGGCTACGGGCTGCTATGATGGGGTATTTGGAGGAGTTGGAGGACGAGGGGTGATCGGTGGATTGAGGTTGTGTGTATTTATTATCTCCGCTCTGGGTGGTGTTTGGCGTTGGTGGTTCATATAGATGGGAGCATGGAGATTGTATAGATAAGATGTATATTCGGACAGATTAAGCTTTGATTGATCAGAGTATAATGACGATATTAGATGGAAGCAATTCACACATTAAATGGGAAAGCGCTACAATGAAATATATCTTAGCTCACTTGATCACGGCGAGCCCTACATCTACGTCTTGCCTTCTACAATTTAATCCTGTTGATATCACCACACAAAACAGTTGTATTGATGCTGAGTAGCTAGCTAGCTACCGGATCGAAGCCCAAATTCAACTTTCAAGCTCAACCTGCGCTTCAAGATAGTTATCGGGCACCCAAAACTGACAAGAAAGGTCAACCTTCTCACCTCTATCAACGCGCTCAAGATGCTCAGCGAGGATCTCCGCGGCAACATCGAACATCTGCATCAGACAGTCGTCGAGGGGACCCTGATCGGTCTCGACCAGCATCACGGTGTGGTCATCGTGGTCCTTGAGCCACAGGCGCTCGCGCACGACCGCCGCGCCGGTCTCCAGCATACTCAGGGCTTGGGCGCAGTAGGCGCGCTCGTCGGCCAGAGGCTGGGGGAAGGGGCCGAAGTAGAGGTAGAAGCGGCGGTGGTGAGGCATTTTGATTGATTTGCTGTGCGGTGGGTTGTAGCTGTGAGTAGTTGAGTTGTAGTATGAGTGGAGTGTAGAGGAGGTTGCTGTGATTGAGTGCATGGGTTTGATGGAGGTTTATATACCTATGTCTGTGGCGCTGGGCTTCAATATACAAGTGGAACGTTCCATGTTGAATAGAGGAATTTGCCTTGAAGAGCAGGGTATTTCCGTGATAGATGAGGATGTTGCCTTTAAACGTGACCTGTAGTTTATTCATTGTCTATTGTATAAACGATGATTCCGAACAAAGACATTATGCTTGTTACTTTCCTCTATCATCGTAACCATCCATAGTCTCTGTAGACAAAGACACGGCATATCCCGTCGATAAAGGATGTCTACTCCCTCACAATTGGACAAATCTGCGTGCCAATCCCATGACTCGCGCTGATGCGTAGCCGATCTCCTGGTTTCAAGAAGACTGGCGGGTTCTGGGAGACACCAATGCCGCATGGCGTGCCTGTGATGATCACCGTGCCTGGTAGCAGCGTGTGTCCCTGTTGGTGGTTAGAAGAGAACCAAATAAAAGTGATGCACTGACCTGCGATAGATACGAAACCACCTCGGCAATGCTAAAAATCATATCATCTGCAGACGCATTCTGCATGGTCTTTCCATTGAGTGACGTGCGTAGCTGGAAGACTGATGGATCAGGGATCTTCTCAGCGGATACGATACACGGCCCGAGAGGGCAGAAGCCGTCCTGTGTCGCGTCAGTGAGAAACACTGTTACATGGTTATAGACATACCATCCCCTTGGCGTAGGACCACTGCGACGTCTTCCCCTGGTGTTTCCGTGCCGTCACGTCGTTGGCTACCGAGTACCCGAGGACGTAGCCCATGGCCTCAGCAACAGAGACATTTTTACAGCGTTGTCCGATGATAATGGCTAGCTCAACCTCGTAGTCTGCTTCGTCATGATCCACGACAGATGGCAGGACGATCGGTTCTGCGGCCGAGGAAATACAGGTATTTGCTTTGAGAAACACACTGCATGGTCAGTGAGGGTTTGAAAACCCACGGACAGCACTCACGTAGGTGCGTCTGGAAGAGTCATCTTCATCTCGGCCTGTGCAGTATTAGTGTATGCCAGCGAACGGTGGTCAGATAGCATACCGCGTGTTCCTTGTAGTTCAGTCCGATACAGCGGACTGTTCCTGCTTCCGCAGGGGAGACCGGAGAGAGAAGCTCATCAATAACGGCTATTTTGCCGGTGAATGGTGCGTCGTAGTCTAATGCTGATGCGCCTGCTGTCAAACGCACTGATACTTCGGTTTTGTTTTCCAGCGCGAGGCCAACTGTATCTGTCAGTCGTTGTTGTTCAACATTAGGATCACATACCATCAATGTCCGCGTCAACGGGCTCTCCGCCATATACATTACCGTCTTTCGCTCTGAATCGGACCCATCGTTTCCAGACCTACTACTGTCAGTTTGTCTATTGGGACGAGGGTCATACATAGAGGTAGTACTGGGTGTGTCCTCGCAGCCAACCCGTTCGCCATAGTGCCTGGCTCAGTTGATATCCCCATGATTGACAAGATAACAGTGAACTCAAATGCGAGACAAGAAACAACTATAGAACATACACGGTCTTATCTACCCCCGCCTTTGTTATAGGTCGTCGGGGAATTCATCGGTAAATTCTCCTCGGCGTGGTGATAGCTTATCTGAACGCCATTAGGGATGGGCTGTTAGAGGCCCCCGCAACACTCTAGATCGGCAAATACTATCGCCCCCTCTGTATCTCTCGAATATCCCGACAATTTCCCCGACGGGATGTATCGCAAGATAGCTTCATGATTGATTTAAGTACCGACCCGACACCCCGGGCTCGATGATCTCTGCAAGTATATGAATCCCTGCTTTGTTACTATGGATTCCAAGGGCGATATGAAGTTGCAGGCGGACACTGTGTCCTCGGATCATGAGGCACAGATAGGACATGTCGCTATCGACCCGGTGAAGGAGAAGAAGCTCTTAAGAAAGATGGACCTGTGCATCTGCCCCTTGGTGATGATGATCTTCTTGGTTGCGTATCTGGATCGGAGTAACATAGGGTAAGTTGCATGTACCATATCCGTCTAAGCTGGTTCTAATGTCCACAGAAATGCCGCGGTTGCTGGCATGCCGGTCAGTTAGATGACCTTGGATGCCCCCAGGAGGCTTTCTGACAGCTGTAAAGGAAGAGATCCATCTTGTCGGAAACCAACTTGGAAGTAAGTGTCTCACACCTCTACATGTTCCTCTCTAATCGCGTACAGACGGGGTCACCCTCTTCTACGCGACATATGTCTTCTTCGAGATCCCATTCTCCATGGTTCTAAAGAAGCTGCGCCCCAACAGACTCATCTCTGCATTGATCCTTGGATTTAGCGTTTCGATTCTAGCAGCGGGATTCATCAAGAATGTCGCTGGTCTTTACGTGACCAGGTTGCTCTTGGGGGTATTCGAGAGTGGCCTATTCCCGTACGCATGCTTCTATGTTTGGAGCATCCTGTGTATGCTAATTAAATCTAGATGCCTGACCATCGTCCTGACGACCTTCTACAAACGCGAAGAACAAGCACAGCGAATCTCCTACCTCTTTGTCTCCGCCGCACTCAGCGGCGGATTTGGCGGGCTGTAAGACCCTTCATCCCCAGCATATACCCCACCACTAACAACCACAGCCTAGCCTTCGGCCTCGTCCGCCTCGAAGGCGTCGGCGGCCTCTCCGGCTGGCGCTGGCTGTTCATCATCGAAGGCCTCATGTCCGCCGTCATCGGCATAGCCACCTTCTTTCTCCTGCCAAACAACTACGAGACAGCCTACTTCCTCAACGAAGAAGACAAGGCCCTGATGCGCCTCCGCATGCAATCCGCCGCGCGCTACGCCGACGCTGAAGAATTCGACATCCAGGAAGTCTACAAGACCCTGCGGGACCCCAAGAGCTGGCTGACCTCGCTCAACCAAATCTGCGTCAACATCTGCTCCTTCGGCTTCAGCACCTTCCTGCCCACCATCATCAGGGCCTTCGGCTACGGCTCCGTCACGACCCAGCTGCTCACCGTCCCGGTGTACCTCTGGGCCTCGGCGTTTTACCTTGTCGTTGCGCATTTTTCGGACCGCGTGCGCATGCGCGCTGCGTTCATGGTGCCCTTGTGTCTGGTCACCGCGGTGGGGTATGCCTTGCTCCTGGGCGTGGATGTGGATGCGCGCGGCCCGCTGTATTTTGCGACGTTTGTTTGTGTTACTGGGTATGTGTCCTGGGATCTTGGGTGGTTGGGTGCTAATGCCTGCAGAATTTATTGTGTTGTTGGTCTTGGTGTGTCGTGGAATGCGAACAGCCACGCTGGGTACTATAAACGCGCGATGGGGGTGGGTCTGCAGCAGACTATTGGAAACTGTGCAGGGCTTATTGTTAGTACGCCGCGACTCTGTTGGGATGAGTACTAACTTGCATCTAGGCTGGCCAGATCTACTCCTCCAAGGTCAATGGGCGGTATATTCTTGGCCACTCCGTGTCGCTGGGCGCGATATGTATCGCGTGCCTCGGAAACTCGGCCATGTACCTCCTGCTGCGGTACCACAACCGCAAGCGGGACCGTCTCTCTCCGGAGGAGCGTGAGGAAATCATTGCGTCGGGGTCGTATGAGAAGAGAGGGGGGGACTTTCACCCAGACTTTCGGTATATTCTGTAATTTGCTTATCCTAATGGAATTACTATCACTGCGAGCAATGGACACCTGAAGGAGGTATATGGTGTAGATATAGTTATCAGCTGCACTACATATGATAGGCAATCTCAGAAATCATATGCTCCCACGTCTCGAGATCCGCAGCATCAGGAAATGCGAAGTTCTGGTCCTCCCATATCGCAGGCCACATCATGTCGGGAGACGACCCGGGCGGATGAGTAGACGCATCCACCGCGCTGATATCCATGCTGGGATCGATAGCGGACAGTAATGGAGCACTGCTTGGACCAGATCCCCGGACTTCAGACACAGGAACGGCGCCTACAGACGGACCCTGCTCGTCCTGTCGATGCACATCCCCCGAGTCCCTAGTAAGCCCTCTTGTCCTTGCAATGCACAGCTCGACCACCTTGACTTCAGCCAGCCCAAATTCATTCAGCCACGGATCCTTTCGCAGCTTCTCGCAGTACTCGTCCAGGTCATCCAAGATCCCCGCAGTCTGCGCAGCATTCGGCCGACGCACGGCGATGATCCCCAGAATCAACGCGCTGTTGAACATGTTGTGGGTGCCCAGTGTCCACCGCATGTTCTCGGCAGTTCCGTGGGTCAACGCACGGAGGCGCATTTTAAGGTCCGATGAGGCGGACGAAATACACGCCTCATGGCTGAGTCGGAAGCGGTTCGTGATGGACTCGCGGAGGAGATAGGGCCGGTGGAGGGTGATGCGGGCGAAGTGGAAGGCCGAGTGGAGGAAGAGACGGTGCCAGGGTAGAAACGCACGCGAGGAATCCAGCGAGGTGTCTGTGCTATCGAGGGCGAAGTACGCCGGGAGCTGTTCCTTCCACGCGACGAGCTTCTCGTCCATTTCCACGACGACGTCGTAGGCGGCCGGGTACAGCCCGAAGCAGCGGTCCTGGATCTCGCCGGCGATCTTGGCCAGGCCGTGTCCGATGAGCGTGATGGCGCTGGGGGTTGGGTCGCTCAGGGGGTTGGACGTGACCGTCGCGGATTGATCGTCGGGCACATCGTCGAGCCAGACATTCTCCGGCGCCTGGATGAGACACATGTGGTCTGAGATGGCGTAGGGGCGGCCCAGCGCCAGCGCGATGGTCTTGTCGAGCATGTACAGATTGGCCCAAAGGCGGCGCCTCGTCTCGGTGGCCTTCGGCGAGAGCCCCCATTTCTCGCCGTCGACGTGCATGCCCTGCGCCTGCGCCATGCGCATGGCGAAGCTGATGGTGAGCCAGCTCTCGGCGACTTGCCGTGTGTACAGCAGGTAGCGGGTGACCATCAACCCGGCGCGGACGAGGTCGAGGCTCTCCCCGTGGAAGGATGGCGAGATGACGATGGCGCGGCGCGCGGCCCAGTAGAAGCGCAACGAGGCCTCCTCGCTCTCCCTGCGCTTCTCGGGCGAGGGCGTGGCGGGGCGTTCGAGCAGCACGCTGAAGGCGAGGATGATGAACAGCAGCGCCAGCCAGCGCAGGTCGACGCCGGCGATCTCGTCGAAGCCGAACTTGCGGCCCCAGAACTCGGCGAACTGCGCGCGGAACGTCTCCGCGTGCACCGTGTCGACGGCCCAGTTGACCTCTGTCAGAAAGCGCTCAATGAGCCGGTCGACAGTGATCTTGTTGCGCGGGAGCAGCCCTAAGAGGTCCCAGACCTGCGAGAACGGGCCCGAGTCGTTCCGGAACGACTGGAGCGAGTCTTTGCTGGAAAGCAGGCTCATGGGAGGGAGGTCCGGGGCGGACTCGTGGATCATCCGCGCCGCCACCTGGTGTCCGAAGTACGAGTTGCCGAAGAAGCTGGGCGCGCCGCGCGCGATGTACAGCTGGCCCAGCTCGGTGCCCTGCGTGTTTGTGTGGACCGCTTCGCTGCGCTCGCTACGGTCCTGTTTCTTTGCGGTTGAGGGTGTTCGATCAGTGTGGTCTGCGGGCCAGCGGCACAGGTGTGGCACATCCCGCTCAACGCAGCGCGAGCATGGATGCTCCTGGTTGCATTTCTGCTTCCGAGCGTGGCATTGGGAGCACGAGGTGGACTTTCGCCCTCTTTTCCGGCCTTTTGATCGGGGCGCAGTGCCCTGTCTGGTGTCGGGACTCATTCAGCGCGGTGGTATCTTGTTTGCGGAGATAAGAACCTGAGGTAAAGACGGGGAAGATAGCTATGGCCCACTATCTTTTATGCTTAGTTTAGGCTAATGCAGCTAGTTCTATCCAGCTAGTGTCGCCATTCTAGACAGCGTCTCATGGCATCAATTACGCCGAGGCCGTCCCCTGCTTCCCGGCGCTGTTTTCGCTGTAGACTCATGAGGAAGGAGATTCGATCGGATTCCTCGCGATCTTCATAACAACAAATCGGGTGCGGTCCCTGAGTGTGCGTCGCCATGGCTTTCCGGAACATGGCGAGCTTGTCCAGGACGCAGTTCTTTCCGCAGACCCTATCCAGGACGACCCAGCAGTGTGCATGTATCGCAAATTCTTCTGGACACCACCACGTATCAGGAGACCATTCATAGGACTCACTGAATGTGAACATCGAATGATGCCTTGGTGGAGCGATGGGCCCGACGCGAGCAATCTCGTAGCTGTTCGGCATATCTTGGTTGAATACATTATAAATCTGAGCTGAGATGCATGATAATGTACAGACTATATACAACAGTACGACCCTCAACCCTCCTTGGATTGAATCTCCTCCACCAGCTTCTCAAGAGCCTCATCAATCCGATGCCCCATGGTATAATGGTTCTCATCCCACTCCGTCAGCACAGCATGCGGCAGTCTCTCCGCCATCCACCGCGTCAACCGAATCGGCGAATTGACATCCCGCGTCCCATGCCAGATCAGAATCCGGTCATACTTCACATCCTCAAACCTGACCCCCCAGTCCTGCGAAAGCAGCCGCGCCTCCTGCACCGCCGCCGCTGTCCCCTGCGCAAACCCACCAAAGACCATCTCCAGCAGCCGCACCCGCCGCTCGGACACAGGCACCTTCTTCTCCTCCCCATCCACTGCACTCTTTTCAAGCCAATTCTCAATCATCCTACTCACCACCCTCGTTCCCGCCACCCATCGCATCCCCCCAACCACCACATCAAACACCACCCCCAACACCCGCGGCCACCGCACCGACGCCCACGCCGTCGACCGCCGGGTCAGGCCGATATCCCGCGTCCCCGCGCTCCACGGCCCGCCCCCCGCAAACACCCCCACCGCCGACAAGACATCCGGCAAGGCATGCGCACAAGCAACCGCGTACGGCCCGCCGCCGGAACAGCCCAGCACCGCGAAGCGGGGTATCCCCAGGTGGCGGGTGAGCGCGGACACGTCGGCGGGCCAGTCGGCGATGCGGCGCGATGGCTGGAAGGTCGACTGGCCGAAGCCTGGGCGGTCCGGGCTGATGATGCGCAGGTTGTGGCGTTGGGCGAGCGCGTGGATCGCGGAGGCTTCCCGGCCGGAGGACGGGTAGCCGTGGAAGTAGAGGAGCGGGTGGCCAGTTGGGGAGCCGTATTCGGTGAAGGCGAGGGTGCGGCCGTCGGCGAGGGGGAGGTGGTGGGTTACGGTGGCTTGGATGGGTTTGAGGGGGCTGGAGTTGTACGATAGTAAGAGGTGGAGTTTGGGGAGTGTTATTCGCATGTTGGGTGTGATTTAAGATGTTGGTCGGAGGGTCGTGATGCTGATTATTATTACCTAGGAGGTATGACTGTGTGTCACGAGTAGCGGGGTTGCGCTAGTCTTACAGAAGTCTTATGGACCTAGAACAACAGAGAGAATTATTTCATAGATATTTATACGGTTGGTAATTTCTGTGGACGTCCTTTGTATATCCTATCGCAGCAATATGCCCATTAAGAGAGGGAGTGTTTCTGCATTCGTTCTACATATCCAAGAGATATATATCTTCGCTATACTCAACATTATCCACTGTTTTCTTCTCATTTTACAGAGACAATCACATAAACATAGACATCAACGCCTAGTCTGGCGCAGATTGACTTTAGATGTCACACAAGGCTTGACCAATGGAGCAGACTCCTGCATAAGATGCATCAATTTGACCTTTATAGGGCAGGATCTACGTGGCATGATGTCCCCAAATACTGAGACACGCATGGAGATCATCGAGGAATGCTACGTTGTAACAGTAAGCTTACATGCATGGCTACACTGTCTCAATCAGGCAATTCACTCAACGTAGTCCGAGTCCTATAAAGAAGAGAAGAAGTCGCAGCCCATTCAATCTCAACAGTGTATCTCACAGAAAGACAAGTCTCAAGTTCCTTACACGGATCCAAGCAATTCTACAACATCATGAAGTTACTCTTCGTCCTGACTGCTCTTGTTGCTGCGGTGGCCGCCACTGTTGACTCTCAAGACACCACCAACGTCGGTTGTTCCCCCAAGGGCAAATACTGCAACAATGGCACCTTTCTCTGCTGTGGCAGTCTCAAATGCAAGAGCAATGTTGTGAGTGCCACTTGATTCATTGGATATACTTACAAATGGGACTTTTACTGACTCATTAAAGTGTGTCTAAGCAACTCACCTCATAAAATGATTCGACATCGAGGAGGTCGCAGAAAATGGGATGACTACTGGGAATCACGATTGTCAGATAGGAAGCTAGACATCACTCACAGGATACCCTATGAGGCACGATTCTAGTTAGATTGAACATGAGAGACACTTGATGACATTGGGTAAATCAATATATTAGGACTCCTGATCCTGCGCCGACTGCAGAACAAGTCTCAACATCATCTCCCATAAAAGAAGTAGAAGGCATAGCGTGAAACAGGTAACAAACACGGTAATCATATAAAGGCCACAGAAAAGAAACTAACCCCCAGCCTGTCTATATTATCGTGTCCGTTGCATTTCACGAGGGTCTCATTAATCGGATGACGGTTACCGCGAACCAGCACCTTGGGCCTGGCGCCTGCCTCAACGCTAATATAGTGGTGGCCTGCACGTACATTGGGTGCTTCCTCACCGCGGCTGATTTAATATCCAAATTTGATGCCCCGTGGTCACCTCCACTTGTTGTGCACCATTTTGCTGCCGGGACTGTGGGTGTTGATGGACAAGTCGTTGCTCTGAATTCCGGTCCCTTGGCTGCCTCTCAACATAATATCTACGCCCAGATGGGCTTTGCTGTCTTCCGGTGGTTACGGGAGGCTGGGGAAGTTCAGCGGGTGTTGGTTGCATCAAGCCGGCGGCAGGGGGAGGAGTTGGTCCCCTGCTGTCCCCCTGTGTCCCATCTAGTCGACCAATGTCTTCATCGCTCGCGACAGGACCATCCGCTCCGGTGGTAGAACGCGACGACTCATCGTTTGCTCCTTGATGGGTCATGGGTACCGGACTTGCTGGTAGCTCGCGTGGATCGACGTCGCGATTTTCCTGCTCCTGCGCGTCCAGTTCAACCGGTGGTTGACTATGCCTTGCGCGTCCGCTCCGTGGTGGTTCCGAATTTGTAGTCGAGTTATGAGTAACGGTAGAAGGCCGTGGTGCGGGTCTGATCTGTCGGCGAGAGTGAGCATGTTGACCAGGGGGGCGAAAACCGCCGCACTCCTTGCAATACACCAATTTTCCCAACCGTATTTGAGTTAAAATGGTGGGCTCCGCATAGCCTGGGCCGCTCGAAGCCATGGTAGCAGGACAATATAAGTTTATCAAAACCGAGGAGATGTTACTGATCAAAACACCAATGGTCCTTGACAGTCAACGTCCGCGATCAGGATGGGAATTTTACGGGGAATTCAGACGAATGCGGGGAAAGGCCCTCTTTTCATCCACAAAGAACACCTTCTCAGAGCGTTGTACGAAAAAGCAAGCATTGCGTATGTACGTAAGTCGGAGCCTCGTTGGTCTTCGTGGACGGCTGTGCCGGAGGACGCGGATCGTTTCTGGTATCTTGTGTAACAGTAGACAGCTTCTGTAGGGTTAGATAGCCTCCTATATGAACGCGAGAGAGGTTAACAGGGTTTTAGTTTCTGATATAGGGTCGCTGTGAACCCAGTATGATGGCTTAAGTGAGCAGGGCTTCCATTTCTGCAGTAGAGGAGTTGTTCACTTATTTGCCCATGTTGAAAGTCTGAATTGAGAATGCATAGGTACGGGTCTGAAAGGCGAAGCCAACCAGCCAATTTTGATGTGTTCTGAAAGAGACGATAGCCGAAAGTAGAAAATTCCATGTTCAGCTTCAGGAGGGATGCCTGGAGAAGTCAGTCCGTGAGGGACTTGGAGAGAAGAATATGAAAAACTAAGAAGGACACACTATTCTAGCGTACTAAAAATGCACCAGCTAGCACATTTATCGATCCTCCGACTTTCCCTACTCCGTCGCGGAAAGAGTAGACGGAGGAAGAACAACACGGCAAGGTTTCCCGTCCTACCGGAGAAGAGACGTTGAGACCGAGATTGTCGGTTGATGTGACTCTACTAGCTACTTCCTTGTCATTAGGAGTAATGTTAAGATTGCTTCGCTTAAGCCTGGATTGAGCGAGACAGAATCCCGGGCTCCTCACTATGATCCCGAGACGGTTAATGGCGGTCAACATGACATTCCTTCGGTCTGGAGTGTTCGTTGCTAAGCGAGGTGGCAATATGATGTACGGATGACTTTGATTGACCTTGATTCTAGTTATAGCACTCGACAGCATCGCTCTGTGGTGGCAATGCCTTGTGACGGGCTACTCGGCCCTGGTGCATTTTGCAAGACGGCGTCCGGAGTTAGGAACAGATGCCCCAGCATACAAAGCATAGTGCGTGCAATCTCCTCCTTCCTAACTAGCTGAATTACAGGCATATCAACTCGTAAAGGGTCATATCCAATATGCAGCTGCATGAACCAACGCCTCGGCCGACGACCCGAGCGCCGGTCGTTGGGAAGCACCGAGAGGATTGCTAGCAGCAATGTTAGGAGGCTGATGCTACCAGAAGCAAGGAAGATGGCCACACCAAGACGCCTAGACGATATCCAACAGCGCTGGCCTCCAGCTGGCCCCGGCGTCTGTAGCCCTGCACAGGATTGACCCTGCCATTGGCCCAAGCAGCTGATGGAGAGACAACCGGCCGTGGCTCGGAGATCTAGACTATCTGTGCCGTCTTAACATGCGCATTATTGGAGGCTGGGACCTTCTCTCCCAGCGCATCTGGTAGGGGCCAGCCAGTCCATGGATCCGAGTACACGAACAAGCCTGCTCGGAAAAGGCTCACCGGATCAGAAGGAAACGTAGCGAGAAACGAATCAATTGTTGGAAGCATTGGTGACAGTGAGCATTAGAGTGGAAGGATGCATCCCAGGGTGTCTCACGAGGGCCTCGAGCCTATTGCGGTTACGGTTGTGCGCCTCCCGCGTGTTTCTTCATTTTGGTTTCTGGCTTTGCCGTTTTCGCTCCGGAGATGAGGCCGCGATCCCAACGGAGGATGAGACAGACATTCATGTGCTGCCCGGCAGACCTATCAATTATTGTGGTGGTTATTGAAAGCTTGGCCTTGTCGCAGCTGTGTAGGGATAGTTGTGTCTTTGCATTTAGTTGTACTCTAGGTATGTGCATGCAAGGGAACCTACAGGTAGGGTTTCCGTCTGCTGGTTTTCTCTTTCCTCGGCAAAGGCAGCAGACATTTGATTCCACACGAGAGAGAATGTAGATGTTTCGTGAGCTGTCTGTCACTTGTCTCCAGGCTGACCCAAAGACCCAGACTGACTCCATCCAAGACTCCAGCTGCTCGGTTATTCTAGCACCTTTCCCAACACCATCGGACTGCCATGATGGCGCGCCTAAGACGAGACGGTAAGACCATCAGGATGGCAGAGGCGACTTTATCTAAGGTTCTAACCCCAGATTGGATCGGCAACAGACCCGCCACTGGGCCTATCCCCAAAGCATCACGGAGCAACCGTCAAGCAGCCACTCCATGGGCCCACGTCCCCAGTTCTCCACGGAGCAGACGGCCACTAAATTATAGTTGCGACCTGGACCACGCACCCGAAACGAAAAGGGGCCTAACAGCTTCCGGTACGGCGGCCCCAACCGTGGAGTTATGCGGCCCATTTCCATTCCCAAACCACACCATGTGGCGTTCGCCTTGTCGAGCAGGTGGAAATCTGGGGTTCTCCCCACGGGTTACTCGGGCCGACAACTCCAGCTGATGGGTTGCAAGCGAACACGCAAGGGTCTGGCCATTGGTCCAGCGTGAGTTCTAGCTAGCACTTACAGGGCCTGGCACAAATCGTGTCGCAGCGATCCTGCCAAGGCACTGGATTATAAGAAGCTGCTGCACGCCCGGTATCACCTTGCAGCTCCAGCGTGTGTCTTCCCCCTCCGCCATCAATTCCCCTTTCGATACATTCACTCGGTAGTCCCGCCGCCATGGCAGACACTCACACTCACGGCGAGAAGGCGCAGGTGTCCACGATGGAGAACACCACGCCCGTGGTTGCTGGCGGGTTTGGCAAGACGGCCGCTAATGAAGGAGCCAAGACGAAGCAAGTGTTTAACGTGAGTTTTTCCTGCATGTTGATGATGGATAGTATTTAATTTGGCTGATCAATCTAGGCTGAGCTTGCCGCAGCTCTCGAGGAGACTAAGATTGAAAGATGGAGCAAGACCTCCATCCACCTGTACTGTGGGTGGTCTATATCTGCCATAGGGAGTGGTTCTGACATTGTCCAGTTTGCATCTTCGTGGCCTTCTGCTGTGCCTGCGCCAACGGATATGACGGTGAGTCTGCAGGTCGTCTTTTCAATTATATCGCTAATGAACGTCAGGTTCCCTGATGGGCTCCGTCCTGGCCATGGACCACTACCAAAAAGTGTTCAACACCGGAATGGACGGACCCAAGGTGTCTCTCGTCACCTCTCTCTACACAGTGTACGTGCTCATCAACTCAGAAACCATATCCCTTCTAACAGTTGCCGTTTCCAGTGGATCTATCGTCGCCACCCCCTTCAGTGCCGTCATCTCCGATAACCTGGGTCGTCGCAAGTGCATGTTCGTCGGCGCTTGGATTATTATCGCTGGTGCTATCATCATCTCGACTGCCTACCATCTCCCCCAGTTCGTGGTTGGCCGTTTCATCCTCGGAATGGGCATTCAGGTCATGGTGGTGTCCGCTCCTGCGTACGCCGTCGAGATCTCTCCGCCTCACTGGCGTGGTCGTGCCGTCGGTGAGTACACCAGCATCTGAGTCTCTGTCGCCGCTAATATCGGGATAGGTTTCTACAACTGCGGTTGGTTCGGTGGTTCCATTCCCGCCGCTGCTGTTACCTTCGGCACCAACTACATCGACAGCGACTACTCGTGGCGTGTACCTTTTATCCTTCAGTGCTTCGCCTGCGTCATCGTCATCGTCGCTGTTTGGTTCATCCCCGAGTCGCCCCGTTGGCTCATGGCCAATGACCGTGAGGAGGAGGCCGTCGCTTTCCTGACCAAGTATCACGGCAACGGTGACCCCAATGCCCGCCTGGTGCGTCTGGAGATTGAGGAAATGAGGGAGGGTATCCGGATTGACGGTATTGATAAGAGATGGTGGGACTGTAAGTTCTCTTCCTACCGTCCGTGTGTTATTGAACACCACTAACGAGACTCAAGACCGTCCGTTCATCTTCACCCACAGCGGCCGCTGGCGTTTCCTCCAGGTCATGATGATCTCAGTCTTTGGACAGTGGTCCGGAAACGGTCTCGGTTACTTCAACCCTACCATCTACAAGTCGCTCGGCTACACCTCCAGCTCCATCCAGCTGCTGCTCAACCTGGTCAACTCGATTGTCTCCGCCATCGGTGCCCTGACCGCTGTGCACTTTACTGATAAGATGCCCCGTCGCAAGGTCCTTGTGTTTGGAACCTTTGGTGCGTTGGATCCCTTGTCCTGGACGATCGTGAACTGACGGAAGATAGCCTGCGCTGTCACCATGGCTATCAACGCCGGTGTCTCTCAGCCCATGATCGGCCCCAAGGCGCGCGGCGAGCCCATCAACAAGACCTTCGGCCAGACCGCGCTGGCCTTCTACTACCTCTTCAACTTTGTCTTCTCCTTCACCTACACTCCCCTTCAGGGTGTCATTCCCGCCGAAGCTCTCGAGACCACCACCCGTGCCAAGGGTCTCGCACTGTCCGGGTTCATGGTCAGCACCATCAGTTTCATCAGCCAGTACGCCACGCCCATCGGCCTGGCCAACATTTCCACCAACTACCTGTGGGTGTTTGTCGGTTGGGATCTGGTCGAGACTCTCTGTTGGTATCTCTTTGGGTAAGCTCTCTCTCTCGAATGGTGCGATCGCCGTCTAATACCTGCCAGTGTCGAATCTCAGGGCCGTACCCTCGAAGAACTCGAATGGGTCTACCAGCAGCCCAAGCCCGTCAAGGCCTCGCTGCATGTCGAGAAGATCGTCGTCCAGGCTGACGGTCGCGTCACCGAGAAGATCACCGATGATGCGTAAGCCGTTGGCGTCTGTGTTCTTTACATTGGTTCGCACATGCTCAACAGGAAGGCCGCCCACGCAGGGGCTATGCTGGGTTTTATGCTGTTCTTTATCCGGAATGTTGAGCATTCTGTGTCTCCCTTCACTTTGGTCTATTCTTCATGGTACTATTGATACTATAATATATTGATGGATTCGTCCATTTTCTTCAACATCCTGTATTATAGCCGCATTTCACGTCGGTGATGTCAGAATGAATATACGCATGTTGTTTTCTGTTCGGTTTCCGGTGGATAGGTCGAGGGTCATGGCATATAGAATATAGGAAGTGACTTCCATCGGGAATATCAACATCTTGTTCAACTGACAGAACCATAATGAAATGATAGCATAGTCATTCCCCACCCCTGTGACAATCCATCCACTAACTCAGCATAGCATAAACGAAGGCACGGGCATAATAATACTTTGTCTGCACACTCACAGAGGAGGCGTATCAGCAAACAGCCTTGAGACAATCTCCTCGGGATACCGAGCGCCCGCAACCTCAACCGCCGAACAAGCCTGCCGGAACTCGCGCTCCTCCTCCTCTGACAAAGTAATCCGCAGACTCCCCAAGTTCTCCTTGAGTCTCTCGACCCGCGTCGTACCAGGGATAGGAAAGATATCGACGCCCTGCGCCATCAACCACGCCAGCGTCAACTGCGACGGCGTGGCCCCCTTCCTCTCCGCAAGCCCCCGAATAGCCTTCACCAGCTCCAGGTTCTTCCCAAAATTCTCCCTACTAAACCGCGGCGCAAACTTGCGGAAATCATTGTCATCAAACTGGTCCGGCGAGGTGAGCTCCCCGCTCAAGAATCCCCGCCCCAGCGGCGAGTACGCCACAACCGCGACGCCCAGCTCGCGCGCCGTCTCCAGCAGCTTGTACTGCGGGCTTTCGATCTCCAGCGAGAACGGCGAGTACTCCATCTGCACGGCGGCGATGGGGTGCACTTTGTGCGCGCGCCGCAGCGACTCGGCGCTGCACTCGCTCAGCCCGAGATACCGGATCTTGCCCTCCGCCTTGAGCTGCGCCATCGCCTGCACCGTCTTCTCGATGGGCGTCGTCTGGTCCAGCCGGTGGCAGTAGTAGAGGTCGATGGTGCTGATGCCGAGCCGGGCGAGGGACTGCGCGCACGCCTGGTGCACGTACTCCGGGGACGAGTCGATGAAGCGCGTGCCGTCCGGGCGCCTGCGGATGGCGAATTTGGTGGCCAGGAAGATGTGCTCGCGCTTGGTGGGGTTGGCTTGGAACCATTTGCCGATGAGGTCTTCGCTGTCGCCGTAGATGTCGGCTGCGCGGGTTAGCATGGGATGATGGTTGGTGCGGGGGGTACACGTACAGCTGTCCCAGAAGGTCTCGCCCAGCTCGTATGCTGCGTCGAGGAATGCGAAGCGTTCGCTGTCGGGCTTGATCGTGCCGTAGAAGGCGCTCAGGCCCATGAGACCCAGGCCGATGCGGGGGACTTCGGGGCCGTTTTTGCCCAGCTTGGCGGTTGGGAGAGACATGATGGATTGTCTCTGCTTACGGGTTATCTGAATAGGAAACAGTGGGCTCGTCGAGAGACTACGGTCAGTTGATAGTGCGGCACTCCTCTTATCTTATACCTTGTATCGATGACCGTAGTGGCGGAGACAAGCCTTTGCCCCACATAACCCCGCCGCTACACTGTTATGAAGCATCCGATGTTTGCATAAGTGTCGTCCAAACAAGATTATACCAGCTGACAACCATACGATAAGAGCAATGCGTCTTCGGATTTAACGGCCTGCCAGCCTGGCTTCCAGAACAGAGTCGCCCAACTTCGGGGACCGCCATACATTGATCAGCTCCAGCCCTGCGTTCCGGAGCAGCTGCTTCCACTGCGTCTCCGTGCGCTCGATCCCTCCCACCGCAAGCCACATCAGCATGTCTAACTCCACATCCCGGAGATTAGCCCTCTCTTCGGGCATAACCCGGTCGATGATTAGCAAAGTCGACTTTTCACGGTCCATCGCAGGGACGAGCTGTCGCAGGATGTGCTCGGCTTGGGGGTCGGACCAGTCGTGGATGGCGTGGCGGAAGAGGTATACCGACGCTCCTGTAGTCTACGGTCAATGGGGAGCTCTACGACACATGGGATACATACCGTGAACCGGCTGGGGTGTGAAGAAGTCATGCCCCATCGCTTCGATGCCATCCGGCAGCTCCGGAATACCCTCCACAGTGGACGGCAAATCCTGCAAGATCAACCGTCCCGGATGATCCGGATACTGCTGCTTGAAGCGGATCAAGTTCTGTCCACGACCACCGCCGAGATCAACAATTAGAGGGTGGGTGGGATCGCAATCTAGACTGGCAAGCTCCTGCGCCGGTGGGTATATCTCAAACCACGCGAACCGGAACCACTGCTGCTCGACAAACATATACTCATCAAAGGTCTTCTTCAACTGCGGGTCGCTCTCCATAAGCTCAAAAACCATGATTGACGCCGGTATGGTGAACTTGGACAAGCTCTCTGCGTCTGGACCTAACCCCGGTCCGCGCATGTAGTCTACCAGTCGCCCGGCCTTGCAATATGAGCGGTAGGTCTAGCATTGCATGGTGATTACTTACCATAGGGAAAAACAAGTCATACCTACCATCGTCAGCCTAGGGCGCCTCACTTTGTCGAGTCAACAAGTCAATCCACCTACGTGGTTTTCACCGCAGCCACCGACCCAGAAAGCGCGTGGAAATTCGTCCGCTCGTTCGCGACATACGCCCCTTCATCCTCATCGCACAGTCCGATGACAGCCATGAACCGCAAGATGCGCATGACAAACCGGGCGTCGTCCGTGGTCTCTTTCGCGATCTCAGCTGCCTGGACGGGCTTCCCGTTCGCTGCGGCAAGGACCTGCAGCCAGCGTCTTTCTATCGCGATGCGAACCGCGATGTTCTGCATCATCTATGACGGTAAGCTTAGGCTATCTTCTATACGAGGGAATTCTTGCCTGCATGTTAATCCGCTTCATGGTGTCGAGGGGACTCTCGACGGAAAGTTGCAGCCGGCGGATCGCCTCCAGGAGTTCCTGGTGCGCGATCTGGTCGCCATCTGCCTCCGCAGAGAGTAGCTTCTGGATATGGTCGAGCTCCTGTAAGACTGACATCTTCATGCTTCAAATGATTTTGATGGATCTGGAGTGTGCGTTCATTGAGTCGTATATAAAGCCCGAGGAGAACCCAGGGAGAAGTGTGGATTGGGTGTTACACGCATTCTGCTCTCAAGCCGCTGTGTTACGGCCCAGTCAGCGCATTCGAGTCCATTCAGCTGTCCTTCGAAAGTCGTTTAGGATGAGTCTATCGGCAGGATGAGCGAAAACCACCACTACATAGATCGTTGTTTGTAGAAGTCGGTCCCTATAGACAGTATAATACCTGACAAGATAGCGACAGCAATGTGCCAAAAGAGGTGTCATCCATGGCATGGAACCAGCTCTACTGCAGTATTCAAACCAATCTAGTAAGATATCGCATTCAACCCCGGAAATTTCATTCCGAACGCTTCTGTGCTACGACACGCCATCTCATCTTGTCACAAGCTCGACTGAGATCTGTCTTCATCATCTGAGCCCGTCATATCTGCCCGGGTTCCGAGCATCAAATGTAATAAAAGCATTGATATGCTTCAGACTCTTAATCTCGGTTAATAAAGTACCCCTTTACACACCAGGCAAACGTACGGATGGAAGCAAACCTACAGATGGAAAGGGCTGTCTGTGTACTTGTTAGCATAGCAAGGCCTGTCATATATACCAATCATATCGTGAATCGGGTTCTGCATGTGCAGAAATTCAACTATCTAATTCTGTGTGACTTGAAGATGGGACTTTGATGACTATCCCCACTATCATCGGGCGATTCGTGTCACTGGGCCTCTTGTTTGTCATCTCCGATTCGTTATAATTTCCGAGAGCGCTGGATAAAGTTTTCAGCTGGACCAACAGAGGAAGTAGATAGGGTGAGGAGAGGAAGGGGATTTGGAGAGTTATGAAAGGCTACGGCATGGACTGGTGGTTGAGGCATTTCATCTCGCTTTCTGAGTGTAGACCGATACCGGCTTATCCTTCTGTTCGCTTACATTGTCAGAAAGTCACCAGATATCCATGACATGGAGTCAGTTCCGAAAGTAAGAAGGCTAGCGAGCATTGTAACACTGCATTCGATAGAATGCCACAGAATAGCCTTCGCAATGCCACTACCGGATGGCTGCTCCATGCGCAGGAAAGAAAAGCAACGAAGACTGTTACGTCTCTACAGGGGATTTCTTCCAAAATTCTAGCAATCATGATTGCATGGTAGACACTGCTGTCAACGACTACCATCCCACAATGCTTCAACACTGATGCACACCCAACCAAAAGCTGACCTATTTCTCATCAAACGTATACGCAAAGGTATCCAACACCAGAGTCACCCCATCCGTCAACTCATCGTTCTTCCCAGCCTTGGTGACTGTAAACTCGATCTTGTTGACGTTCCAAATATCCTCCAGATTAACCTTCTGCATCTTGGTCGTGTCGGAGTACTTGATAAACACAGGAGTCGATTCACTCCCCGCAAGATCCCGCTTGTACCCCTGCACGATAACAGTGCAGGGAACGGTGGTCTTCTTCCCGTTCTTCTTCGGCCCGCTGCACGCAGCGTACACACTCTCGGCGTCGAACTTGAGCTTGTAATCATCGCGGGTCATACGGCCAAACGACTTCCCGACCTCGCGCGGGCCCGAAAAGAGAACCTTAGGGCTGCTTCTCTGGATATTCGACACCTGGACACTGGACCTGCCGACGGACCACTCTTCGCTGTAGTTGAGGCCTTTGAAGGGATTGTCGTGGAAGGCGCCGAGGTCGAGGGAATCATACTGGCGTCTTATTAGCACTGGAGGCGGCTATCGCGCATAGGTATACTAACTCCAGCGACGTAGCGCATCGACATGGCCAGTGTGGCAAGCGACAGGAGAGAGACGAGGGTGAACTTCATGATGGTGATCGTGGTGTGGCTTTGAATGATCTGGTGACAGTATGAACAGAATGATTCAAGAGCCAGCAATGCAATTTATAGGATCAGGAACGCAGGAGGCCCATAGAATGCAGTCCTGTCGTATTCGGAGCGCATTCGGGCCTTAGGTGAAGGGTGCTGCAGGGGGTGCGGCGGAATCCAGCCACATAGCAAGTCATTGCCAAAACAATGTGAGGCGTGGTAGACATATTACCAAAAAGGGATAGTATATCTGAGGCGTCTTGCATGATCGAGATGAACTCTGCATGATAGGTCCTCACGAGTTAGAAGTCAGATGACTCTTCATAGAAAGAGTCTTAAGTCGGTGCTTAGTGACGATGATCTACCGCCGATCAGATCAGTAGCCCCACTGGGATTCCAATAGTTCGGTTGAGCAATTCAGCCGTAAGTAGAGGCGTCCATTGACGTATCCTGCATATTCAAGCGAGTCGGCGAACTGATGAGGTTGGCGGACGCCTGGGGTTGAATACAATCGGGGAATACAACCGGGGAGCCCTTTTTCCTTGGTATGGCACCCTAACATGCTTGTCTCATATACCAAGCTCTGTGTCAACCTCCTTGCAGCGAAAACAATCCTTTCGATATGGAAAACTGGGAGCTCTGCTTTCATTGTTGTGGGTTCAGTGCCTTGTCATGTGTGGATAGAAAATTTACTGGTCCGTAGAGTCCTTCAGTCACCTGCAAGTATTCTGACTTCACGGAAGAACAGATCTCGCTCATCGATCTCACGTTGAAGCTTTTCTTCCTGGCCTCCGTTTTATCCCGCAACCCCGGACACAATATCCGCCCGCGTAATCCCACTGCGGTCACACATTGCCCGGAAGATGCCATCTTCCCGGTCCCAGAGACGCACAGGTGTGTCCATCTCCGCGATTCGGCCTTGCTCCATTACGCAGATCCGATCGTAGTGAATGATTGTGCGCAACCGATGTGCGATACACAAGACGGTCTTTCCCTGGAACCCCTGCGCCATGGCTAACTGGATCTTCCGGTCCGTTTCAAAGTCAACGGATGAGGTTGCCTCATCGCAGATGATAATTCGGGCGTTGCGCACCAAGGCGCGGGCTAAAGCCATGAGCTGACGCTGTCCGAGGGAAAAGGTAAGACCTTCTTCATCGACCGGCGTGTCGAGTGACAGCTTTGTCCGCGGCTGGCGTTGCTTCAACCCGCCAGCGACGTCCGAGTCAGGAGTCGTGTCGCTCTCGCGATCAGGAGCGTCAGAGGCGTCTATGAGATGAGCTTGACGCAGCGCGGACCACAACTCCAAATCCGAGTGTTCGTTGAAAGGGTCGAGATTAGAACGTACTGTGCCGCGGAACAGAGTTGGGTCCTGTGGGATAATGGCCAGTCTGGAACGAAGATCATGGAGACCAATTCTGCCAATGTCGATCCCATCAATCTGGATTGTCCCGGCTGATAGCTCGGTGAGGCGGAAAAGAGCAGACATGATGCTGGATTTCCCGGCACCGGTACGCCCAACGATACCGATTCGTTCACCTCCCTGTACATCCATAGTAAGTCCTTTCAGAACCAGGGGCAACCCATCCCGGTAGCGCATCTCCACATCATTAAAGATTATCCGACCTTTGTCGGGCCAAGATGGGGGAACTGGGGTGAGATGCAGCGGCGCCTCTTCTTGTAGTTGTGTGCCGTAGTAGTGCACGCGTTCGGTCGCATTCATGTCGTTTTCCACCTCGGCCAGCTGGCGGACGGTAAATTGAAGCATCTGGGCGATGGTTAAAATGTAGGAGAGCACAAGACCGGATATGCTGGGCGACACGTCGAACCGGGAGGTCACGACCAAAATAGCTGTCACAAAGATGAGGAGGACAGCGACAGCGTCAAGACGAATGCTCAGCCAACGCTGGTTAGCAAAGGTCAAAAAGTACGCTCCATTCATTGTGTCGATTGACTCCCGAATGCTGCGCTGGAATTGATTCTCAACCCTGTATGCGCGGATGCAAGCCGTCCCGGTGATGGCCTCGCCAAACCGAGCGTGGACGACTGAGCGAAGAACGGATTCGTGTCGCTTCAGCTCCCGGGCAGAGGCTCGGTAGTAGTTGGACGCCATAAGGAAGAGGACAATCAGGGGCCCGAGGGCGATGGCGAACTGGAAAAGTTAGCGAGATCACCGTGCACTCGAACAGCGCAGACATACGTAGTGGTAAAAGACTATGACCAACACGATAATGGCCAGAATCCCCGACAAAGTCAGAAAATACAACCGCGTTGCATCGGATAGTTCAGTATCCATCACCTGGACATCGCGTGAGAACCTGTTGGAAATACGGCCTGTTGGCGTGGTGTCGAAGAATGACATTGGCGCTCGAAGCACACGGGTCATGGCCCGCTGGAGCATGGTTCTGCTGGAATTAGTGCCGCAGGTGGTCAGGTAAGTGGAAAAGGAAAACATCAGGATGACAGTAATAGCCGCGATTCCTGCATAGATCCCAATATACTGGCCCGTGGACAGATGAGGGTACTTGTTCGAGGTCCAGTATGACAACCACAGGCCTGTCCACACGTTAGATACATTGGCCAGTCCCAGGAGAAGCAAGACCACAATAGCATTGAAGTAGCTTCCTGACGCCTTGATATATGCTTGCCACACTTTCCACCCAACGGCGTCAGTCGGTCTCTCTTCTTGCTGCATCAATGCTGGCACTTGTTTGCTCGCGATCTGCGTATCAGTATTTGTGTCCTCCTCAGGTGTCGGTTCAACTGGTTTGTCGGTCTGGTCTTCGGAGTCCTCCTGTCGTGCGGTGGATAACAGCCGTTGGAACAATTTATTATCACTCATCAGGTCCTCGAAGGTTCCTACCGCATGGATGCGCCCTTCATCCATAACCACAATTCGATCGCACCGGCTGAGCACGTGAAGTTGGTGGGTTGCTAGAATCCGACATCGATCTTTGAGGAGGCCGCAGATGGCCTTTTCCATAATATGACGACCGACGTGAGCATCAACAGCCGAGAGTGGGTCATCCAGGAGGACAAGTTCGGCGTTAAAATATATAGCACGGGCAATATTAAGACGTTGCTTCTGGCCGCCAGAGACAGTGATCCCACGCTCTCCAATCTCTGTGAGATCACCATTTGGTAGGACTTTTAGATCAGGTCTCAGGGCGCAGGCGTCAATCACCTGCTCATACCAAGTATGGTCGTAGTCCGTGCCAAATAGAATATTGTTTCGCACGGAAGTATTCTGTATCCATGCATATTGGGAACAAAACGCACGTGTCGTGCCAAGTCGGACACAGCCCTCTTCCAGTCGCATCTCGCCTGCCAGGGCGGAGAGCAACGAACTCTTCCCCGATCCAACACTGCCGATGACTGCCACTAGTTCATTCCGTCCGATTTCAAGACACACGTCGGTTAAGCGAAACGGTTCGCCGGGTTCCTGGACCTCTAATGTTGATTTGGACTCCGCAACTGCCTGTGCTGGCTTTGCTCGTTTTTCTGGACCTTTCAGATGCTCCGCACCAACCTCAGCGGGCGATTGTTCCCAGGTGAAGGTTGCATGCTCCATGGAGATGGCGTTGGCGAGAGATTTATCGTGGTGGATATCCTCCTTGCGTTCCTCGGCGAAGATAAAGTCCTGGATGCGGTTCAAGGCAGTCCAGGCGTCTGCTATCTGGCCAATGACCATAGGCAACAGATTCAACGGCATCCGCAGGGCGTTAAACAGAGCAAGTGAGGAGAAAACCGGTGCTGGGTCCAAGTCGTGTTTCGACAGGGCATAGGTGACAAAAGACAGTAAGGATGCAAAGACTGGAATCGACATGGATACACTCATGATCGCGTTGCGGACAGCCAACAGAGTCTGGATCAATCGAATCTCGCGCTTCCTGATTTCCTTCAGGCGATTCAAAAAGCTACTCTCCCAACCGAAGAACTTGACAAACCGGACACCCTGCAGGATCTCCTGAGTAAGCGAAACACGCTGGTCGGTGAGTCGATTGATATTGCGGCGTCTTTTGACGAGAAATCGCACGGCATATGTGAGGAAGGGGAGGCCGAAAACCAACAGAGCATACCCACAGAGGCAGCTGTACCCGATGTTGACGAGAAGCAGGATCAGCGTCACGATCATGGAGATTGGCGCGGTCCAGACCATGTGAAACATGCCGCACGCTAGGTTAATTCGATCGACATCGACACTCATCAGGGCGATGATCCGCCCGTTGTTCCATCCAGACTCGTCAACCGCACCAGTGGGTTTTTTGATGCGCTCAAATATGGCTTGGATTGATGTTGGCCGAAGAGCTCGCTTTTTGGCCACCTTCAGAGCCTCGATGTTCGCTTTCTCCTCGGCGGAGGGTTTCCCACCAGCTTTCGCTCGACCTGACAATTTCATGGCTTTGTTGAATACTTGACAGATAAGCAGGCCGCGGATCTGTCCGCCGACCATCTGGCCTCGGTAAAGGAACTGGTTGGTACATAAGCTCTGAAACACCTGGATGCACGTAATGCCGACAGCAAAACCCATCCCGCGGCCGATATGCGGGGCCGGGGTTCCCCTATGCTGAGCCGCATAGGCCTCGGTGGAGAAGGCGATGAGATACCTGGTGAGATAAGGAGCAAATACCAGCAATAGAGAGCTGAGGAGTTGACAGACGCCCCCAAGGAGAAATTCAAATCGAAAGGTATCATAAAGCGCCGCGAGGAGCGGAATTCTGCTGCCGGCGTGGACGCGACGGTCCAAGGCCGATTCCAGCTGATCGCACAGGACATCAATACTGCGATTAGGGTTGACTGTCCAGATATCTTGGAGTTCGAGTGGCCGGAGGTAGCCCACCTATACAGGGGTGGGTTAGCAACGGGTGCACGAACCATACTAGGCCAACATAATGGGGCGGAAGATGTACTTTCATGAGTGGAGACATCCACTGAAAAGACACGATGCTCCAGAATGAGGCTCCATATTCGTGCGAGACGTCCCGCTCGACTGGAGTCGGAGGGATCTTCTGGAGTCGCAGGGGGTTGAGATAGCGGTACCACGGCGGTTTGGGGGCGACCCGTTGGACGTCGGGGGAGGGCTGTAATTCTCCCATTGTTCCAGCGGATTTATATGGCACGCTACATGTGTGAAAGGCGTGTCTGGTGGGATAATCGGGGTGGTCGTTGGTTAAATAGACTTGGGGGCATCTTCCGTTCCGGGTGTCACGGCTTCCTGATCCGTCAGCAAGGACGGACGATGTTCTCGGATTGTGGCCATCCCCCACCTAACGGGATAATTCCGCCGTGCCCTAGGGCTTACAGCAATCTTTTTGCTCCTGCAGAAGTGAACCAAATCAAGTTTCTGTGCCCAATAAAATAAAAACAAAATATCCCGGTCATGCAAATTGTTCATTTACGATGCCAGGCCTTGAGATGGACTACTGTGTACATACAGTACTGCTTATCACCCGAAAGCGGCCTAGCCCGCTATCTAGACGGAGGCCCCGCTGGGTCGTGCCGCGGTTAAAGCGATTAGAGAGTGTCAAGATCCACTCTGAAATAGAGACGATCCTCACCATTATCCATCCCCTCAAGTTGAATCCGAATTGATCGAGATCCAATAATGGAAGTACCCAAAGCTTCAACATGCAGTGCGCTTGGCTGTGACCGAGCTTAGAGTGGTAGAGGTGGTTCCTTGCATAGTGCAAGGGCAATCTACACATACACACTGGCCCAAGCCAAAATGGCTCGGAGGCATCGCTTGCCATCGGAATTATACGATCCAATTGATATCGCTGGACAGTCTGTTGAACAGTATGGGTTGTATTCGGATTCACTAGAGAACCACGGCCCTTCGTCTCTCAGAGTTCATCCTCCCAGAGCTGCTCCATTCCCGGTGGCCCATGGGAAATATGTCTCGGGTCAGTTGGTCTGGGAAGTCGCTTGTCGGTGTAATTGACTCTGTTCTCATTCTGCCATTGCAGCCACTGCTCGTGGAATATGCACTGACGCTCGGGCGTAAAGTCCGTCGCAGGGGTATGCCACCCGTCCATCCAGTTGAATGTCAGTGCATTATACGAAGGCTGGCAACGGAGGTCTTGCACGAGGACGTAGAGGCAATGGGACAGATGGATCCGGTCAAGCTTTGGGGTGTCTTCAAACCGCTTGTATTTCTTGCCGTAGAAGTGATCAAAGTACGCATATTGGCGGACAAAGTTCAGGCAATGGATGTTGTGCTGCATTTCCGTCTGCCATATATAGGCGTCGTCGCCGTATCCTAAACCAGACCGCCTACTCAGCCATGGCACCAATGGATTCGGGAGTTGGACTCTTGCTTACCCCAATCCTCCGGAAGCTTAACTACCTTCTCTGGATCCTTGTTCATCTTGATCACTTCTTCCCTGCTCATCACCATCGGCCCGAGCTGTGCGATCCGATCCCATTCGGCGTTGGATTCGGGGTTGGGCTCTTGCCGCAGAAGGTTGTGCGTTACGTCAAATAGGTGGCCATCTACCGTATAGTTGTGTAGCGGGAGCTCCAACCGAGCGAGAATCGGTGCTATGGGAAGAGCCAGTGTCAGTACCTCAGTGCATATTGGACATAAACGACGTACAGTAGGCATTAACGTCTTTGAAGATTGCATTCGCGGTCATCGGCCGGCTTTCTGTGACGGAGCCGGCGCGTAGTAGTGTCACCAGGGATACCACGAATAAGACAAGATTGGCGGTCACAAAGGCGCACTCGGATAGACGAAAGTATCTTCGATGGCGAGCATAGGGATTTTGGAAACGCTCCTCAGAATCCTAAGTAGATAATTGATTAGAACTTTTCGCTGGATACTCGAGTGGTGTCACTAACGGAGTTGAGTAGAGCATATTTTGATTCTTCTCTGCCGTCGGTGGCCATTTGCATCGCGGGAATCACCTTGCTCGGTGATGCAATGATGGGTATTGAAAGTGCACAAGTAAGATCAGAGATCAGGGTTGGCTTTGTTGTTTCAGAAATCAGAATATATAGAAGGCAAGCCTGGAGAGCGGGGTGAATTTTGTATCGTCACTTCCTTCTTGCGTCCTGCATTACTATGGCTCATTCGCACTCCCCCTTGCAACTTTCTGAAATCGCGGTGAAGAAGAGACCGTTCAGTATAGAATCCAAGACCCTGCCATTTCAGCATCTGCTCCCTGCTCCCTGGAGGCCTTGCGCATCGCTTACATTCTGAACTTCAAATTAACACCACTACATAAGATGATCGGTGGTTCATATGCATATCCATGTGGAAGATTATTGGTGTCAAATTTAATCATTCATCCCACTATTAAGTAAGGCGTTGAACATGCAGCTGTGGCCTACGTCATGTACAGCTTCATATGACTTCAAAGAATGTAGTTATCCCTCACCTATCGTATGATATCATATCATGCGTATAGGCGAGATAGCAGTGGCTAGCCACCAGAAGCCAGCTGGTCGTGTTGAATGGACTGTATCCCTGTGATATCAACCAGAATCCTTAGCCGAAGGTATTCCAGACGTAGTTTACCGCGGGGATCCAGGCAGTTTTCTCTTGCATCAATGGTGCGCATAAAACAACTTATATAGGCGGATTATCCTACCTGGTATTGATCACCCTGGAGAAAGCCAACAGATATTCCAAGATCGCCTATGGATGGGCTATAGTAATCTGATGCAAGCATAGTACAAGTCAGAAGATGCTGCCTTGCTCAAACGGCCTCCATGTTACGGTAGCACCGTAGCATTTCGACCTAGATGCAAGACGATGTAGTCCTCCTCACTGTCTCGAGCATTACTGATTGTCTCCACTCATCTATCCTAAAGCCCCTCGTCGCGCATCACGAAGCCAGACACTGCGAAATCCGAGTCAAGGTAAGGGATGATAGTGGTAGGGAACAGTCGCAGCAATTATGATAGCACAACCACATAGTAACGGGACAGCCGATCGAGGTGGCCTTCTATGACAATGGGTATACTTCACACGATACGTCACCAATGTTCAAGAGCATAAATACCCCCCATTGCCCTTTGGGTCAGACAGGTCTACACTTGAATAACAAGCCATAGTTCTTTTTGCCTCAATCATATCGAGAAGTCCATCTCTATCCTCCCTCGTTCCTCTATAAAACCCGACTGTCCGTTGAGCCTCGCTCGGTTTCCAAGATGAAGTTCCTGACCTTCTTCTTCGCTACTCTGCCACTCATGGCCATTGCTTGTATGTATTGTGGCACCAGAATTCCTCAGTCCATAGCCGTTCCTCACATGTGTCGCAGCTCCTATTCCGGATGCTGAGCATCCCGAATGGCCCGCTAACAACGCGGTTCGCCCTGGAGAGACCCCCAATGCTGAATCCGAGAACAAGGAGTTCGTCTATTGGCGCCGCGATATGAACCACCCCGAGTGGCCTGCTAATAATGCCGTTCGTCCCGGGGAGACCCCCAACGCTGAATCCGAGAACAAGGAGTTCGTCTATTGGCGCCGCGATATGAACCACCCCGAGTGGCCTGCTAATAATGCCGTTCGTCCCGGGGAGACCCCCAATGCTGAATCTGAGAACAAGGAGTTCGTCTATTGGTAGATAGGCATTATGCATTCTGGGAGAACGCGCGACTCACAATCTGTCTGCGCGATGGAACGCTCTCAGCTTTATGATTATGAGATACGGCAAGATTGACTCTGAGGCCATGATTTTTACTCTGGGAGAAGATTCTATTCTCTAAGTTCCTGTCTGCAGACTCGTTGAGTGAGCACTCCATAGTCACTCTTTTCATCATGAATTTTTAATGGAGTCAAGGCAATCAATCAGCTTCGTGGGAACGTACTTAAGTGGGTAAAATATCTAGTAGTTAGATGTAGGAATGACTAGTACGTGAGAGGTCAGCAAAGAGTTCCCAGTTGAAAAGATAACATATACAAATACATGTCCACGGAGTACAGACGGGGTCGCTTGTCCATCGGTGATCCTATGTTTGGATTGGCTTTCGCCATGCATAGCGGGGAATCCCCAGCCGAGGTATCTCACCTGAACTATACCCGAGATTCCTTTAAGTTGCACTTGAGCAAAAGTTTGTAACACTGTCCACTTAGGGATTTCCAATAATCCGATTGCATGCTCCGACGGATACAATGATCCAGATGGTTAACTCTACACTCCCTTTGTAAAGCTCGACTGTATGTGGGTGAGCGTCTCCCAAGCCTTCCTCTTTGGACAGGAGATATTGATTCATCTTCAAGCATAGATATGGAGCTAATAAGTACAGCATGTAGTCTTGGTTAGCAAATGCACAATTATAGTCTGTGATCATGCCCATATCTCACATACCACTCTTGAGTAGGCCGGTTAAGACGGATCCAGCTTTGCTAGCTTCCCCGCTAGAATACAAAACGCGGGGATAATAAAGATTTCATAATCTTCTGCATTCCTTCCTCTTTTCTGATAGTCAGTTAACCTCCTGACTCTGGTGTGATTGTTTGATCTCAGGGATGAGGTTGACGCGGTTCTGCCATCCCTAGTCGATCAAGTAGAACACCACAGCCGCTAGTCGGATACTTCACAGCACCGTGAATGGCTGCTTGGATCGGCACGGGGACTGCAGAGGACCCGATTCGGGTGACCTTTCGCAGTAATGATCCGTTGAATCCAAAGAACTTCCGAGCACGTACCAAATGGGCCGCAACCATGGTCATGGCGTTCTCGACCTTCACCGTCGCCTTTGCGAGCTCAGCATACAGCGGCGGACAAGCGCAGGTCATGAGCGAATTCGGCCTCTCCGAAGCCGGTGCTACGTTGGGAATGTCATTATACGTGCTAGGGTTCTCAATAGGCCCTGTGTTCTGGGCGCCACTATCGGAGATATTTGGACGGCGGCCCGTCTTTGTCGCCAGCTTCGGGGTGTTTACTATATTCAACGCTGCAGCTGCCGGGTCAAGGAATGCTACTTCGCTCCTGATCTTTCGCTTCCTGGCTGGGTCGTTCGGCTCTTCGCCGCTATCCAACGGCGGTGGCGTGATATCTGACATCTGGGACCCCCAGTTTCGCGGTTCGGTGTCCACATTCTACGCAGCAGCGCCGTCGATGGCCCCCGTTCTCGCACCGCTCATGGCGAACTTCGCCGCCCCAGAGATTGGCTGGCGGTGGATACTGGGGATCTGCAGCGGTTTGTCGGGGCTCATCTGGATCCTGGGCGCGCTCGTGCCGGAGACCTACGAGCCGATCATCCTGCAGCGCCTTGCAAAGAAGCTCACCAAGGAAACGGGAAAGGTCCACGCCAGCATCCTAGACGACGTGAGCCAAACACCTCGCGAAAGAGTGCGCAACCTGCTGAGCAAGTCGGTCCTCCGTCCGTGGCAGCTTCTCGTCTACGAACCCATTTGCCTGCTCTTCGCGATCCTCATGGCCATCGCGTACGGCACGCTGTACCTCACGTTTCCGGCCTTCCCATATGTGTACGGGGACGTACGCGGCTGGAGCCAGGGCGTGTCCGGGCTGTCGTTTCTGGGCGTCGGCGTTGGCCAGTTCATCGGCCTGCTGTACTACGTCTGGGACAACCGGCGATATAATCGCGTAGCCAAGAACTCACCCCACGGTCATGCGCCGCCCGAGGCCCGATTACCACCCTGTCTGGTGGCAACGATTGCGCTGCCTGGCGGGCTCATCTGGTTCGCGTGGACGAACGGCCCCAGTATCCATTGGATAGTGTCGATTATTGCGACGGTGCCGTTTGGGTTTGGGCTGATTATTCTGTTTCTCGTGACGATCAACTATCTGCTGGATGTGTACACCATCTACGGCGCGTCTGCGGTGGCTGCGAATACGATACTGAGGTCGCTTTTGGGGTTTGCGTTCCCGCTGTTCACTCGCAAGATGTACGAGGACCTGGGAATCCACTGGGCGTCGATGGTCCCGGCATTTCTGACCCTGGCGTGTCTGCCGTTTCCGCTCATTTTCTACAAGTACGGCGAGGCTATTAGGATGCGATGCAAATACGCGGCCCATAGTGCTAGAATGGCTGCTCGTATGAGAGGCTCAGAAGAGGATGGAGTGCCGTGACCCAATGTTTTCCTTATTTAATCGATGCTATACTGCTGGGCTTTTGGTTACATGCGATGGCACCGGGCGTTCATAATGCTTTGTGCACATCATATGACATATACATATTTTGAAACATCACATCTAGCTGATAGGGTTGCCGGTTACAAATAGGAGATAACGAGGACGCTTATCGTTCTAGGCCCTGCAGCGAATCCAGTGCTGTGTATACGCAATGTCCGCTGCAACTCGATTATGAAAGTATCCCTAGCCCAGGCAATCTATATCCCCGCGTTGTTTATTCCTCCGAGAACCAGGCAGACGAGTAGATACAATGCAATCGGCATCTAGAACGCCGTGAGAGGAACGTATAACCGTAGTATGGGTGGCTATGGCCTTTTTTGGTGTCGAAGTGGACTGACAAACAGGCCACGCTCACGTAAGTTCCCCTTTCACAAAGCGGGTTACAGGAAATTTTAGACCACAGACCATATGCGCTACGACTGCAGGTGGTATACACAAGTCGCTAGATCCTGGTTGGTCAGCTGTACCAGCACATCGAAGAGAGAAGGACAGCGGCTTGGGACTGCCGTAGCCTGTCAACATCCACTGATCCTAATATCCATTGAGAAAATGGTGATGCTGTGGTTACTATTATTGGTAGGCAGCACCATGAATTACCCCACGTCTATAATCTCACCATATCCTTTGCCCTCGAGGAATACCTAGCTATTGCCCCTCAAATCGGGCATTTCCTTGGGGCTGGCTGAGTCGGCAGTCACTCTTGAAATTCTTCAACGCAATTGCACCGGCTAAGGTCACGGCTCGACGCTTTAGAGAATCGCACACGAAGAAAGTTATCAGAACACACAAGTGATGACTATTCAGTCCGGCGTCCTTGATCACAGCACCGTCCTGCTCTACCTGCTAGAGCGTTCCCGCGTAGTTGAAGGTGATCTCCAGTAGGTGCGTCCCGGCGCTGTATGTCTCCTGCATGGTGTTGCGGTATGTCGACGTACCGCGTTTCCATTCGTGCATCTCCATCGCTCATCGAGCTTGCCTCGCGATACGCACAGTCGTTGCGAGACTATCGGACAGGCCTATTTGTGCGACCACAGGCCGGAGAGTGACGAACCAGCTGACCGCCCGGGTGACCTGTATCGAGGGAGCATGTCTTGCGGCCATGGGCTTCATTGAAGTTGCTGGGGACGGCGCGTTGGAGAAAGATCTGGACAAATGGGAGGAGGACGGATGAATGGGAGGAGGACGGATGCATGGAGGAACTCAATCGATCCAATGTCCGGAGCTTGTTGATGATTTGCTCCTCCAGGCGGACTATACGGGATCCAGGGAAGTGCATCTTCACTTCAGCACTCGGGAAAGACGGCTGATTCGCTTGCACATGGCATGTATAGACACAGCGAGCCCGCAATAGTTGATATAGAATCCATGCCTTAATGGAAAGGAAAGCAAACATGCATTATCCAATCAAGCTTCACGCCTTCGGTTATTCTGTAACATGGCCGCCGTTGCGGACGGAGGTCTGACTGTGGCTGTGTATTTAACGAGATCAATATGTCGTACAAACTTCGGTATGCAACTATAGAAGGCGAACGTAGCCGACGAAGCCCGGCGGGCTATGCGGACGTGTTCGAAGTGGCCCAATAGAGACCGGAATACGGCCAGCTAGTACGCAGTCCAGAACATAGTAGGCCGGCCAAGAGCAAACACAAAACACGGGAGTACATCCAACGGTACGTCAGCGCCGCCATGTGGCTACGAATTCCCGCATGGGAACCTATCTCTCAAAACGTAGATCCTGTCGCCCTGCAGGGTGGGTCATTGTCTGCACGGTTATGAATGGAGCGAACATTGCCTATAGGCTTTACGGCGGAGTACGGACATAATCATTAAGGCCGAAAGAAAGCTGAAGATTGATTGAATGGGGATGATATTATACTTCGTCAAGTGGTCTAGAATGAAATCAGGTACTTCTATTTCCAGACTTTGTTCAACTATGATTGCTGCCACCAGGCAGCCATTTTCTTCTGCTTATGATGTGTTGAATATCGTGGGTAATCCTCTTAACGCGCATTCATATTGTATAGTGTGTGGCTATCCTCAGGGGAAGCAGCCCTTGCTCCGTTTACTCAGTTAAGATGAGCTGCAAGGGTTGCTTGTGACCTAACACTCCGTGTATTAGTCGAGATGGTCGACGACTGGCGGAGGGGTTAGCAGAGCACGTCTAGAAGGCCTCGCACGAATGCGCGTGGACCTTGCTTGTATAGGACACCTTATTATTCACGCCTCACCTCTTTCATTCCCACGACTCCCATGTCGAGCCGCGTAATCAACAGAACCAAGATGCATATCTACGAGTCCTTGAAACAAAGGGGCTTCGTATTTGACTCGTAGAGTCAGGGAAGACGGCTTGGGGAAATGTAAGAAGGCTTTCAGCCAGGGTTCGTCTGACTGCAGCTGTGCCACGGACTCATACGCTACTTCTTCCAGTGGAAGAGGGATATCTCAATCCTGGCTGTAGAGGTTATCAGCTGGTCATGCTGGAAAGGATTGGGATACCACCTAGAGACCGTAGTAGACGAGGCGGCTAGGCCAGCAGAGCAGATAACCTTGGTAGTCAAAGCAGGATATGTGGAATGAGGGAGACCAATAACTCGTTTCCGGGCACATTCCAAACTAGTCGCGCCATGAGCAAGGTGTAAGGCCTATATTATTGCGTTGAAGGGTATATAAATGGCAGTGTCGACTCAAAGAGGTCCACAGAATCTCGAAGAGAAGCTACCACTCGAGCAATATACCCACTGTACAAGATTCCCAGCATACCCAGATCACCTCACCTACTTGGACGTATTCTATTCTACAATGGAACCCATCAATCGTGCTGTGCTCTCGCAGAAAGCGGTAGGCCTGTTGATCTACTCAAGACGATTATAAGCCTTACTTACTGGCGAATTTAGGGTGTCCACATCCAAACGCATGAGGTCGTCAACTTTACCTCGGTCGTGCTTGACCCAGGTGATACAAACAGCGTTCTCATTTTCTATCGTGACTTGTCGACGAAGCAACTTCGAGTCTCCTTGAACAAGGAACAGAAGACAGTCAAAGTCGACGGTGAACATATATCCGTAAAGAGCGAAAATTACAACTTCGCCATATCAGCGGTTGCATATGGATCAGAAGTACACTTCACTCTATCAACCGCCCATGCGCTCTTTAGGGTATTAAAAGGCTAACTGCTTGGGTATTTATAGATCCGCATCTACTATGTGGACGATGAGGGTCACATCCGTGAACTGATGGGCAAGTGCACTGATTCCAATCGCAAGGATGTTGACAATTGGAAATGGTCTGCCTCTTCTGGTTTCAACGGCAAGAAATATAAGACCCTGGCCAACGCCCGTATCTCCGCTTTTTGTAACAAGAGCGATGACACCCTCAACGTGGTGTATGTGAACACAGAGGGGAAGTTTATCAGAGCATACTCTCGTCCTAGCACGGCCTATGTGGCAGATGGCAATTGGATACAGGAAGAGGTCAAGGAAGCTTAAAGGAACTTCCACAACGCGATGGGGTAGTCCCGGCCTGTTAGGCGGGAAATTTCTCCGGTGTGGCGAGTCTATATGAGATTTCTAATCTCATGAATAGTTTGATCATAGTCTATGCTTTCACGGTTCTTTGTCAAAATTCGTTCCCCTTGTCCAGTAATGCGTACGATAGGCACCAACTAAGATAGTACGTATTCGTCGCAATATACTAGACGATGCTTACCACTGTTTCAAAGGAAACCGAAGAAGAGTTTCAGTTGCTGCTCTGGATCTGCAAGCCACTGTACTAGTATGCCGGCAATGGTCCTTTTGAATGCTAACAACCTAAGTTGGGATGTCCAGGGACTGGGGGGCAATAGTCCAGGCTCGTTGGGCGAAATACGCACATATATCACGGGATTGTGGGTGCCAGAGGAAGTGATAGGATAATGTTCAGACGCTACAACTCCGGCCAGAACTGCTTGATGCGCACCATATCAAAGTTGAATGATATGCCTAGCAAATACCCGTACTCCGTACATGACGTAGCCCGACCTGCCCTGGGGAAACCAGAGAAAACAGGGTGCCTGGTGTGCTAGGATAACGGCTGCATAACAACGAACCCACGTCTGCCAATAATACCCATGGGCTTGTCTTGATGCAGAGTCGGAAAGCGCCGGTGCACCGACGCCCACGCCGTCTGCACTTAGCGCCGGAACTAGTCGCACGCAAAGCCACCGACGTCCAATTCGCACTCTCGTTCAGCTCTATCCGCCCCGCCGGACACGGCGGACAGAGCCTCTGACATCAGCCATTCATGTCGATGGTAATCTACTGTACCGTGGTTTCGGCTATCGCTTCCGTTCGTGGCGCCACGCATGCTGGGATCGATGCGAGGGTACACGCGGGGGTGGATTCGATGCGAGCGAGACCGTGCACTCTGGCTTACCCCGTAGTTAACTAGCTAGTGAGTGCCTGGTCGTGTGCGTCAGGATCTCTGGAGCAGCCGGGACGAGACGGAGCATTAGGCAACCATGTGATTCTCGGCTGAGAGAATCGGGAAAGTTTTCCGTGTTCGCACATCGATACGACCTTACACGGCGTAGGGGGATGTCTCGCACACGGCTGGACCTGTCGAGCGAGATGGATGCCATGCCATCCATGAAGGTCGGAGTACAGGCTTGCGAACCCAGTCTTCAGACTCTCCTCTATGGACAGCAATCAGTATCTTCGCCCCACCTCCCCTTTCAAGACACCATTCCCTGTCTAATCAGAAGCAAACAGAGTATCTGTGATTGGAGACTATGGCTATAGGATCATCCCGCGACATTTAGTCGGCTCGGTGGCGTTCCGCTACGCCCGGCATCCAAGTCAATCCCACAACCGCTGCAGGCATCCTGCTAACAAGCCAAGGAACGGGCTAACGGACCCCAGACAAGAGGCGTTTACGGGGGGGTCTGGTAGCCAATAAACGGGTGCAGCATCCCTATACCAAGGCGTCCTTGCCAGCCTTCATCCTGAACAGGCTCCCTGCACCCTGTTCTGTGCGGCATGTCCTCGGCATCCTTGCCTCGAGTATTCAGGGGCGGTTAAACAAAGGGAAAGTTAATCTTATCTCGTCGTCCAGTGTGCCTGGTGGCGTTTTACGGCATTTTCTTCATTGGTCTCTGGCGTGGACGGTGGTTTCTTCTTCATCACCTCCGCCAAGTATCAAGATGAGATCGATATGGGGCCATCGCAACGACCACCCTGTGCGGATCTCGATCGCACATACATTTCCACCGCTTTAAGCCACGTCACGAACGTGCAGCGCATATCAGCGCGGGATATGACGTTCTGGTGCGGCCAGACGGGTTTGACAACCGGAATTGATAAGACGATTGACCCTCAACGCGCATCAACGCGCATCTCTCCCCGCATTTCACGAGGCAGACGGGACCGGAATTGGTTGAGCTCGGGGTAAAACTGGGGCCTGCACGAGAAATATCGCATCGCCGTGTCGACCCACCTGCCAAGGATCCATCGCAGATGCCCCTACGTCTGCTCCACCGCCGCGAGATGCACCCCTCCCACTCATCCCATGCTGCGCTTCTATAAAGGCTCGCATGAGCCCATGTTCTCCCCCCTCCTGTAGCACCCATCCACAGCCCGTGACATGAGCGTAGTCAGAGCATCAACCCATGCGGACTTCGACGACATCCTGAAATGTCACTCCTCGCGCTTCCTTCCGAGGTGATCCTCGACATAGCAGACACCGTCCCTCCTCTCCGCGACATCAGCGCCCTTAGTCGCTCCAACCGCCACCTGCATCGACTTTTAACCCCGTATCTCTACCAGCAAGCCCTCACGCGAAACGACGGCGAGATCTTCATTGCCTCCCTCGAGCGGGACTCGTACGGCCTGGCCCAGCGCCTCATCCGCGAGGCATCCCGCCTGCAGTTCTCCTGGACTGCGTTTAGAGCCCGCTGGAAAAAGTATGAGAACTATAAAGCCCTGCGGGCTCTCGAAGCAAGAGAGCAAAATTACGACATTAATCAGGACGGTCCCTTCAATGGATACGAGCTCCTCTCGACCGCCATTGACTTTCGCGACAGGACCTGTGTCGAAGTCTTGCTGGATTGGAAAGGGGAGGAGCTCGCCTCTAATGCCATGGCCAAGGGGCACGATTATGTCCTGAGGGCGGCGGGTTGCGGATACGTTGAGATCCTGCAGCTTCTCATCAACCGCGGCTTTCCCCTGGACTGTATTGTGCATACCTGGACCCCGTTGTTTGCGGCGGTCTATAACGGCCGAGTTCCCGCAGTCAAGCTGCTCTTGGAAGCTGGCGCCTCCGTTCACCAGAAGGATAAGAAAATGGACTGGACGCCGCTGGCGTGGGCGCTCGACCCCGGCGCCATGAACCGCGACAAACAGTGCTACTGCTGCCGCTTCAACTACTTCTACCGCCCCGATGGACAGGAAGAAATGGTCGACCTCTTGCTGAAGCATGGAAGCGATGCGAACTTCCGCGACCGAGAGGGCACGACCCTGCTGCAGCTAGCCAACAATACATACTCGGGGACGGTGGTGAAGCCGCTTCTCGAGGCGGGCGCTGACCTATCCGCTCAGGACGAGGAGGTCCGCCACACGGTGTTTTTGCGCGCGTGTTCGGACAAGGACCAAGGTCTGGTGGCCTACCTGCTGGACAGGTATCGCCATGACATTCTCTCCGTCCAGTCGCATCACTGGAAGGGACGTCCGTACGGAGTGTATTCTCCGGGACTCATGCACGGAGTAGTCTCCGGTGACTATGATCTGGTCAAGACGATGCTGGAGTGGAGAGCGGATCCGAACTTCGTCGACGAGACGGGAGATACGCCCCTCATCCACGCTCTGCGATCGAATACCGCTGATGTGGCGCGCATTGCTCGAGTGCTTCTCAGTTACGACGCAGATCCGAATGCGGTCAACAACGACTCCGAGACGCCCCTGCAACTTGCCATGGCGAACAAGAACCACGTCGTTGTGGACGCCCTGCTCGACAGCGGCGTAGATCTGACGTCCTGCAACGATACTCTGGCCATGACGAAGATATTGCAGGTGGCGCTCACCACTGGCCGTTCGGACATTGCCCAGCTACTCCTCACGCGAAGTATGCTTCCGGAGACTCCTGTCGCGATACTCGACGATCCTTGCACGACGTTCTGGCCGGAAAATCCGACTATGTATGGTCTCGGCCGAGACCGACAGATTGCTACTTGAGCAGGCGGAGACCTGAGACAAGAGCACAAGAATTTCCACGCGAGGTCGCCAACCTGGCATCAAAACCCACTCGCGCCCTGTCTGGCTTGGGAAGACGATAAAGAATTTCAGATCCGCCCCTGGCTGGTTCCAGGACGCAACCCGACTGAAGACGTGCTGGCATACGCTTGCTGGACGTACATGATAACGATACAACGAACGCATCGAATCAATATAGACAAGGGATAGCAGTCACAATACAACACTCTACTCAGTATGAAAGATATGTAGATACTGTCTAACCTGATTCTTGGAGAGCAATCTCTCACACCTCCTCTATTGGGTCTCCATATACGCTGACCTCGTGCCTTCACTACCACCTTACGTCCTCCAGAGGACTACACCTAACCAACAATCCAACTCATTGCCTCTTATTAATCTTCATCCCTCCCACTCGCTAGGACAATAATCACCGATGTACTCCTCGAAGTCTCTATCTCCCCAATATTCAAAAGAAGATGACAAAGAAGGCTCTGAACAATAAGAAAAAGAACGGCTCTCCACAATGGGGGTTTTTGCCTGTTCATATATAGCTCCCAGTCGAGCAATATCCTGGCAGCTAAAATAGATGCCAACAAGCTTTTCACTTGGTCCTTCCGTATGATAGACACGTCCTGTGGACGAAATCTGTGTCGTGGCCGGCGAATATTGGAGTTGGCGTCGGCGTTGCTGCCACACATCCCATCGGGGTTGAATATCAAAATCCTCGACCTTATCAGGTATAACAGGGCGAAGCCAAGTCTGCTGTCTGAATTCGGCGAAAGAAACGGCCTATTCAAAGCACGCGAGACATCGCCATAACTAAAGCCAGATTGAGACGACCCTGCGGTCAATGCGGACGGAAACGCTGCATCGCTATACGACTTTTGATGTTGACGATGGAGTCCTGATTCGCACATGTTACAGTGGTGAAGACACCCACCGAGCCATCTATTCACAGTATATCAACAGCTATCCCTGATTGTCTCTACCTGGACGATGCAGACTTTTTGCAACTGATCTACCCGGTGTGCTGATACAGTTCCCCGAGTTGGCTGCATGCACGTCTTCAGATGCTGCACAAAAACAGCGCAAAGCGTCGGTGCGCATGTTCAAAGAGGAAGAGGAAGTGTGTCTGCTTTACCATGACGAAGATGCTAGACTGGATTATCAAACATACCAAGAGGCGTGTGTGGTGTCGTTTGCACTCGTTGAAGATGAGCAGGCCCAGGTGAATGGGGAGCTTCTCATGGTCTACCTCGACAACTGTGGCAATGTGAGACGGCACTGCCGCGTACCTGCCATCGAAGCAGCCTCGTGTGTAGGGGTATGGCGGGAGTGTACTGTAAATTTGAAGGTCTTTGGGAGTATGCGGAAGTTGGGTCTGCATATCTGCCTGGCGGTACTCGTCGGCCTCCATATCAGAAGCTAGATAACTAACACAGCCTACGCTAATATAGGCAAGAATATAACCAACGAAATGGGTAAACAATATTGTAGTTTACTTGTATCCGTCCGACATATCTGCAGGCCATCGCGGATATATATCGAGCATACACTGACGCAATCGAAGTCCGTCACCCACCATGCTCTGGCCATAAAGACCTTCAAAAGCCATCATATACACGGAATACTCGACATATTAAAAGGGTCACTCTCCAAGTCCACCGACAGCGCAGCAATGTTTCCCAAAAGAGTAATCTTGTTCAGGAGCGCGTAGGCGGTGTGGCGCGGCAAAATGCAGATCGCCATCGCGTCCAGCAAAAGAGATCCGAGCAAGATCTCTCAATCTCACCTTCCCCCCTCTCCCCTTTCTTGCCTTTCTTACTCCCACCTCACTCACTCCAGGGGCGGAATCTCTTCAATCCGCTTCCAATGGAGCCCTCGTTCGACCTCCCAGATTCCACCGACTGGCTCGACACGCCGCTGTCGCTCCTCACGCCTCTAGAATCCGCGCTCCGCTGCCAGGTCTGCAAGGACTTCTTCGACAACCCCGTGATCACCTCGTGCAGCCATACGTTCTGCTCCCTGTGCATCCGACGGTGTCTGAGCTCGGAAGGAAAATGTCCCGCGTGCAGGAGTTCCGACCAGGAACTGAAATTGCGGCGGAACTGGGCGGTGCAGGAGCTCGTCGACGCGTTCCAGAACGCGAGACCGAGTGTTCTGAAGCTGGCAAAAACTGCTGCGGAGGAGGAGCGAGGTGGTGACAAGCCGGCGTCGAAGAAGCGGAAGGTCGAGGATGGTCCCGGTGAATCTACCGTCCTGTCGGAGGGAAGACAGACTCGCTCGCGAAGTAAAGGTGTCGCGCGCACGCCTTCGGAGACTACTGCCGTTGAGGTCATCGAGGACAGTCAAGATGACGAGTATATACCTGGTACGCTTCTCTACAGTGTAACTGGTGGAACGATGGAATCAAATCTGACTGAAGAGCAGACGACGGGTTAGTCGCGTGTCCGATATGTAAACGGAGGATGAAAAACGAAGCCGTCTTTCTACATCTGGACACCTGTAGCGGAACTCCTCCCAAGCCAGCCAATTTTGGGTAAGATGCCATCTCACGCTCGCTTCCATCCGAAAAATCTAATATATTCCTCTAGATCTTTGCAGCCTATGCAACAGCAACCCGCCAAACCCCGAGAGCGACTCCCGACGATCAACTACTCTATCCTTAAAGATTCAGTCCTGAGGAAGAAAATGACCGAGCTGGGTATACCAAGCTGGGGTCCCCGCATCCTACTTCAAAGACGTCATACCGAATGGATGAACTTATGGAATGCCAACTGCGACTCGAAAACACCCAAGTCCAAGAGAGAACTGCTGCAAGAACTCAGTGTCTGGGAGCGAACTCAGGGAGGCAGCGCAGTTCCTTCTGCTGAATCCTCGAATAGCGTTATGCGAAAAGACTTTGACGCATCCGCATGGTCAGCGAACCATGATAACGATTTCAAGAAACTGATCGCCAATGCACGTAAACGGAGCGATGCATTAGTCCGCACGACAATACCTCAGGCATCTGCAGGTACGTCACAAGATGCTCTACAGCCTGAAGAACCACGCGAAGCAGTAGACGAAGTCCAGCCGAATGGAGTCTCCACGATAGACCTGACAGCGGTAGAAGCTGTCCAAACCGAAGTCGACAGAGCCCAACGACCCAGTAATAGTTAGGACATTGCGTCCCTGTGATTGAATATGCCGCTCGGCATTCCACTGCTTGAGCCCCGGGCAACGGTTCGAATTATAGTGCTGCTGCTCTCACTGTGCTGTGGTCCCGGGCTCTTCCTCTACCGACATCCGTGACAGCTTCCCAATGCTGTCCTGTAAGGCAGCATCTACGTCCTGGTCCGACACAGCTGTGCGCGCAGCCTCGTTCGCCTTTTGTTCGAGACTGTCCAGCTCGGCCAGCTTCTTGCGCGTCTCTTCTGCTTCGGCTTCCTCCTGGGCGCGTCGCTCGTTGGATTCCAGCTCCTCGAGCTCATCGTCAATCTCAGTCTCATCAATCTGAGGACCAGCCTCATTCATGATGTTTCCGATCTCGTCCACCTTGGACATCTCGTCTCGCAATTCATCTACCACGTCCTCAACCCTGGCCGCACCGCCAACCTGGGCGTTGAGTCCACGAAGAGCACCAGTGCTTGCCTCCATGACTTGCACGAACTCAACCTGATCAGCCGCTTGTTCAATCTTCACATAGACTTGCTCGAGTTGTGCCAAGGTGTCCAGCCTCTGCTGGAGATTGTGCTCTGCGAGCTTCTTCGAGCGGACTGCTGAGAGCGCCGAGATTCGGTTCTTGTTATGTAGCGCAAGCTTCGCCGTCGCATTCAGCTCTGCAATCTTCTTCTCCAAACTGTCCACTTGTTTCTCCATCGTGGACATAAGGGTTTTAATCGAGGCGATGGTGCTATCTTGCTGGGTGATCTCTTTGGGAGCGTCATTTGAGGGCCTAAATTTAACGGTCTGTCCTGTAATTAGCGCTAGTACATACAACCCAACGACGCATATACATACCTTGCCATCGTACGCGATGGCGCCGCTCTCGCGAGAGAGATATAGCAATAGCACATCGAAATCGGCGTCGGACAGCTCACTCTGCCCGCCAAATATCGCGGCAAATGCATTCACAAAGCTTTCTTTCGAGTAGATAAGATCCGTCCTGGATGGCTTCTGTCCCATAACTTGTTTCACAATTCGGTCCGCAGCTTCCTGCAACACATTAGCGAATCAATCCACCAGAGCATTCAGGCGTATGCAACGATAGAACCCAGCGTACCATAAGGTTGCCCACCAACACCAGCTCCTGGGCCTGCAACGCATGCGTATCCAGCCCAAACCCAACCGCCCCCTTCAACTGTTTCATGCCCCAGCTCATCACATTCCAAGGACTCAGAGCACTCGGGTCAATCAAGTTCCACTGCGGCTTCCGCAGACAACCCGGCGTAGTCCGAAATACCTGCACGGGCACCATACTCCGATTGCGAACCGCCTCGTCCTATATTTCCGCAACCGATCCGATCAGCAACCAGACACACCAAGAGAAACACAATGCGAGGCGAAAACCTACAAAAACAGCCCCGAGCGCCACAGGCCGACCCCACTCTGCCGTCTCAAGATCGCGCAGTAATGACTGGTCGACGCGCAGGATAAGGTGGTCGGTTTTCCGGTGGTGAGGGTCTGAGGAGGACTTGACGTTGGACCCGCCATGGGGGGCGATGTGGCCGGCGCGCGCGGCTTTTGTGAGTGCCTGCTCCCATGCTGCGACGTTGACGGCGTACCCGTCTGGATTCGTTTTGCGGTGGATGGCGAAGTCGGAGTAGAGGGATGGGAGGCGGTTCCTGCAGTGGGTTTTGTTAATCTCGGCGTGCTAGCTTGAAGATATACCAGTGGGTATAGACGAAGGGGCGTACTTTCGGAACGCTTCGAGAGAGAGGATGAAGTTGAGGAGGTCGTTCATGATGAGTCACCGTTGAGGCGGTCCTCTTTCGAGCCTGTCAGCGGACTGTATTCTGTCTATGATTGAAAAGGAACCGGTCGTAACGGGTGTCAACAATGAAGATCGTCGGTGGTTGCTGAGCACCGCCGCTATCGATAAGAAGCATCACGTGAGAGATAGACATCCTCGGCCCTCTCGAGCTACAGTTCAGATACACTACGAGAACCAAATGAATGTGCTATACAGCAGAAATGAATTCCATCGAGTCTATTAGATATGATATGATCCGATACGCCTGAGGGACGTTGCGCTACCTAAGCTCGTTCAAAATCGTCATTCGCGGGATTGTTATCATCCCCTATCACTTGGCCAGGATTGAGACCTCCCGAGTCCAAGGGATTAGCGATAAGGGACCGGCGGTTCTTGCGCTTGTCCAGTTGTTCGCTTGTCTCCTCTGTGCCAAGGGCACTGGCTGTGATGGTTTCATTGCTCGTGTCCAACCCTCGAGCTCCAAGGTATTCCACTTTCACCGCATGGCGTAGGTTGTCAATGAACGTCTGCATCTCGGGCATCGTGAAAACGCCGTCATGATCGAGAACATCGGCATAGAGGCGCTCAGCCTCCTCCAGACTTGACGAGGCCAGCGCGGGCTGTCCAAGTCGCAGCCAAAGGTCAGCTGCGAGGACGGCCCACATCCCAGCTTTGCGGCGACGAGCGCCCCATCGAACACCGGATATCGGATTTCGAGATGCGTAACAAGCAGAAATCCGCTCACTGAACAGTCCCTGGCCAATTGGCCCGACTAGTCCGAGGTCCATGGCCCGCATGGCCCACCGCGTCGCACTCTCAATAGCTGATCCTCCACGTGATTTGAGTAGCTCCAAGGCGAGTGTCAAACATCGGAGACCATTGGGACCATCGGAGCATCGCGTAAGATAGGAGTAACAAGCAGTCTCGATCATCTGATCCACACCTTCGAGTTTCGTTTTTGCCGGCATGGCAAGTGGGTTCAGCAACATGCTGACGGCGCACATTTCATGAGCCCCCGCATGATACCTCCACGCTTTGTCATTCGCATAGTCCGATCGTAGAAGCTCGTACGTAGACGCTGACAACTTCCAGTCACGTAGCATAAAGGCAAAATCGGCCATCTTGCGCAGGACGGCTTCCGGGGAGTCTGGTTTGTAGAAGCCATGATTGCCGTCATAGTTGCCACTAACACCACCCCCTGATCCCAGACTTGACCGAGAACTAGAGCCAAAACCGGCCCACCGGCGGGACATGGACATAAACCGGCCACTGATACCGCGCCTCCGCGATGCAACTTGGTCATTCCAGATCGCCACGCGGTTTTCCATGTACGGTACGACTGACTGGGCGACTAGCTCGCGTATGAATGCCTTGATAGCCATAACATCGGACTCGAATAGGTAAGGTAGGCTGTCGGTATCAAGATCAACCAGTGTATCTGATTAGAGTTAGAGGAGTAACAAATAAGGACCTCAGTGACTAGACCATACCTGTAGTACTTGATAACCGTTCAGCTGGAGAAAGCCATTCGGACTCCGGCATTCGGACACTATCGTCGTCCGTGACCACACACTGGTTACTGCGTAGTCGGAGAAGGTGACAATGTAATCCAAAATGGCGCTTCATCTGGTCATAAAGCTTCGTTGATTCGGTAATATCATCCTGATCCTCATCGTGAACAAGAACATAATACCGGAGATATTCGGGGTGAATCCATTCCGGGAGGCGTCTATCGCCACTGCTGGTATCAGCATAGAGCTGCCGAAGAGTTTCAAGAGGGGTTGTGTTGCGAGAGCTGATCGCGATGACACTGGCAACCGGATGACGGAAAGTCTCATGGGGCGTCGCAGACGCTATAGAGAGAAGTTGCCGGAGGTAATCCTTATATAACGGGGAGCTGGTTGGCGTATTCAAGAGATCATTGGGACGGAACGAGCCGCTCAGCGGGTCATTATCCGAGTTCAGCTGTTTTTCCAGCACGTCCTCCACCTGTGCCAGAGGGGAGGCCCGCGCTGCGTTGGAGTCGTACAAGCCCGCGGTGCTACCCCCTAAATCCACAAACCGCACCCCGAAGTCCTCCCACGGACGACTCGATCCCACACTATCCCGGATCACAATCTTCCCCGGCACATTTTCCCCGAACGGTCGTATCAATTCCCAAAACCCGCCCTTGAAACCTTTTTGGCGCACGAGATCATCGGTATCCACGGATGCATAAACCCCCACTACCGGGGAGAATGATCGAACAATCAGTGAGCGTATATCCTCCGCAGCATCCAGCCGTCCTTCAATCGGGGAACCCAGTGACGATCGGGCCAATTGTGGTGTCGACGATCGTACGGATCGTGCCTGGGGGGATGCGGATCTGATGGGAAGTTCCGCGGTGGTGGCGGAGAGAGGAGGGGTCGATGAGGACCCGACGGTGGAATCCACCAGTTCCGAATCTATAGACGGAGATGCCGAGTTGCGGCGCTCATCTGGGTATCTCGTCTTGGATGCGACACGCGGAACGCCGGGCGAGAAGGACGGCGGAGGTCTGACCGGAGTGGCATCTCCGGGCGATGTCATGGACACCACGTAGCTTCCGATGCTGGACTAACTGGGGTAGAAAGGACTATTGGGCCCATGGACTGGAGGGAATGAATAGAAAGAGAAGACAAGAGAGCGAGAGAGTGTGGCGGCGGAGCAAGTATGGAACGACAATGGAGAGAGAAGGGAGAAGGTGATTGAAGTTCGAGGATGTTGTTCGGATGACGGAGGCCAACTCAGTCGCCGCGGCAGAACGGCCGAGCGGGACGTGAGGGAGAACTTAGTCGCTGCTGCTCGGAGATTATTCTAGACTGGCTGTTCATAAATCTCCGGATATATGCCATTGAAGAGAAGTATCCGACTTCTGCAACTGTTCTGTTCGAATTGTGTTCCCGTCAAGAGTCTTCATATGGTGGTGTTGGGGCCGATTGTGTACCTCATCTTGAAGGCGGTGAAGGAGTGACAGGCGATGACTCCAAAGAAGTCTCTCCTCTCAGTGTCCGATATATTCTCTCCGCTTACACTCTCTTGGACAGTGAGTCACTCTTGGAATGGCTGTAGTCAATGTTCATTTCACAATCCCTTCGCTTCTTCTCTGAGACACCTTCCTTCCGCACAGTCTTCCGAGCTCTCCATGTGTCTGCCGCACCAAGGACCCTCTCAAGAAGCTCCCCACTGACTTCCAGCACCCCACCCTCGCTGCAATTCTCTCGTCCTCGATTTGTCCACTTTCGCTATCTCATGAGCTATAGAGAGCCTCCAGATTCTTCTCCAGAGCGAGCGAGCAAGAGAAGGCGCCTTTCGGTCTCCCACTCGCCCCACGACACCGCATCAACCACCATGACTATCCACCTCACCCCAATCGAAAACACCTTGAGGAGCCTTCTCTTGGACGTCGCTGAATATATCCGGGAGCAAGAACTCGCCGCGGGACGGAAAGATGCAGAGATCCAACCCCTTGTCTTGCGCTTCACTGGTGGTTGGGTGCGCGACAAGCTGCTGGGAGTAGACAGCCAGGATATCGATGTCGCCATTAATACTATGACGGGCTATCAGTTCGGGATGCGACTCAAGGAGTATCTGGACCAACCGGAGAATCTCGAGAAATACCGCACCAACCATGCCAATGGCGAGATGCGCGAGGCGATCGTCAGTCTCCACAAAATCGAAGCAAATCCGGAGAAGTCTAAGCACCTCGAAACAGTGACCACGAAAATTTTCGGTCTTGATATCGACTTAGTCAACTTGCGGAAGGAAACCTATACGGATGATAGTCGGAATCCTCAGATGGAGTTTGGTACCGCCGAGGAGGACGCAATGCGCCGGGATGCAACCATCAATGCATTGTTCTACAATCTGAATGAATCCAAGGTCGAGGACCTGACAGGCAGGGGATTTGAAGACATGAGACATCGCATCATCCGAACCCCACTAGAGCCCTATCAAACGTTCAAGGACGACCCGTTGCGTGTTCTTCGGTTGATCCGTTTCGCGAGCCGATTGGGTTACCGCATCGACGAGGAAACAGAGAGGGCGATGCAGAACAGCGACATCAGTGTGGCGCTCAAACTCAAGATCAGCCGGGAACGTGTTGGAACCGAGTTGGAGAAGATGCTCCGAGGTTGTCCACTCCCGATTCCTACCTGTTGCTGGTGGATTTACTGACATGAACAGGACCTGACCCACGGGGTGCGCTTCATTTTATTGACCGTCTCGGCCTGTACCCGACTATCTTTACGAACTATCAGGACGATGTGCGTTGCGACACGGCTTCCTGGTCTCTTGCTTATAATGCAATGGAGCGGCTGCTTCGCGATGACGCTGAAGCTACTACACTTTGCCGTACGCAATTAATTCGTGACAAATCTGAGACCTACCACGCTTGGATTATCACTGCTCTGGCACCCTGGTCAAATGTTCCCACGCGCGTTATGGAGGGACCAAAAGCAAAGCCTCTACCCCCACGGGCCGCCGAAGTTGCCCGGGATAGTCTGCGTTCTGACAACAAAACAGTCACGCTCCTAGCCGATGCGGCCAAAAGCTGGGAAAAGATTATTGATGTGAAGTCTTCCCTACTGAAAGGGGCCATGGGCGGTACTGCAGCGGAAGTTCGACAACAGATTGGGCTGTATCTCCGCGCATGGAAGAAGGACTGGAGGCTCTGCATGGTCTTATCAGCATTGCAGGAGGTCATGCAGGGCGGAGAATTCTCCGAAGGTACGTTTACATGCAACTTTATGGAATGATTAGCCCGAGGACTGACTCTTTGATTATTAGTGGTTGATGGATATAACAAATTCCTCTCTTATATCGTTGAGAATGATTTGCAGGATGTCTGCACAATGAAGCCTATTGTCAACGGAAGCGAGATCATGAAGGGTCTAGGTGCCCGCAATGGTCCGTGGATGAGTAAAGCCATGGAGGAGGTGATTGAATGGCAGCTGCTCCATCCGGACGTCACTGATAAACAAAAGGCGCTGGACCATCTCGCGCAGATGAAAGGAGAATTCGGGCTTTCCTGACGATTGAACTGTACATAAAAGCACTAATGCGCGGAATGACCACATATGCATCCACAACCTTTTAGTTTGTAGCATCTCTGCAGCCTTGATGTCGAAATATATAGAGTATATAAGAATGTCGTCAGTCCAAGTTGACATGAATTGGCAGGCTCAATGTACTCGGCACAATATAAGAACAGGCCTCGTACATACACACTAGGTATCGTGCAAGTACGGGAGATGGAAGAGACCACTTGCACAACTATGCTGACTAACATCCAGAGACATCACTGTTACTTTCGCTCTATTTTGGCTTTGGAGGTCAATACGTCACAGAGCTCGGCTGTCTTGATTTTTACTCGGCTCAGACGGAGTAATTGACATCGAGCATTGATTTTATGCAATGGAAGGCCTCCGTAAAGCCGCACAGGATGTGCTTCAACATCGTGATCCGACTTCGGTTTCCATCGCCGACTCAGAGCTGAGCACCATCCCAGTCCCTGGTGGACTGGATGCATTATGGGAGAATATATCTCCCCAAGAAAATGCCAGTAACATGATGGTATGTATGGACTTATAACACGGTCACTGCTGTACATCCCTAGACTCTGCGGCTAACATTAAATAGACCTGTGAAAACTTGCTTGTCACACGGGATTTCTTGAAGCTCCGTGGGCCCAAGAGACTGTCTGACAGCGAGAAAGATGCTGTAAACCATATCTATGAATGGGCGGCTAGCATAGCCCTGCCTTCGCCAGCATTTGCCACAACATTAGGTGATATTTCGGAAGGTAAGCATTGCGTGTATCCCGCCATCCATGAAAGATGCTGACATTCTCACAGAAAGAAGACAGCTTATGCGTGATGAGCAGCTTGGATCTGATCTCGCTTTGTCGGTCATTTCATTGCTGGCAGGATTGGTCCCTATCCAGGATGCAGACAACGCATCCCATGTTATCCTCGCGCTTGCAAGCTTCACATCAGGGGATGATCCGTGGACGACACCGCAGAGCCACTCATCCGCAATTGAACTGCTATCAACATTACAACCAGATCCTCCATTCTGGACGAGTATCGAAAAGATACTAAAGGAGACCATCCGCCCCGTCTTTGCAAAGACCAGAAACCCGGCAATCACAGCAGCGGGACGCAAGAACTTCCATCCCGTTCCACTCGCTCGCTTTGATACCAGCATCCTGGACCCGGAATCAAAACCATGGAAAGTCTCTGATGTATATGCCACAACAGCCCTCTCCTGGATTGCAAGACAGTACCGGGTATGCCTTTCCTTACACCCAGCGGATCAAATCGAAGTCACTAATATCACAGCCCGTGGACAAAACTCACCTCGAAGCACATGTACCCCTTCTCGTGCCCCCAATTCTGGCACTAATAGACGACGACAGCACCGCGTTCAAGATCCGCGGCTGCAGGGTACTTACCGATCTACTGTCCCCAATCAAAGAAAGCAAGTCCGACATTCTGCAACGCACCAACCTCTCCTCCGTCTTCGAAGACGCCATCAGACCCTGTCTACTCTCCCTTCCCACCATCACCCCAGAAGACGAAGCAATCAGTCTGCTAGGCGCCGCATATCCAGCTCTCCTCTCCCTTCTCAAACTCAATTTCGTGAACTCTTCTCAGAAAGCTTTACCGTCTACCCACGGACCGAAGGAAATCTACGTGTCCAGCCTCACAAAAACGCTCCGCGATAACCTAATCTCCTCCTTCCACCATATCAGCTCAACAAGCACAACATCTTCATCCCCCATAGCCTCATTCCCGTATCCCCGCCTGTCAACCCTGCTCCTGGACCATGTGACGACTGTCATCTTCGAGCTCGGCATCCATACCACGAAGTACCTGCAGGATATTCTTCCGCTCATACACACGACACTGTCCAATCCGTTTGGTCCCGCGTACCCACCTCTCCTGTTTGCTTCCATGGCCGTGACCAGAGCCGTGATACTCAATGCGCATCCGCGTCTGTGGCGGTGGCGGGGGGAGATAATTGGTGCCCTGTGCTCGTGTTTCCTCCATGCTGTGGATGAAGAACAGGAAATTTCCCACCGGGAGGAGCGGGGAGCGCTGTCCGAGTCGGACGAGAATGCTCGTCGCGCAATGGTCCGACTCAAGAACGAGCTGAAGGGGGCAATTTATCTGCTCAAGTTGGCTCTCGAGAATCCTCTCCAGGCTGAGGGGGATTTGGGGCAGCTCGAGGCGAAAGATAATATTGCGAAGGAGATAGAAGAGCTGGTTGCGGCAGATGACACGTTAAGGGAACTTCTTATGAGTGATGTGGATAAGAGCAATAGTGAATTCTTTGGATTGGATAGGGATTAATGAGAAATCACTCCTGTACGAAACGCGATGTACTCATAGTTCTCGTGATATGTCACACCTATTGGAAATGTACACTAAATGAGGGTATCGTTCGCGGCATAAACATCATACACGTACCGCTAAATTCAACCTACACCTCAGCCCGCTGCTTGAAAAGACTCTTCCCTCTCAACCACTGCCTGTACCGCTTATACCGCTTCATCTCGTAGTCCTCTGCCACTACAGTGAGGCCGGCGTCGGAGACGTTCAAGAACTCCGCATAGTCAGCCAGATTCTCCTCCGCGTTGTTTTCTAGTACTGTATCCTCAATGTTGCATTTGTTGGCATATTCCAGCAAGTCGAGGTTGGATTCATGCTCGCGGAGAGAGGTTGCCGTCAGCTCGTCCTCGGAGGTTATCACGAGTGGGACCTTCAGAGGATGGTTGATGTACCGTTCATACTCTTCAGCCTCAGCTGTCGTGACGGATGGATCTAGTGAGTCCTTCACTAGCTGTCCTAGTGTCCATTGCGCAATCTGGGCCTTGCTGGGGGTTGATGGTTCTCCTGGGGATTGCATTGACTGGAAGGACATAAGAGGGGCAGAAAGCCCAAACGTCGATTCCTTCATGATCCCATGTGGGTGATGTTTATCTCTCATATCTTTGTCTATCCGCGGTCGACTCACAGTGACTGTTGAATTAATCTCGGGTTCTTGGATCTTGACAGTGCGCTGTGGAGGCCGGTCTCTATGCACATGCTCATGGGGGTTTCGCGGAACGAATGGGCTCGGATTATATTGTTGGCCGGGTGCTTGTCGGACTGAAGGGTAGCGGCCAGTTGAGTTCATCTTATAAGAGAATGACTTAGACAAGGTTGAGAGAAACAGTGGCCGGTAGTACTCGAACCAGTAGTCGTCATAGCGAGAAAGAGGCTCCTTGGGGACACGGGTAGGAGGAGGGAGTTCTTTCTTATTCAGATTGTCAGGCGTGTACCAGCGGATGTAATTGGGGCGTTTCATTTGCGACCATGACCTCGGGTTTGCATGATGTAGGTAATAATCAGTCGAAAGGTCCCACAGCATGGGCTGGCCCTGCGCAAAAATGTAATTCCCCAGGAACAAATTGTACGCTTCTTGACGCTGGGCATCGAGAAACGAATTGTTATAATATCTCTTGAAGCTTTCCACCATATCTCGGGAATGGCTACTCCACTGGTTAATCTTGCGGTACGTCGCCATGGTGTTCACGAGATGTGACCCGCCGTATTGGATTGCAATAGTGTCACCGTGGTCATGCCACAGGTCAGTGAACAGGTTGACGGCATCTGTGTCGTATTCCACCGTTGTCCCGTCGATAATGCCAAGGGCATGAAGCTGGTACCCAAGTGCTCGCTTGCCAATGACGAACTGCGCCGCGTTGGTGCGATCGAGACAGTCGATACAATTAGTCCTCGCAATACCATTCTGGAGCTGCAGACCAGACTCAGCATCGCGCCCGTTCTTGAAGAATCCGGTCTTCGGGATGATCTCTCCAGCGATCTGTTCAAGTGTGCCGATGACATCCTGGTCACGGCTTTTGGCAGCACGGCTCATATCCCAAGGCTTGTAGATGAGCTTCTTGTCCTCCGGTAGGAATTGGTTGAGATAATTGATGGCATTGGTATATTCCTTCAGAAGCTTAGACTCTCGCGGTGTCCTCTCCCTTGCTTTGACCAGATTGAGAACGTATATCGGAGCCCCATATCGCTCAAATAAGTTGTCGAAGTGTAGGGCTGCTGCGGAATAGAACGGGTCTACCAGGTTCAATTGTATATCCGGCTTGGGAGAAACTCCTGAGTTCTCCTGCGTCCAGTAAAGGGGGATGCTCCCACGATGTTGCACATATGATGTGTATAGGGGATTGGAGTACAGATCCGGGCCAGCCGCATGGAAAGATGTAGTTGCCATCTCCGACACAATCTGTTCTGTCTCGACATCGTTGGCGACATATCCCAGGTCATTGGCGCCTCTCTTCAGGAAACGGGCACCAGCAAAGAACCGGGAGCGTCGCGCAATAATCGTGATGTACACAAAACGACCATATATAGGCATCTTTGCTTGCTCCACATATCCGTGAATTATGGGCAGACACCATTCCCACGGCTTCTTCAACGTCGCAATGGCGGGCCCAAGTAAGTGATTGTTCCAAATGAACATAGTATTGTAGTCCTGGTCAAGTGGTCTTGGAAGACCATCTTGGTGCGCTTTGCGCTCACGCGAGACATTATGTTGGAGAGTGCGAGTGATGTCATAAGAATAGCTGAAGTAGAACGAGCGTGTCAAGTCCAAATTGTTCAAGATAGCGATGTACCGGGCCTCCTCGGGGTTCTTCTCCTGCTTGAGACGCGAAGTACTCGCAGTTGTCAAAGAGATAAGTTCTGTTCCATCGATTTGGTAGACGTAATGACCACCAAGCATTGCGACTTGGCTGCGTTTCGTCACGAGCAACATGTAGTATGCGCCGGTGAGCCGAATGAACCCGAGCAAAGCCCAAGCACTGCACCGGAGCTTCAGTCCACCGGAGCTCTTATTGCCATCATCTATGGTATCTAGTAACTGATTCATCTCTCTTTTGTTGTACACGATGTCATCGTCGGCGACACTCAAATCTTCCGTGTCCGATGTTCGGTCAATTTTTAAGATTCTGAACCGCGTCTCGGATATGTTTATGCCAACGATGTAGAACCGGGTTGCCGTTTCGTACACGGAAAACTTGTGCATGCGATTTATGTTTTCCTCACTGGTGTCGAAAAACGTTGAGCGTCGCTTCTGCGCCGAGGTTGGAGTTGACTCTCGCTCGAACGATGTCGCGATCTGAGGTTCTTCGCCTTCCTCTTCTCCTCCGCTCACGCTAGCCGATCTCGCGACAGGTGGGTTATAAGGAATCGGAGCGAACGGGGACAGGACTCGTGAAGGAGGTATAGGAGTGGTGTCATCTTGTGAAGGTTTTCGGAACCCTGCGCCTGCGTCTACTTCCGGCTGTGTGATACTGGAGTTCGAAGTGAACGGTGTTTCTCTCCCATCGGGCTGAAGGTCACTCGAGATTATTGATGTATCCTCGGCGACTGATGGGGCTCTGGAAGACGGGTCGTTGAGTGAAGTAGCTCCTCTTTCCAGGTCGGCCGAATCGCGCGGGCGCGCCATTTCCTCAAGGCTCTCCATGACTTAAAAAGACAAGTAGTATGCAGAAGATGATGGTTTGTGGTAGGATCTGCCAGCAGAACCTATTTGACCACTATTCAAAGTGATCATGGTTGGGCTGAGGTGAGAAGCCCAGATAAGAAAGATTGAGTTGGTCGATAGTGTTATCTGGGGGGAGCTGTTGCTGCCTTACCTCTCACACATGACCAGACCGGATCCTCAGGCAGCAATGGGTCCTATGACGTAACCTATCGAAGCGGTATGCTCAAAGGAAATAGCTTCACCTTTGCTGAAAACAGCAGTCATTGTGCACTTCAGAGCTATCTGAGTTGGAAATGACACTCGACTCACCTACACATTCGTACATCTTACCTCATAATAATGTGCTTGTTTGGCCCTAAGCTCGTGCATCTATCTCAGCCGCCATGTCGAGTAGCACTGAATGGGAAAGGCCCTTTGCACTCCGGCGTTTGATGGTCCACCGACACCGTTTGTGTTGCTGGCATTCCTTCTCTCCTTCACACATGATGTTCTTCCCACATGAGCTCTCTTCTCTGTCCTTCCCATTCCACAACCATTCTCACCATGGATGGCAGAAGACTCTTTCCAGGCACCCCAGAGCCTAGAACTAAGCGACGCAAGGAAGAAAATGCGAAAGATTTAATATATCCAAAAACACATCGTTTGTTTCCAAAGCCCACTGGTCCCTGGGTCCATTCCCATGATGAGTCTACCAACAAGAATAAACACAAGCGATCTAATCCTCGGAAGTCGCACCGAAGAAAGACTCTCCCTTCCATTGAGAGTAAGTACCACCCGGAGCTACTATACACTCTCTATTCCAATGAGAAAGAATCTAACAGGGTACACATCGGACAGTTGTCCCTGGAGTTTCCCGCGATGACTTGCCAATTGCCGGCGAATTCTCCAACCAAACCACGACAAACTACGATGCGCTTCCAGTGGTTCGCGCGCTAGACTGGCAAACGGACAACGAGGGGAAGCCAATTCCAAAAGGGTTGAAAAATGTCGTCTCGCGTAAAGCAGCGTTTGTGCAGACACGCGGTAAAGAAGCCAGTGAGCCGTGCGCGTTTTGCAAAGCTCAAAAAGGCATCTGGAAAACGTGCGTCATCGGAGTGGCCGAAGCAGAAGAAGAGTTCGATGGGTCATGTGCAAACTGTCGCTTTAGTCGACGCGCACAATGCGGCTACCGTGAGTGGTTTTGCAGTTCTCGTTCTTCTACTATTGCTGATCTCAGATATCTCTAGGAACGACCGAGGAAGGCATCCTGGGCTTCATCGACGGGGAGTCTGAGCCTTCAGAACGATCCTCTTACGTCGCGTCATCCCCGTCCCCTATGACACGGAGCCCATCTGTCCGAGGCGAAGATGAGATGTCCCTGGATATAGAACTCGAGGAAGTCAAATTTTTGCATGAATTGGGCCCAGTGCTGCCACAGAAACGGGTTCCTCGCCCCTCCGGTAGAGCCCTAGAGGCTGCAGACAACTTGGTAAAGCTTCTGGAGGCAGATGAAGAAAATGAGGAGATCCTCTCAAAGGCTGCTAAGATCAAGGATAAATCACCAGCCTTATCCACCCCATGGAGGTCTACCATGTTGGATTCAAGCGTTGTTGCTCCATCTGCTGATCCTCATGAAGGAGAGGTTGTGGCTTTTCCTCTCGATAGAGAGGCATTTAACGATTTATCTCTGCTGAAAAGGGCCAAGAGTGACCTACTGCGCCACATAAGCCGTATCGGCAAGCGCATTGAGCAGATTGAAGGGACAGATAATCCGTGGGACCTGATTTGAACATTGGTACATTGGTCGTTGTGAAAGCACAGGAGAGGACATGAGTTTTGATGCAATTTATTGGAATTTTCCCAGGCCCCGTACTTTCTCAAATTTGTTTTGTTCCATGTGTCATTTAGCAGGCGCAATTTTCTAATCAATGCATTACAACGCTACAAGGTTTCATTTTGATCGGATGACTAGAAGTCTGGATGAAATAGATTTTTCTCACAAGGATCGAGAAATATTACGTACGTATATACAGACCTCACTGGGTTAGATAAGCTGATGTTTAATCCTGTGTGTTGGACGCTCCACACTCCAGCCGCCTACAGCTTCGATCTCTCCAAAGCCTTACGTCTCGACCGAAGAGCTTTGGTCTCTTCCTGCAACGCAAGACCCATCATGATCTCTTCACTGCCGCCGCCAACAACGTGAACCCGGGCATCCCGACTGATCTGCTCGATACGGGCACCCTTGCCGGCCTTGTTATACCCGGCCCCTCCCAGAATTTGCTGTGCTTCGCGGACGCTCTTCTCCAGTGCCCTGGTGGACATCACCTTGAGCAACGCGGTCATGCCTCCGATGCGAACATCGTCGACGGGTCGATCCTTGGTCAGCTCAATAATGTGGACGAGCTGCTCCATAAACGCGTATGCGGGCTCAATCATAAGGCCAAATTTGAAGATCTTGGCCTGTATCGCTTGCCTCTGTATCAAAGGCGATCCGAAGGTCTCGCGCTGGACCGCGTAGTTGAAGGCGTCCTCGGCGCAGACGCGAGCCAGACGAAGCGAGGCGCATGCAAGGCTTAGACGCTCGGGGTTGAAGTCTAAGTTTTGTTAGCAGTGATTCTCCTTTTTTACGTTTCCCCTTAACTGGACGTACTCGACATAATAAGAGCGAAGCCCTTGTTCTCCTCTCCAATGAGATGGTCGACCGGGACACGGACATCGTCGAATTCAATGAAAGTCGATCCTGTAAGAAGTCAGCTAACACGTAGTCAAGGCTTGCTCAAGCTGCTTACCGCTAGCATTCACGCCCGAGTTATACATCCGCCGACGAGTAACCCCAGGGGCCGTCAGAGGAACAACCAGCAAACTAATCCCAGACCGGCCAGGTCCTCCCGTCCTCACAGCAGCGGTACAATAATCAGCCCAGATGCCATTCGTGATCCACTTCTTCGATCCGTTGACAACATAGTGATCGCCTTCGCGCTTCGCTGTCGTCCGAATATTCGCGACATCCGATCCAGCTACAACACCACGTCAGCTCATCCGTCATTTCCACAATAAAATAAGATAGTCTCTTCTCACCATCGGGCTCCGTAATCCCAAGGCAGAACCGGATATCGCCCTTCGCGACCTCGGGAAGCCACCGGCGCCGCTGTTCTGGCGTGCCAAACCGCGCAATGGGCGGACACCCGATGCTGTTTCCTCCCCCAAGGCCCCAGATCACGCCGACATATCCGACGCGTGTGAGCTCGTCAGCGACTATCAGTCCACACCAGGTATCCCACTTGTCGCGGGGTACGTTTCCTGGAAGCGACAGTCCGGCGGAGTCTTCCTCCGTCGTCAGCGGGTGAACGATTCCGAACCCCAGCTCGCAGTGGCGGCGTCGAACAGACTCTGGGACTTGTCCGGCGGCTTCCCACTCTGCGGCGTAGGGTGCGATGGAGGCGTCAACGTAGTCCCGTACATAGGCGCGGAGGTCGTAGTGGATGTCAGTGTAATAAGGGTTCTTGACATCGAGCTGTGGGAGAAGGGGCTCGCTGTATGGAGCTGTAGGTGGTCGGACGGGTCGAGGCATAATTCCTTTTATTTATATAGGATGATACAGATTGATACGACCCTTAGGGAGTCTTAGAAGTAAATATATGCAGCAAATGTATGCTGCGTTGGGGTTGTCGGGGTAGATCTACCCTTGGTCCCGAGGCTGTCAAAATGCGGGTGCTTATCTTATCGTGCTCACATGCGGGGGATTCTTCCTACGACCGAGGGCCGAGCACAAGCAGATCAATATCGCAAACTATGCGTTCTATTGCTAGATGCATTATGTAGAGTTGAGTGTATCAAGACATGTTTGTAGCTTTACCACGTGCAGGAACCATCCTCCTCTATCCCTCAGACCAGCATTTTCCTCATCACGTTTCGTTAATTCATAGCATATGTGAAGCTTATTCGCCCAAATCAAGAGCAAGATAATTTCTCTGCCGCAGATAAAATTCTCCGGAGATAGTTCATGACTTTGGAGCAGTGCCAGCGCCGAGACGGAAGCGGCTCCAACATGCCGGTGATGCATGTCATCAAAGATTGCGCGACGGTCACGCCATCCTCAAGTACAGAATCTCCCATGTCGATCTTGCGGGCAAAATCACCTGGGAACGATGGACGTCTTGCGGAGGGACCTGATTGTGATTGGCCGTGGGGACCCCGTGTGAGATCGCTCAAGACCATCTGGCGTTCCATTTTCGTATTGAGACGGTATAGGAGCTCGAACAGAATCACACCAAGCGCGTACATGTCTAGAGTTTCATCGATCTTGTAGACATGTGCATGGTCAAGCTCAGGAGTCTCTCCCAGTTCACCAATGTTATTCGCGATAAAAGGAGGACGATAGAACTCTGTACCGACAATGCGGTTGATTTTGGAGTCGTGGTCGACAGGGCAATTATCGTTGAAGTGGGATATATCCGCCACAAGCCCAAAATCGCCAATGCGTGGGTGGCAATAGCGAGACTCAGAGTAATTCAACGATTGACACGAGGAACAGCCATCAAGATCGCGGTTGTCCGGTGTAGAAAGGAATATGTTGGCGGGTTTCAGATCGCGATGCACTATCCCCTTGGAATGAAGGTAGTCGACTCCAGACATGATGCTTAGCATCAGCTTCAACGATGCTACAAGGTGAAAGCAGTGGCGTCTGGGTATAGCATTGTGGCAATCCCTTCTTGTCTTATCTGCCTGTGGGTTGAGGTAGGAGCTGAGAGAAATAGGGTGGAGAGACATTTGAATGTGTAGGACGACAGCGGGAATCTGTGGACGGTTCGGACGCCTCTGCACCTGAAGCTTGGAAGGATCATGGCTGTAACCGTCGGTGAATATATCATCGGTGTCCCCGAATGTTGACATTCCATGTGAGAAAGCAAGCATATCACGCGGTATGGATTCAACATCCTCGTGTTCTTCGCCTACGCTCTGGAAAGAGCTCTTCTTTGAAGAGCGTGAGGTGGCCGTGGCATGACTACTCCGCCGCCTGGATCGGGTGGAGATCATTGACTCATGCTCCACGGAAGACTTCACCTGAGCAAAGTCGGCGCTTTCCGAATCCTCGAACACAATTCCGAAACTCTGGCTCTCCGGACCGCCATGACTTAACAGGTTATTTTGGCCATCGTCAATGTTGGGTTCGATAGAGTCGTCGTCCTCGTGTGGTGGCATATATCCAGAGACGTGAGCCTGCTCCACCCATGCACCATAGTACCGTACGACGTTTGTATGTTCAAGTCGAGCAAGGGTCCTGATTTCCTTCATGATACTCTCGAGCTGGTTTTCACCCCCGCGTTGCAACTGCTCAAGTCGTCGCTGGCTAAGTGGGATCTTCTTCACCGCGTAACTCTGGCCATCAATATGATTCTTCACATGATAGACTTCACCAAACGACCCACGACCCAGCATACGGACTTCGGAAAATTCCATTGCATAACGAGAGAGGCGGAGACTGGGCGGAGGGTTGTCAAAAAGGGTAAAGCTGACAGGGGAGCTGCTCAGGTGCGGAAAAGACTGAGTGGGTAAGCTTCTGAAGTCAAGACGTATATCCTCCAATGGTCCGATTCGTTCCGCGCTGGTGAGTCGTTTTCCAATATCAGACAGCTTAGGTCGACGAAGTTGGGGTCTGGATGGCCCGATACGCTCATTAGTTGATCGCAGCTGAGCGCTCTTTGTGCTCTTCGAAGCGAGGACAACATCCCCTGTAGCACCTAATGCGGGTGCGCGCTCTGCAGTATCACGCAAATTGAGGTCCTCTAACGCAGACACGCCGAGAACATCTAGATTATCACGATAATACTGACGTGTGGTTCCCCACTCGTCCTTCTCAATCCCATCCGGTAATACTCCATGAGATGACAGGAACTGAGATTTATAGGCGTACATTTTCTTTCCCAGATATTGGACTTCCGGGGAATCACGCGTGAACCGCATCTGCGAGCCTGGCTGAGCATTGAGAATATCGGCGGCCCGACTCATACAATAAAACTCCAAAAGAGCAGCGGTCATCAAGTTCGCATGGCCCTCCGGCTCGGCATCGAGCGGATCCTTGGGAGTGGCACGACCCGAGTAGGGCTCGACATTTTCGCTTGTGAGAAGGGGTGGTGATTTCACGCCTTTATCGATAGCCCTTGGTTTACTCTCAGGGGAGGTAGGTGTAGCTGTGACGAGTTCATGGTCACTTTCATCGGAGCTATCAGAAGAAATTTCCGCAGCAGATCTGAACATTGACATCTCGAGGGCGATCAATTGGTGGCAATAGTTCAAGACAGAGTGAGCATCAGATCCTCGGCTGAGGCAGAGCCAAGCAGAACGAACACAACACCGGCCATCTAGTTAGCAGAAGGCCATATGAAGGATCGTGCACACCTATATTCAAGCTCGGTCAAAACAAAGAAGTGGGACCCTTAAAAAGAGTCATACAGTCTTCGCTTAGTCACTGGAATTAGGTGCTGAGACCCACTCCGTGGTCAAAAGGCGTCGGTTGTTGGAATCGAGCTCAAGGTCGGTAAAATGCCAGAGTGTCTCTTTCGGAACGACGAGATTGGTGAATTGCAAGGGACAGTACTCCGTAAACAGAGTTCGGTTTCAGGAATGATGCTGCGGCTCAGCCTCACCAGCCTGTTTCCATCGGATTCTAAGGCCAGATCGATGTCTTCAAAAGGGCGGAGGCTAGGCAGTAGCGGAGACGGGAAGCCGAATCAACTACTTCTGAAGGACTAGACAGATCCAGAGCAGACCCGCATGATGGAGGATCAGTCTCGGCCGGAGGGAAAGAGTAATGGAGTAGAGAGGGTAGTAGGGGTTAGTCGCAAGAGGCGGAAGAAGATGAGGGAACAAAGAGAACTCAATAATTCAGCAGTTGTGGCGGCCACCGCTTCTGCCTCAGGCTGTATTTCCTGATCAAGACTAGCGCATGGCATCCATAGGTTTTCTCTACGCTGTGTGAATGAATCTACAGTTTCTCTTCGCACATACAAGACTGCGGACATCTCATTAGCCTCTAATGACAGCTTAAGCATGGAAGATCACTACTGTTTCCCCTCGCTCTAATCTCGGTGTTGCAGAAAATCCCCGCATCCATAACACGCCACCACTAAATCTTATGATGATCGGGAGCAGTCGGACCCCCACGTCGGATATAGGCGGGTGAACGGAGTACTCTTAGGCGAACACGATGGGGCTTGCATGCAGATATGGAGATTAGTCGGTCCCTAATATAGCTCTGGGGGATTTCACCGGTGGCAAGAACGATCAATATAAATATCTCCCCATATTCCCTGCCGTTTTAAAGCAGGATGACCCGCCAGATGGTGCTGTCGTTCAAGCATCAACCCACCAAAGCCAACATGCACTCCCAATACGACGTCGCTATTATCGGCGCTGGTATAGTCGGTTCTGCTACCGCTTACCATCTGTCCTTGGCAGTAAGTGGGAAGAAGGTGGCAGTGATTGACCGTTCCATTTCAACATTAAGAGGCTCTACCGAAATCGCACCCGGCTTTGTGGGCCAATACAATGAGTCCAGTGTGCTTACCAGCCTGGCTGTCGAAAGTGTGAAAGAATACACTAAGATCCCTGGAGGATTCGAAGTTGTTGGCGGCCTGGAAGTCGCTACGACCCGTGATTGCGTTGATCGTCTACGAGCTAGATGGGAATCGGCAACGAAGGCTGGTCTTGCCGCCGAATTGCTCTCCTCGGACCAGGCCGTGAGTCTGGCCCCAGAGCTCATCAAGGATGATATCCAGATCGCTCTATATTTCCCAGGCGACGGAGCAGCAAATCCCAAAAGGATTACTGCTTTCTACCAAGAGAAGGCACGCGCGAACGGGGTCCAGCTTATCGAGGCTGATGTTACCGATGTTCAGCAAGCTGATGGCAGAGTCAGCGGCGTACACACCACCGCTGGGTTGATTCAGGCCAACACCGTCATTATTGCGACTGGTATTTGGGCGCCACAACTCTGCAAGCTCGATTTTCCTGTTCCCGTTGTGCCGGTGGCACATCCATACATGTACGGTGCTCCTCATGAGCCGAGACTCCGGAAAGCACCTTGGGTCCGGTGGCCGGAGCATGTCGTTTATGCCCGCGACCACGGTACTCATTACGGTCTTGGTTCCTACAACCATCAGCCGATCCCAGAGGAGGCAAAACAAAGCGCTGTCGGTAACTGGATTCCGCAATTCGATGAAACCTTGGATACCGCACTCCGTCTCATCCCCGAGCAAACAAACCTCACTCCTCAGCAGAAGTTCAATGGGATCTTCTCCATGACCCCAGATAATCTGCCCCTTGTTGGAAGTGCTCCCTCCGTCGACGGACTCTTTATTGCGGCCGCCGTGTGGGTGACCCATGCAGCTGGAGTCGCCCAGGTTGTGACTCGGATGGTGACTGGAAAGCCTGTCGACCAAAGCATCAAGAAAGTGTTGGACCCGGCGCGTTTTCAAGGACAGGATGCGCAAGTATTGAAGCAGGAATCGTTGAACGGATACAACCACATCTACAAGACTCAGGAGCATGACGCATACTGAAGGACTTGGGTGTTCTTTTCCACAGGGTGTATGTAAGACCTTGTTTATGGCATGATATATATCTCTTTCAGGGATAGCCTACAAAAGTAGCATGCCGCTTGTTTTGTAATCTACATAATCAAAATTTATTCCGTTACTAGCATCTATCGATTCTCCACAATATATAGGGTATTCTTCACTCCCTCTCATCGATGCTGGATATACCATCAACTAAGGACTCCCGTGTTGACTTGCAGCATGACGTCATCAGCGGATATGTCCACATAGTTACATGTGATTTGGAACTTATCTGCGATACCGTGCATATAATCAGTTGCAAATGAGTTGAACTGCGATTGCAGAGCAGGTAGAGAAAGTAATTGCCATGGCATGTAGATAGTATATCCCCTTGGTGACAGTCGGCGGGGGAACAGGTGGGTATCACGTGATAAATCCAGACGCGTAGCGGCACGTCGGCGCGACAAGACACGAACTTGCATTAATTATGGCCCGCAGGCGCGACACAACTCCGTCTGTCCATAACCATTCTGTATGATTTCATGTGTCCTTGAGCACTCTTTCCTGAATTTTTTGTCTTGTGTGGCAGGACATGAACTAAAACCCCTCCATCCTACTTTCATAATTCTACACCCTTCTCCGTCATGACGGAAGCCGTCGCGACGCCCCAAAAGCGGGTGCTTGGAGATGCGACGAACAATCCACGCAGCATCTTGAAATCCCCCAACTCGATGAAGAAGCGCAAGCTCGATACCGGAGCGTCGGCAAAGATCAAAGCACCCACTCTCAGCGGCCAGCGCAAAGTGGGTTCCAGCCAGCCGCAGAAAAGCCAGTTCGAAGAGGAGGTGCTGGAGAAGTTGACCCAGGACATTTCGGAGTTAAAAGACAAAAACTCGGAGAAAGACCAGCAATGGGAGCGGCCACCACTAGGAGAATTCGATCCGGCTAAGGAGAACGTGTGCTTCCAGCAGATTGACGCCGAGGAGGGAACACTGTTCGGTGGGAACGCGGCTATTCGACTGTTCGGCGTGACGGAAGTATGTCTCTGTGCACGACCCTTGTTCCATCTATTCTAACAGCAATCTATTAGATCGGTCAATCAGTCTTGTTGCATGTTACAGGATTCCAACACTACCTCTACATCGCCGCGCCAGGCGGGTTCACGAAGGAGGACTGCGACCCTTACAGAGCCTTTCTCGAAAGTCGACTCGGAAGCTACCAGCGCACCATTCAGTCGGTTGAAATAACGTTAAGGGAGAACATTTATGGATTCCAGGGGAATCAGAAAAGCTGGTATTTGAAAATCACCGTCACAGACCCAAGATCTGTTGCGAGAGTACGCAGCGCGCTCGAGAATGGAGGCTCCAACATGAACTACAAGGGGCTCTGGAGCAAAGAGGATGCTGGAATACTTACGTTTGATAATATCCAGTACCTCTTGAGATTCATGATCGACACCGGAATTTCTGGTATGTCTTGGGTTGAGGCGAAGGCTGGAAAGTACCGCCTCCTCAACCACGACGAACGGCAGTCGAACTGTCAAATCGAGGCGGCAGTCGACTACCGAGATCTGATCGCTCATCCTCCCAACGGAGAATGGGCGAAAATGGCACCCCTCCGAATCCTATCATTCGATATTGAATGTGCTGGCCGTAAAGGGATTTTCCCCGAACCGAATCAAGATCCGGTCATCCAAATCGCCAACGTTGTGACGCGGTATGGAGAATCCAAACCCTTCATCCGAAACGTATTCGTTATGGATACGTGCAGTTTGATTGTCAACACGCAGGTACTGGAGTTTGACAAGGAAGAGAAAATGCTCATGGCGTGGCGAGACTTCCTGGAGAAGGTGGATCCTGACGTTATCATTGGTTATAACATTGCCAATTTCGACTTTCCGTACCTCTTGGACCGCGCCAAACATTTGAAGTGCGGCCGCTTCCCCTTCTGGACGCGTCTGAAGAGCATTCCTTCACAGGCGAAAGAGACTAGTTTCTCTAGCAAGCAGATGGGAAATCGCGACACCAAAGCAACAAACACCAATGGCAGAATTCAACTCGATCTCTTGCAACTGGTTCAGAGGGATTATCACCTGCGCAGCTATACGTTGAACTCTGTTTCCTACGAATTCCTGGGAGAACAGAAAGAAGATGTCCACCACACGATGATCACGGAGCTACACAACGGGACTCCGGATTCACGACGACGTCTGGCTGTCTACTGTCTGAAGGATGCATACTTGCCCCAGCGCCTAATGGACAAACTCATGTGTCTTGTCAACTACACGGAAATGGCCAGGGTCACAGGCGTCCCGTTCAATTTCTTGCTGTCTCGTGGTCAACAGGTCAAGTTCATTAGCCAGCTATTCCGCAAAGCCCTGGAGCAGCAGCTGGTAATCCCGAACCAGAAATCAAACGACGAACAGGACTATGAGGGTGCTACCGTCATTGAGCCAGTCCGCGGCTACTACGGTGTGCCCATCGCAACTCTTGATTTCGCGTCTCTATATCCTTCGATCATTCAGGCACACAATCTGTGTTATACTACCCTGCTGAACAAGAACAGCGTCGAGAAGCTGAACTTGAAAAAGGACGAAGACTATATTGTGACGCCGAATGGTCACATGTTCTGCACCACTAAGGTCCGGAAGGGTCTTTTGTCGCAAATTCTCGAGGAATTGCTTACAGCCAGAAAGAAGGCGAAGAAGGACCTCGCGATTGAAACGGACCCTTTCAAAAAGGCAGTGCTGAATGGACGACAACTGGCTCTGAAGATTAGCGCGAACAGTGTTTATGGTCTTACGGGCGCCACTGTTGGAAAGCTCCCGTGTTTGCCAATTGCTAGTAGCACAACCAGCTATGGCCGTCAGATGATCGAGAAAACGAAACAGGAAGTGGAAGCCAGGTACACCATCGCCAATGGCTACTCTCACGATGCTAAGGTTATCTATGGTGACACTGATTCCGTGATGGTGAAGTTTGGTGTCTCGACTCTGGAAGAAGCGATGAAGCTTGGTCAAGAGGCGTCAGAATATGTTTCTTCCAAGTTCATTAAGCCTATCAAGCTGGAGTTCGAAAAGGTCTACTTCCCCTACCTTTTGATCAACAAAAAGCGATACGCCGGACTTTATTGGACGAAGACGGACAAGTACGACAAGATGGACACCAAGGGTATCGAAACAGTGCGCCGCGATAACTGCTTGTTGGTGCAGAACGTGATTGAGACCGTATTGCATAAGATTTTGATCGATCGAGATATTGATGGGGCGCAAGAGTAAGTATTTCACTGTCATAGGCTGAGAGTTATTGCTAATGATATCACTATAGATATGTCAAAGAAACGATATCAGACCTTCTGCAAAATAAGATCGATATGTCGAAACTTGTCATCACCAAGGCTCTGTCCAAAGATGACTACAAGGCGAAACAAGCGCACGTCGAACTCGCTGAGCGCATGAAAAAGCGTGATGCAGGCTCTGCCCCTACCCTGGGCGACCGTGTCGCGTATGTCATGATCAAGGGTGCTGGTGGCTCCAAAAATTACGAACGATCGGAAGACCCCATTTACGTCCTCGAGAATAACATTCCTATCGACACCAAGTATTACCTGGACAATCAGCTTGCCAACCCGCTGGGCCGTATCTTCGAACCCATCCTCGGGGAGAAGAAGGCTAGTCAACTCTTGACTGGTGAGCACACTCGATCTATTTCTGTGGCAGCCCCTACCATGGGTGGCTTGATGAAATTTGCCAAGAAGACACAAACCTGTTTGGGTTGCAAGAAACCTCTCTCAGGCAAGGAGGAGATGGCAGGAGCAGTGTGTGTGCTTTGCCGTCCTCGTATGGGGGAGCTGTACACGCGGTCTCTAAAGAAAGTGTCAGATCTCGAGGTCCGATTCGGTCGACTCTGGACACAGTGCCAGCGGTGTCAAGGAAGTTTGCATTGCGAGGTCATCTGTTCGTCTCGCGATTGCCCGATTTTCTATATGCGTATGAAGGCAAAAAAGGACGTCGAGGACTCGCAGAAGGAACTGGCGCGGTTTGATTTGGACGCGGGCGCTTGGTGATTACTGTTGGAATTGGAGGAAGTGACTGTACAATTAATTGCTGGACTGCCCGACCATGGGGTTTGTTTGAAATGGCGCATTGGACATGGGGCATGATTATCATGATGCTTTGTATTTGACAGACTGTATTCGACTAGATACCGTACATTTGGACTTGAATGGATCTCTTGAGATGGAACCAGCATGAAATAAGAGACTGAGCTATACTTAGTGTATTTCATGTCGTCTGATCTGACTTTCTGCAGAGTTGGTTAGCTGTCAGCATTTACCAGATGTGCAGGTGTCTTGGCGTGGGGAAGGGGGGATATTCCGGATCTACGCTGTTGATCGCTGGAGAAACCCCGTCAAGTCCAACGTCAATCAAACCCAGCACAGGGATAAAATGCCTTCATCACCCACACAACCGCCATTGAACCCCACTGTGGAGGAGGTAGAGGAAGAGAGCGCGGCGGAGAAGTGTCATGGAAGTTCAAATGAAAATTCGCAGCCTTTTTCGTGGCCTGAGGTGTGTATTTGGCTCAGCTCAAGGACAGGACTTTCATCCGTTGTGATCGGTCATTTGCTAAAGAAAGCGTTGTCCTAGCTATCCGCGCAGCATGAGAGAGTGCTGTCGTCACACCTGGAAATGCTAAAAGCTGTCCGGGGCAATGTCGTTATGGACGGAGACGCCTTCCGCATGGTGTCTTCGATGGTCGAGAAAACAAACCGGCTGGTAACTCAGTTTAAGGTTCTGAAGAAACAAGTCGTAAGTATAGCTTCATAGAGCCTTTCAGCATCCGTACCAAGTTGGTGCTGATATAGGACATAATATGGACATATTGCTAACGGGCTACAGATGTCAAGTAAGTGCTTCTGTAACTACATTGAATCTACTCATGGATGGCTTTATTGACTGTCAAAAGACCAGTTTATGTTTCGTGAATCAACAAATCCTTTTTCGGAAGGCGCGAATGGGGGTCACAGTACATCGACGTCATCCAGCCATCCACCCAACCGGGTGGCAGACACCAACGGCCGGAGAAAACGGGCACGTCGGGAGACCAATGATTCAGAGCTCGAGAGTGAAAGTACGGATCAAGTGAAACAAGCCGTCATTCGAACGCAAAAACGCAAGCGACTTGATGTGGCTATTCCCGGCGCAGACGAGGATGTCCGGCATGCTACGCCGATATCCGCCGAGACAGAGGACATCTCAGAGGAGGTCCAACGGCGGCTGGAAATCAAGGAGGAACAGCGACGGAAGCGCAATTCAAAGGCAACGAAAGAGAAGAGAAAGCGGGAAAGTCTTGAGTCTATTGGGAGTACGTCGTCTCGTGCCGGAGTGTCGAAACCTCGCAAGAGGGCCCGGGTTGGGATGGACATCGACCAAGACGTTACTGTGCCCTGGGAAGATCAAGATCGTGGGAGGAAATGGCAGGATGATAATACTGACGATGGGATGAAGGCTTTATCCGGGGAGAAACGGGAGGTGAAGCGGCGGAGATAGGAATACTCTAGTGTCCTCGTGAGTCCTGTGTCGAGTATATGTCATTAGGAACTTCAATGGGAGCTAGCTCCTTTCCAATTGGATGCGGAATCTTCAGCCCGTCACTGGAATAGGTGATTCATACTCTATTTTTGGGATTCAGTAGCCGCATCGTGAGGTAAATTCTTCATAACATAGATCTAAATATACCGGACCATACCGAACACCCGGCGGCAGACCACTCCAATCCAGCATCACATCGTCACAATTCCTTCTTCCCGTCGGAACTGTGTGTCAATGACATATGTAAAAACTGGTATAATAAAAGGAGCCCACGCTCCCGTCTCCGGACGAGTTCTTCTTTCCTTCTCCATCATCACTACTGTGATCTTTTGACTACTGCCATATCGTTCAAACACACCAAAACATCGCCTTGTTACTACCTAAAGACAACTCGAAGCAAGCATATTACAACCGTTCGGACACTACCTCAAGAAAGAACTTATACCGACTATCAATTTTTCCTTGCTCTCACTTGTCCATCCACAAACATGGCTTTTTATAACAACAGTATTGGCAACCAGAATGGTGGCAACCAAAATGCAAACGGCAAGGTAAGTCGTCCTCTACTATCTCAGCACCACGAGTCTGTCTGACAAGCATGTACAGCCTATTGAAATGCGCGGCCAAAATAACAGACACGCCCGAGGCCACCGCAGAGAACCAACTAAGAAGCCTGCTACGCAGCAGCACCCTCGCGAGCCCAGGGCAAACAACCAACACCTCGAGGAGCCCTACCACTCAAGAAGGAGGGTCTTCAATCAAACATCTAGCGCGCTGGAGGGACCCCGTCGAGGCCGGCGTGGCCAAATGCGCCTGGCGCCGGGGGACAAAGATATTGAAATGGCAGATGCACCCTCCCTCGAAATAGTAACTTTCTATTTTCCATTCACTTCGGACAAAGAGCTGACCAGTTAATAGCCTGAACCCAAAGACATCATCATGCGGGACGCACCAGTCCCCAGAAGGGTCCGCCGCAAGAAAGAACGGCGTCTATGGCAAATGGAGGCTCTGGTAAGTGGCCCTACATGCATCACTTGCTTATGGACGTTATGATACTAACTACTGGGTAGATCCAGCAATTCCAGCGCTGCAAACTCGAACACCGAGCCCAGAGGGACAAGGACAACGATGTTATCATGGGCGAAGCCCCCCCTCTGGTGTACTAAACATCAACATTCTGCCTTGGCTGTCTGCTGCAGCAAGGACTGATGACCAGTGAGCCATCTCTTCAATTGCCTTCACTTGAACATTTCCTTACTAATATTGAAAGAGCAAAAAATCTCTATCACGGCCGTTGGCGCCCATTGAAGGATCCCAGTGGTTGAAGGCCAAGCCAGTGACTGCACACACTTCACGTCAACTTTACGTTCGACAAGTCCAACTACCTTGGACTCAATTCCTCAATTCCAGTCACTCGAGCGCGCGGCAGCCAAGGGCCAACAACCATATTTTGTTCACACCAATACTCCAGGCAGCATCACCATAGTGACTTCACTTGCGCCTGTTGAGACCTCGGGCATCATCAATTTACTTCACAATATCCCAACCGTGGGAATTTCGGATATCAAACATCGATATCAACGGCATTACTCGAAACCCGAGATCATCCCAACCGTGGGACCTACCGATATCAAACACCGATATCAACCGCATTACTCGAAGCCCGAGACCGGAACTTCAAAGGAATCTCACGAAGGGCATACAACTTCGAACAAATATAACACACAGGACACGCGAGTCCTCGAAATGGCACTTGAATCAACCAGTGCCTTATTATATTGTGTTTTTGGCTGTCACCGAGACAGACCACACACCGAATGGACTGTGCTCAAGCAAGCACCGACTCCGAACTTGAATGACACTCGGTACAACCCAGTGTCATCATTTTGACTCGTCTGTTATAAGAACAGACCAACCGAATCCCAACTTGGGATAATATCGTCTTTGAATGACCTGACACGTTCAGTGGCATGTTTACTTTTACGGACTGTTCACAGAACAGACCAGATTAATCGCTCCCTTCGAAAAGGGATTGGAAAGACACTTGGTATAATCCAGTGTCCTTATCTTATTTGGCTGTCATTTGACAGACCTTCGAATGACCTGACTAGTTCAGTGTCATGTTTTTTTGTTCTGGCTGTTCAAAGGACAGATCAGATGAGTCTTCTCTTGGAGAAGAAATTGGAAAGACACTTGGAGCAATCCAGTGTCATATCTCCTTACCTTGGCTGTTAGCAAACAGGCTAATGGAATTTTTATATCTGGGGATGAAAGAGATGTGGAATGGCCTGGCAAGTTCAGTGCCATATTTTCTGTATTGGCTGTCATTGACAGACCAAATGTTTACTTCTGGGGATGAAAGGAATTTGGAATGACCTGACAAGTTCAGTGTCATATTATCTTGGATTGGCTGTCACAGACAGACCAAATGTCTTGTTTCTGGAGAAGAGAGATTGCATCTTGGAAGGTACTTGGTGACATCCAGTGCCATGCTTACTTTGTACTGGCTGTCAACGGACAGACCAGAATGAATTGTTTCTGTGAAGAGATTGGAAGACCGTTATTGAATTTTGTATACATCAGGTCTCTACAGCGCATTGGGTGATTGCGACACTCCGTGTGACTGTGATACTTCTGTGTTGGGTTGCCTGGCCAGCGCCCACACAAGCAAGTTCACTCTGTTTGAGATCCTGTACTTTGTTTTGTATCAGCGTCCTGTTCAAGGTTTTTACCTCGACCATGCATTGTTATAAGCAGGCGAAGGAAGTTTTCCTTGATCCACAGCCCGAATGGGGGGACAGCATTGTTTAGTTTAGTTGAATGGATTTGTTCATCCAAAGATTCTTCAGTCGTCGAGCTGTGTTCGCTTTTCCCTTGGTCTTGGTCGATGGGGAAAGTAGAAGTGACTACAAGTTTGCCGTTTCCCGACCGCATGGAGTAGCTGAGATGTTCCATAGCTGCAGCACCAGTGAAGTGCATTGCAAAACAAAGTCAAGACTTTCACGTCATAATATGTTCAACCCTTAGCATCAGCCGAAACTGCATACGAACCAAAATCACCCAAACGCCATATATACATGCCCAACATATAGTACAACACAGTCCAGCCACATCCCACCAAAGAACAAGAGCACCCTACTCCTTCTTCTCCCCAGACGGCGACTGATCCTTCTGCCCCCACGTCCACACATCCCAAATATGCTCCTTAATCAAATCGCCATACCCGCGCCCCTCCTCGAGCGCCTTCTGCTCCTCCGCAAGCCGCCGCTCCTTCCACCCGGGCGTCTCCCCGCCCATCCAGAAGCGCTCGACGACGCCCTTCTCCTGCGCCTGGCGCGCCTTCATCTTCTCCAGCTCCTCGCCGACGACGCCGCCCTCGCGGATCTGCGCGTCGCGCGCCGCCCGCAGCTGCGCCTGGATTTCCTGCGCCCGCTGGCTCGGCAGATCCGGCACGCGCGCCGAGGCGAGCCGCGCCTCGAGCCGGTCGATGATGCTGCGCCCCGTGCGTTCGCGCGTCAGGTGGTTCGCGGAGACGCAGAAGGCGCTTGTGAGGAGGACGGTGAGGTGGTCGAGTTTGCGGGGTGGGAGCGCGATGAGGACCGGCGAGGCGACGAGGAAGGTTATTGCGGCGTAGTTTTTGAAGCGCTGGTAGTCGGCTTCGCGGATTGCGTTGATGTCGGGTTGGTCGGTCATGTTTTAGTTTTCTTAAGAGGAATGAAAGGATTCAGGGGGGTGAGAGGTATGTTGAGGGTTTTGGATGGTTGGTGTTTGAGATGGTTTATGCTGCGACGCTGGTCGGCGATTAGGAAAAATTCCGGGTGGCGGTTGGTGCCGGGTGTGCAGTCCGGTGAGCTATGCCTAATTGGGAATCCATTCTTTGTACTATCTACAGTAGATATATTGTGAGGTGAGTGACAGTGTACAATGCACATTGTGGTGTTATGGTATGCCGAGGGAGTTTTTGGCAGAAGTAAGGGTGGTCGGTTTCACTAGTTACAGGTAGTCCACAGGCAACCATGTCATCGAGCTGCAGCATCCTGTACATCCATGTCGGGTATGCGTGAATCTGGCAGTGCATGAAGGACTATGTCGAGGATGTCCTGTAAATGGCACAGTTCTTTCTACATACATAGCTATGCGACGATCATGGTGGCTGTTACTCCACGCAGATAACAGTCCGATCTTCTTGAAGCAACGGTCCACTATCCGGCGGAACGTGGAGAGGCCCGACAAGTTCCATTTCATTCTTTGCACTTCGTACGGAGCATGTTTCTGGAGCGAAGAAAACGGGTTCTGGACCCATCAGAATCACTTTACTATTTATTGACGCCACTACTAGTCCTGTACAATATCTATCTCTCTGACTATTGAAGTAAGCACGGCTAATATCCGATGAGGATCCCCAACCCATGCAAATTCCAGTCAACCCCAGCAAAGAGGCGGTGTTGAACCGCTGGGATCCGAATGCCATTGGCGAGAGATACCTGTGGCGCTGGACAACAACTCGGCGATATTAATAGAATGTATTGATACCTCCTATTGTGCAGCCACGGTACTCGACAGGCACCGGCATTGTAAGGCCCCACTTCCGCCTGAAAGCTTAACCAAAGCTTAGCGCCGAGAAAAGATGCTGCCTACGCTGCATAATCGATGGCAATTCTGATCCCTATACCAGAATCCGTTCATTGCAACCTCTTCATTCATCGTAGATTGTATGAACCGATGTAATATATTTAACTCAAGCTCACCCACCCATGACTCCAGATCCGAACGTCACACGCATCATGGCCGCCGGGATGGCGGCACAGCTGACCCCACTATCGGACGCACTCGCGCAGGGCTGAGCCGGCCGTGACGTGGAGCCCACCGCTGAGTGGTCTCTGGCGTCGGCAAACACGACTCTGGCCGTCCATTAGGAGCGTTTCAGACCGCCAGGCATGAGCCACACGACCCGTGTCGAATATTTGCGACTTTTCCTGATTTTTCTCCCCTCGTTCCTAGCACCGGGCTAGACGGGTCTTGCCCCCCTGACACCCCGTCTATAAAGAGCCCCGGTGCCCCGTCCTGTTGCACCACCGCCTCTACGTCCTAACCGTGAAACACCCCATACGGACTACACCCCCCAATACATTTCCTACACATCCACTCCTCCATCAAGAACCTCTACGAAAACAAGCAATATGGGCCTCTTCTCCTGGTTCAAGTCCTCCAAGGAGGAATCGGCGCCTCAGACCCAGCAGCCGACCTGGGACCCCAACACCCTCACTATGCAGCAGCCCTCCAGCCCGGCTGCGCCTACGACGGAGCGGGTCGTCACTGAACAGCCGGTAGGTACCTTCTGTTATTTGTGGTGATGGGGAGGATGGCTAATAATGGTTTGATAGACCAACCAGGAGAACCAGCAGATGAAGCTGCGTGGTGGTGGTGCTGGTGATGTATGCTGTGGAGCGTAAGTATTCTTTCCCTGTTGGGTCGACGGATAAGCAGCAGAGCTAATGCTAACTGATGCAGTTGCGCTGGTATTCTGTGCTTCGAGTGCTGCGAGGAGTGCTGCTAGACCCCTATTCTTTGACGATCATGCGCATTGATTTCATACCCCTTGTGATTAGATATACCTCATGAATTTCTGCTGGCTTAACGTGCGCGAACTGTAGATATTAAGAATACAACAGAAGTTTGAAAAATCATCGTTAGCTGGTCTGACCTCCTAGGGATAAACTGTTCCATCATACCCTCGAAAAGATACCACCGCGCGGTCCGAACGGAACGGGTCACTCAACCGTCCACCTACCACTTCTTGTCCAGATCCACACCCACCGTAGTAGTCTCCTGCAGCTCGAGCTCGCCGGCCTCGTACTTGACAGTTCCATCGGCATTGTACCCTGCCACCTGGATCACACCTCCAGTCAACTCATCCATCAGCTGTCCAAAGTAATTCCCACCGCTCATATCGCAGCGTGAGCTACCAGTCTCCAAATGGGCGACCAGGGCAGAAGTACTCTTAAAGGTGCGTTGGCATCCGGGACACCTGTCAGCGTTAGCTTCTATCCACACTTCCCAACACGAGATAAAGCCGATCAACGTACTGCACCTGTCTTGCCATGGGCGCCTTCTGGAGAACATGCTCTTCAAACTTCTCGCGTTGCGCAAAGCCCTTGCCGCACGGACACATGTACTCCCCACTGAAGGAGTTGAACCACTTTGTCGGGTCCCAGCTCTGATGGAAGGCACGAATAGTCTGCCCCGCTTCGGGGATGCCAAGTCCAAACGTCCGAGGTGAGACCGGAGATATTTCCGACAGGGCGACGGGGTTCACAGGAATCTGATTCTCCTTCTCACGCCAGCCTTTGTTATCCCTCAAAGGAAGGTCAATGCTATCCAACAGGTTCACCGCTGCTGCACTGTCATCGGCGGCCTTGTCCCCAAGAGCGGGCCAGTGCTTGAGAGCCAACATTGCGCTGATAGTAGAGGGGGCTTCTTTGCCCGGACGAGAGGGCTGGTTGCTCATCGCCTCGCGGTTAGCTGCCTCCCGTGGATTCAGAGAAACGCCGCCTCCGTCGATGTCAAGCTCAGCTGCGTCAGACGGATCGGGGATCACAGGCATGGAATACGTCTCGCCAGCGTTGAGGGCCTCCTTGATCATGAGTTTCTTCGATTGCTCCTGCAGGACACGCATGGGCTTGATGATGGGACACTCGCCCTGTTCGACATGGCGCATCAGCGAGCTGGCCGTGGTAAATTTGAGCTTGCAGCCAAAGCATTCGAGGTCCTGTTTGGTACGGTGGCACTAAAAGGAGCATTGTTAGGTCTGAGTGTGACGATGCTGATCTTATGTCGATTTGTGGTATCTGGAATCAGACTGTCCCAAGAGGAGGTTATGGGAGGAGCTGGGAGCTCACCTGCCGGATGTGACCGTCGCGACCGCCCTCGCTGCGGAATTCGAGACCGCAGATGGGACATACAACGTGTTTGTCGCTTTTGATCTTGTGGATGAGGAGGTGCTCGTCGTCGTCAAAGTCCTCGTCGCAGCGAGAGCAGTATTCGTGTTCGGGGTCGTCCTTTTTGTGCTTCTTCATCTCTTTCTCGGAGGGGAAGAACCGGTTGCAATCGCGGTAAGTGCAGCGCACTCGAGTGGGAGGAGCTAAGTCCGACATGCTGAGGGTGGGTGGAGGAGCGCAGATGGAGGAGGCTTAGAGGATGTAGACGATGTAAGGTGAGGGTTATGAGGATTCTGTTCAGGACTTGATCTTGGAGCTCAGCGAGAATGAAGAAGAAGAAAGAGGAGGTGGAAGTGTGTGTGTGAGAGAGAGGGAAGGAATTTTGTAGAGGGGAAGAAGAACATGGAACGATGATGAGGAAATGACTTTGTTCTACCTGGTAGGCAACCTTCACCACTCCCAACATTCACTGCGTCCCCACATTAATTGAAGTAGAATAATTTATTGATATAGTGAAGCTATCACTCCTGATACAAATACCTGTATGTGGAGCACTATCCATTCATTCATGCCTTCCTATAGCAGCCTACTAAAACCGAGAGAAAGGCAGCCTACAGCCAGTCAGTACTCTTCTTGACACCCAGTCTATCAGAAACTCACCACTTCCCCCGCAGAGTAATCACCGCCCAGTTGTTCCCATCCTGGTCCGTCTCCTTCTCGACCTTGGTGGAGAACGAAATGGCACTCATGATCCCGTCTCCGAATTTCTCGTTCAACACCGCCTTGTAGGCATAGCCATAGTTCTGGACGATCTCGTACAGACGGTAGATCAGGGGTTCCTTCGGGGGCATCTCGACGGAACGACCACGATCGGGAAAGCCGCTCAGTTGCTCCTCGAGCAGGGGCGTCGGAATGTCCAAAAGCTCGGAGAGCTTGACAATGTCCTCGGGAGAGGCCTTGGCCTGGCCATAGAAGAGAGCGGCAGCGGCGACCTCATTCCGGCCGATATGCTGGGCGATTTGCTCGAAGCTCAGCTTCTTGTCCGCCTTGGCCTTGAAGAGGGTTTGCGCGGAGGCAGGGAGATTCGGATGTTGCGAGATCTGATACTAATGAGTATCTACCGTGGCATTGGGGTGGACTTGGAATTCTATCTTACGTCAAGAGTTGCGAGAGACATGGTGACGGTCGATACACAGGAGGATACGAGATACCTAGATTGAAGGACCAGGGTAGAAGTATTTAAATAATCCCCAAGACACCAAGAGATAAGAATGATGAGCCAAGAAGTTTCTTATCAGCGTGGAGAGAAGAGCTGCTTAAATAGGGTAATCGATTGCATCTTCTCCAACTGCCAATGCGGGGTTATCGCGGTATCTTGGGTATTTTGGTATTTTTCGTATTGCCCATACGTCACCTGCGGGGTTCGCCGATGCGGGGTAACATGCCACATCGTGAGGTCGTTTTAACTACCTACTAGGTAATAAGTCCCATTGTAGGTAGTATAGCAGATGGAACATATATTCCATTGTAACCTTGAGTACGACACTTATTCTGGCAGACGACGAATACCAAATGGTACGTTGAAAGTTCCGGTATCGTGGTGATATGAGCCTCTCGCCACATCCGTCAATCTGATTTCAACAGAGGTGATGTCAGGCCCCCCAATCCCATAAACAAACCGGTAGAGTATAGCGATGTCCAATGTCTCATAATGGGCTATTCGCAAAGATCCTACTAGGAAGACTAGTACTATGCTTAGGCCCGTTCTTGACAATACTGAGAAAGATACCTACCTATGTGTTGATTGTTACACATAATACCAAGAGCTTTACAAGGTAGAGAGATGGCGTTAAGGGTTTATGAGTCCATTCAACATCCATGATGGTATATATCAATTAGCATCCTACTACTAGTTAGTCCTACTGTTACCTATGAATGTCTATCCACTGCACTGACATTGCCATTATTCCCAGAAACCGCCATAGATGTTCTCGCCAACATTTGACCCTTAAAGCAGACCATATAAACTCCCAAGCATGCTCCTTGATCTGGGACGTTTGGGCTTTTCTGTTAGTCCAGTCCAATCTCCTTAAGCAGAGTTGCCTACTTGTCCACTGCATCTTCAATTCCATCCTCAATACCCGTTTCGCGGATGTCAAAGTCTTCGCTTTGGACCCCTCGGTTCATTTTGTCAAGCTCTGTGGTAATTGTGCCTCCCTTTGGGACTCTGGAGTCGTTCTCTCTACCGAATCTCAGTTCTTTTCCATATTCTGAGGTCTATGCGCATATCTCCACGTTGGACTCCATCATCAAATATCCACAGCAGCATGATCGAACTTATGCACTAGTGCACACAGTCAAAATATTATCTCCATGAGGAATGTCAATACTTATCATGGTCTGGCATATTCTGTCCAAGGCGTAATCGCTAGCGATGATGAATTAATGCAGGTTCCTGATTAAGTAATTAGCTAGTCTTACGTGAAGGCCCGAGCGGCTACAGGTTGATACTTGCCGTTCACCTCCTCTCTTGCTGCTTCAGCGACCCTATGCCCCAAAATAACTGCAGCGAGGTAAAGAAACGAGGTTAAAGAGTCGTGGAGGACGACAGTGCGAGCTTTTTCTGCAATATCTGTGGGGGTCCTCCAACGTACAGATACCTTATCAAACGGTCCTCGCTCCAGTATCTCGGCGAAGAGAACCAGCTTGACGAGCATGAAGCTTATAATGATTACAGCAATTGTGGGGGGCACCAGGAGGAAGTAAGCAATATCCTAGCGACTGATAGCGCCGCAGCACATTCTCCGAAACAGATTAGCCAAGACTGGTACCCAAGACCGACATTCAAGCTTCTGCAATGCTACGTTAGGATATGATGCGAGGGATATTTTCCTCAAAGATATCATGGTATTGTTACCCGTCTTTGCTAGACATCACTGCTAACATGCGGTAACAAGTGGCTCGGTGATGTTCGCCTAGTAAGCCATCGAATTCCGGACGCGGAACTCTTCACCGAAAAGGACTCAGCCGACCTGCCCATGGCAACGCCTCTTGTACGTCTTTCAGTCTACTTGTTCATGACGTACAAGACTAACATATCCTGGTACTATATATAGGGGCAACACGTCGATTCCATATTGGGTCACTTCTTCTATCCACGCCCATACGGCGAAGATCTAAGGTCAAACATCCTAGAATGCAATAAGGATAGATTTCTAGTCCACAACACCTGTTTGGAAATATCAAAACAGGTATATCGCGATATAATCTCGACTACGCAGTCGCTAGATCTACAGGATTTCCTCTCAGTGATGGGACTGGGCTTAGAAGATTGCAACTGCGACTTTTTCGATTAGGGGTATGGCGATACATTTAGTAAGGGGTTCGTTTCGAGGTTCAGGGTTGGGTTCCGTGGGAGAATTCTGAGGTTTGGATCAACCTCCTAATAATAATAGATACTGCAGAAGGACTAACCGATTATTCAGTGGACTATCATGGAGCCTAAAGGGGTATTTAACCTCCAGCCATTGATCGCCGCGGCATCAACCGAATCTGAATTTAGTCTTTCATTCATATTAAACCAGGAAAGAAAGATCCAGCATCATTCGAGCTCAAAAATGCTGGTCTATCCAGATTATCTCTCGTCAATCCCGTGCGAGCTGCGATCACGCATACTGGAGATGCTTCCCACTCAGTCTGTGCTGAATCTATTCATAGCCAGTCCTGGTTTTCGACAATGTGCCGAGATTATGCCACGCAGTTTCTGGGTGTCTCGACTAATCTTCGACGTAGCCTGGTGTGGAGGCATGGTGCTCTCCAAGATACCACGAGGAAGCACAGTTCAATGGCATGAGCTCCTCCGTCTGCTTAAGGAAGCGTCTGCGGTCCCGGACCCGATAGCGATTTTCCGCACTACCTGGCTCTTAAAAATCGGCGCCGTGTTTGGCTTAATTGTGAGCAGATCCTCAAATATATCGAGGCACTCGAGCGATAAACAGCCAGCTGATTTTGGTTCATGGATCACGGACGTATTGCATTCAAGCGAAACACCCTGACAGCAATGCCTCCCAATAACCATGAAGATCAAATCCTGTTTCGTTGGAGAATATTAGATGCGTTACGTGTCACTCCCCATAATTCCTTAACGTGTCGGTCTTTTACCGACTTTTGGCATGCGGTATATAGTTAAATTCATCATCTATATTGCCATCCAGAACCTCGCCAATTAAAATATGAGATACGCGCTTCTGGAGAAGGATCTAATTGATTAGCGTGTTGATCTACCAAGCTCGATATTCCGTTATCCCGTGTGGTTTCCGTCCGGGATGATCCTCTCCCGCACTAGTTAAGAGTCTCATCATCTCAGCCCCGCCTCGAGAGCAGTCTTGCTCAACGGGTACACACTCCCTACAAATGTACTGATGGGTGAGAAGATACAGTCGGAGGACTCGAGCCTATCTCAGGCACGACATGAGCAAGATCCAGCTTTCGAGGTGGTCTGGGAGGAAAATGACCGCGAAAATCCTAAGAATTGGCCATTATGGTATAAAAGCTTCATTATAGGGACTGTCTCCTTTACAACCACTATCGTGTAAGTCGATATCCAAAGGCTTTGAAATGCCCATCTCTGCTTGCCTGCCATGTTGTTCATAGGACTAATGCATGTGCCAGGGTTCTATACTCTACATCATATACTTCCGGCCTAAGTGGCGTTGAAGCGACCTTTGAAGGCACTTCTCGTACCGTGGGTCTGATCGGATTGACCACGTACATGCTCGGAATGGCCCTAGGATCTCTTGTTCTCACGCCTCTGTCCGAGCTGTATGGCAGGCTCTCAACTCACCTCATCTCCACTGCGTTATTCGCGATTTTGATCATCCCGGTAGCGTTGGCGCCTAACATCTCCGCTATTCTAGCCAGCAGATTCTTTGGAGGGTTTATAGGAAGCGCAACAGTCTCTGCTGCCCCTGGCTCGGTCAATGATGTGGTGACGGGAAAGAACCGAGCTCTCGCGTTCAGCTGCTGGAGTCTCGGTGCCATGAATGCCGCTGTTATTGGTACGCTTGATTTGTCTGGGTGGTCTCAATAGCGATTAACAGCGTCTAGGTCCTATAATGGGTGGTTTCATTTTCCAGTATCTCGGCTGGCGATGGATAAACTGGATTGTCCTGATATGTGGTGGCGTGTCGTTCGTCGCACTTTGTCTATGCAAGGAGACCTACGCACCCGTCCTTCTCAGGGCCAAGCGGGCACGGATTCAGAAGCAAACAGGCGATATGCGGTGGTGGTGCCAATACGACGAGGACAAGAAGTCAGACTCCTGGGCCATCATGCGGACTAGTCTGTACCGGCCGCTGCAAATGGCTATTTTCGAGCCCATCTGGTGCGTACTCCGGGTGTGGTGCTGGATAAAGCGGCTAATTCTCTTACCAGTCTGTTCTTGGACCTCTATGTCGGGGTGTTCTACGCCTGTCTGTTCCTCTGTTTCGTCGGCTACCCTATCGTATTCGAAGAGCTTCGCGGTTGGTCCCCGGGTCTCGCAGGTCTCGGATACTGTGGAATCGGTACTGGAGTTGCCCTAGCTGTATGCGCGGAGCCACTCATCCGGAGGGTTATAAATAAGCACCCGCAGGATCCAGTAACGGGCCGCCCTGCGCCCGAAGCAAACGTGAGCGTCGTTTGCGTTGGAGCCATCCTCGCTCCCATCGGTCAGTTCTGGTTCTCGTGGACAGCGCGTCCGCCCATCCACTGGATTTCTCCTATCCTAGCGGGAATTCCGTTCGGATTTGGAAACGGGCTGGTGTTCATATATGTCGTGAACTACCTCGCTGGGAGCTATGGGATATACACGGCCTCTGCGATTGGGGGTATGTCCGTGGTGCGCTATGTTTTTGCGGCTGTTCTGCCCTTGGCAGGGACCAAAATGTATCATGCCTTGGGAGTCAACTGGGCGGGTACGATGTTGGCTCTGATTGAGGTCTTGTTGATTCCTATTCCTTTCGTGTTTTATAGATATGGAGGGAAGATCCGGCAGCGAAGTGTTCTCATCTCGAAGCTAAGCTGAGGCGTTTGCTGAAAACAGGTAGCTCTAGTGTTAGACTTAGATAAAGCTGAAGATATGTTCATACTCTACTGTGCATAGATACCATGTCATGCTTAAGTGACCGCATATATATAGTGTGGTCATACCTGTCGAGCGTTGGTGTGTCGTATGTTGATCTTAAGCAAGGGCTCTTTGCATGGAGTCATTAGGAGATCCACGTGGCGTAGGGTATGTACAGCTAATCTCACTATCAAAATCAGTTCAAGGCCCACGACATCGACTTGGTCCTAGCGGAGATTTGACGTGTGTTGATGGTCGGCACGAAATTCCGGAGTCCGACAGGAATGGATACGGAAAACTGACGGAAATTGGGGAGAATTCCGTCACGATCACATGACCCACATGACCCACCCAGCCCTGGTACTAGGCCCCTGATCGCCAATTGCGCCGACATGCTTAGCAATGAGATTGATATGGTGGAATGCGCGAAAGACAAACGGCCTGCCTGGGAAGCAATCATGGAGAAATACGGCGGCAACGTGGAAGCTATCGATTGGATACATAGGGATTCTTCAATTGGGCCACTGGGAAGCCCTTGCTCACCGTTTCTTCTATCAACAAAGTCAGAAAGGACGACTGGCAACGCCTGGACAATACCCTTGAGACGTGGATTGAGACTTATCGACCATTTGAGTATGCAGGCATACTTCCTAGTCATGCTGCATTGGTGAGCAAGCGGGAGTAATCCCGTACAATGGTTATCGGAGATTTTTGATAATGGAAGTTGGTGTTGTTGATGGAGTCTCCAACAGTAAAGCAGTCTCATGTGGCAATCTTCTCCCCCTGCAAGTATTCTGTCGTCCATTTACATCAAGCTGAAGTTGTCTTCCACCAGTAGGAAATCCAACAAGCCATCAACTGCCGTGCTATAGAGGCTGGGCTCATCACTGTCCACGATTTAACGCAGGTGAACCAGCAGCGCATCATTCTTTAACAGCCAGAAAGACAGCCTACAGCATAATGCACTCGTTACCAGGCTATGATGTAAACCACTGAGTGAATAAATGGTTAATTCATGCGCCATAAACTACCATATCCGAAATGCAGCTCTGTGCAACAATATGAAATTGAAAGACAGCACACAGCGTCATGAATAAGTGCAAGTAGAACTTGAGTCCTTTGAAAACCACAAAGTCCTGTTCACCACCGCAGAACCATCACTCAAAGTCCGCCTCGCAAAGCTGAGTTCCGTCCAGTATCTTGCCGATGTGAGTCTTGTTTATTGTCCCGGAATCCATTCTGATCTGGGACATGAGAACTTTCAGGAAATTGAGCGGACTCTTGCTGAATGACGAGCGTGATCCACCCTTTAGAATAAATCCGTCCGCAGCCACTAGCCACCCTTCCGGGCTTCGAGTTGGTGACACGCCCAAAAAACTCACATATCTCGAGGTATTCCTTGTGCGAGCCAATATAGAGTTGGCCCGAGAACAGATTTAACTGTATTCTGAGAGAAGTGGGAACTTCAGGTGTTCCAGAGGGCGCAGGGACGCTGTATAAGTCCAGTTTATCCAGTGAATGAAAACCCAGATTCTGCCTCGGAGCATACACGAGCAGCCGGGTCTTGCGTGATCCGCGTATCTGAGGAAGAAGTTCCTCTGCCTCGAACGGACTGATGAGCACCATGTCTTTGTAGTACGTTTGGCCTGATGCGAAATTCATGCGAGTAGAGCGGCAGTAACAGGGTCTGAAAGATCTCTGTAGGGATACAGGGATCATAATTTCGTAGCAAGTTATGCTTATGGACTGCAGACTTGTCACAAGCCACCCATAATTCAAGCAGGGTGAGCAGCATCACTGAGAGAGTTTCGGGATTCCTGTCGTATGCATCCATCGCGGCAGTGTGGTAGCCCTTCATCAACTGGGCAAGCTTGGAACAGGTGCCGTCTGCATCCAGGTGTAGATCCATCCAATAGCCCAGATGCTCTGCAACCCAGCGCTCGAGTGCGATAAGATTGTACACTCTGTACCGGGGACTGGAGAAGCGTAGAGGATCTGGAAGCTCGGTAGGTTTGGATTCAATAAGATCCGAGTGTAGAATAAAGGTCTCAGAGGATTGGGTACCAGTGGCCTTCTTTGTCAAAACCGAAAGGAACCCGTCGAGTGCTGTCAGGTTATGATGAATGTCTGCGCTGAAATTGAGTGTCCTCAATAACTTCAGATCACACGTATACCCATTTTTCACTTGGATGTTGCGCCATCTGTCACCAATGATGGCGGTAGTGCTCTCCAGCACACCTCTGACAAAGCATAGACAGGATGCGTCATGAGGAAGATCAAGCTTGAGCAGCCTTCGACTAATCTTTGAGCTCATAACGTGAAGATATTCGCTTGGAATCCCACGTTTCGAGAGAAATCTGAGCAAATAACTCATGAAGAACAGCATAAAAGACTTGTAGAGCTCTTTCAAGGCGCCTAGTTTCTCTGATTCTCTAGCCATCACGAGCTGCATGGCAACACGAGCCATAAGCCAAGTAGACGACCGCCTCCAGGGAAATCTGGCGTTTCGGTACATGACTTCTTCCCGCGTGTTTTTGCTGATCCGAGATAGTTCGCAGCTTTCGCACATCGGCCGCAGGAATGCCATAAACAGCTCAGTGACAACCTTTGGGTGAGTGGTATCCCGATCCTCGTCGTGATCCTGACCTGCCTTTCTGACCTTGATCTTTGTGCCGGCAACCTCTTCGTGGCTCATCCTTTCCAATGTGTCTACAGTCGTGTCAAGGAACTCTGGGTTGCTGAAGTTATCGAGACTCATGGCCAAGGAAGGCCCCGGAAATGTACGTTGGAGTCGGCCAAGTGTGGTTATCACTGATTCGTTGCGTAGGGAGAGCTCGAATGCCTCGATGTTGACCGTATCGTCGCATTTTGTCATCAGGAGAGCGGCGTTCTGGGCACGCACATGGATTAGGGCGTGGCCTCCTAGATATTATCAACATGCTGAATCCACGAGGCTGTTCGGGGTGCTATGAGCTGACCTTCAGACACTAGCTGAGTTAAAACGTCTTTAGGCTATCCTCACTCACACATCCGGAGGTGGTATGTGAGTCTTTCAGCCGACGAATCATGGTCGTAACTGAGGAAATGATTTTGGCTTCATCACCTGAGACATAGCTTTTAAAGATGTCCAGCGTGTCAAGAAGCTTTCCAAGCAGGAACGCCTCTTTATCGGGGACCGAATCAGATTTTTCTGGGAGTTTTGGAGGCAGGAAAACATGATGAATGATATACATCATCTGATCGGTGCTTGGGAGGGACATCTTGTCAATGTGTGTAGGGGAGAAGTGATAGCAGAAGAGGAAGAGGGTGTGAGGTGAGTAAGAGATAAATGATGGGAGAAGAGAGTGTGAGAGAGTAGGGGATACTTGATAGTGGAGGGAAGATGATGGGTCGGGGGAAAGTGAGGTAAACAAACGATGGTGGGCAGTTGCAAGAGAAGAGTCAAATTGATTGAATTCACTCACAGTCAAGAGACATTTCTTGTACTGTCTGATTATAGTGGGCTTGCCTCCAACTCCTACCGCAGTCATATAATTGACTTTCTCTCTTCACTCCTGGCGGAAATTCTGATGCAGCTCCTGCATTGTTAGGTTCATTTGGCTTCAGGCTAGTTGCACTCATTTCTTGTACATATAACTGCGAAGATGTCTCCCCTGGCCCAAGTAGTCTGACACTGTGTGAACTCAGGTCAGACGAATGATTAAACTGAGCTCCCAAGTCTTCAGCCCTGAACTACTCACTTAGCCCCTATCTTAGTGTAGTAGTGGTAGACAGAGTGCAGTGAGTAGATAGAGCATCTTGCTTTCTTTGTCGTGTGCAGCTGCCCATCTATCAGTCGTATATTACATTCTTTTTCTCTTGTATCCGATATCTCATACATTATTATATATAGGGTCCCAGGGGATCAGATTAATTTAGTTAGGCTGCAAGGCTGGCCAGAATGTGCTCTGGCTTGAGAGAATTTTATAGCCCTATCTGAATCAACCAGATACTTAGGCCGGAGTAAGTCCCATTAACCGCGTCAGCCGCTCTCGAGTAAAAAGACGCAAATGCTCCAGGTCCAAAGCGAAGATATCTGTGGGGTTTCCTCCAGGAAGCATGTGTTGACCAAAGAGATCCTGTCTGCTGAACTCGATAATATCAGTGCCGGGGGCGGTCGCAGGATTAGGTGCAGGGAAGATAATCTAAACACATAGTGTTAGCTTTTTTAGAGGTATAAAAGTTATATCGAAATGCCCACCTTTGCATCCACGGTAAGATCAGCGCCGGCACCTCTGCGCCAAACTTCAGCAGTACCCTTCACTCTGTTGTTGGAGATCTTAGACCATTTGAGCAAGACGACGGCGTTTACCTGACCGGATCCGTTTAGCCATAAGTCTTTGTCGGCGCGTAAACGTGGCCACGATTCGGACCATCCGCTTTCGATAACAATTAGAGGCAGATCGTTTGGCCCAGGCCGTAAAAACAGATCTGGTTCTTTCGAAGACAGTGTATATTGGCCGGTAAAACCATCGAACCCTAGAATTACTTAGTAAATTCTCTGAATATGCATTCAGTAAGGAAACGTACTGGTCCCAACGCCAATATCTAGAAGCATATCCTCCGGACAGCTCAGAAGACCGTTGCGGGTCCACTGTGAAGAAGCGTAGCGCATCCATCTCTGATGCACATTGTGTAGTTCAGTGGGCATTACTCTTACCCACAATGTTTGGGTTACAGAGTTAAAATTGACCCTAGAGCGATGCACATGTCAGCTAAGCACATTAACATTTATATACCTTAATAGCAATATTACCTCACGTTATGCTGCTCGATGACGGCCGACTCGGCAAGCGATCGAGTAATAAGATCCCCGACCACAGGGGCGACGTCTTCGTAGACAATCTCTGTGAAAGCTGTGATTGTGGGAATTTCGCGGACGATGGCGTTGTAGATATTTTGCACAGAGAGTGGGATGGTACTGCGAAGCTCTTTAAAAGACGAAGAGTCTGGAGAAGACATCCCGGAAGTATTTGAGAGGGTGGAAGAGAGGGGCCTTTTGGGAGTAGAAGGGGCGTTTAGAACCGGAAGGGTTTGAGGGGGCGGAAGAGAGAGGTCTTTTAGGAGGTAAGGAGCGTTGTGAAGACAGTTCGACACTCATGTAATTGTTGCTCAGATATGTGTCACGCGCTCATCAACGTGACACCACCACATCTTGGAGTTAATTGATTGAGGCTTCCAGGGTTTGTAATAGTCTCGAACCATTCACTCGGAGTCCCTGATCACTACGATTCATACCAGGGAAGGCTCTCAGATTTCCGGTTGCTCACTTCGAGATAAACTAGTTCCCCATCCCAGATGCGCCACTTCGTGAGTTCCGCAGCCTCGCTGACGCTCATTGCTGGTATCCGCAGCAAGCTCTGTAATAAATCCAGGCAGGGCTTTACTAACTCCATGCCGACATAACTACATGCCCTAGGCTACTCCGCACACCTCCTCGAAGACCTCATTGGTATGCTGTACAACCTTCTCTACCGCACCCGTCTCCCTCGTCTTGTCCAGTTTCTTGTTCGATGGGAGTGCCTCACCATCCCAATTCACCCAGTAACAACCACTCCCTTTGGCCCCGTCGCTACCAACAGCCACATCGCCTTCCGCCCTCGCCCCGTCAACCTTGGGTGGGAACTTCCCACTCGTCGCCGCGAACAGATGTCTCTCTCCACTCTCTTCAAGCGGGACCATGAAAGGACGTAGCAGCGTCTTCAGAACGACAGCCAAAACGTTTCCCCCGGGTATCTCACGCATGATGCCCGTAGCCACACCGGACGGATACGCATGAACAAAGGAGGTCTGCGGATGCTGCCGCGCCATATCCTCCAGGTAAAAGTTTCCCATTAGACTCGCATGCGCCGCGCATTTGGCAAGCGTGAACGTGTTCTTCAGACTGAGGTCTGAGTAGTCCAGTGTCCCAGTCCCGCGGGCACGGACAGCCGCGTGCGGATCTAGGACAGACACCACACGCGAGAGTCTGGCACTGGCGTCGACCGAGGGGTCCTCTGCAGCGGCCCTCAAGAGAGGGAGTAATTGGTTGATGAATCGCATACGCGCGTAGTAGTGGAGGGCAAATTTGCGGTCCAGACCTTCGGCGGTCTCGTCACGGCCTTTTAGTGTGAAGTAGCCTGGTGTCATGAAGAGCAGGTTGAGCTTTTGTTCTTTGGAGGCGATCTCGGCGCACACACTATCCACGTTCTTGAGTAGAGATATGTCTGCTTGGAGAAACGTGGGTTGAGCTGAAGGGTTGATGGTCTTGATGGAGTCGATGGCGCTATTGGCCGCGGACTGGCTGCGTCCAATAAGGTAGATTTTCGGGGCCCTGGTGTGACGAGCCAGGGCAGTCGCTGTAGAGAGGGCGATGCCGGAAGTTCCACCGACTATAATGCGTCAGTAAATAGATAATGTAGATCGATCAGAGGAATATGGCATGAAGCTGGCCTACCAAACACTGCCACCAGACCTGGCGTTAGATGTTTGAGAGCCACATTGTGGGCTTGAACAGTTTGCAGATTCACCATATCTATCGTCAGGAATTGAAGTAGCTTTTGATGGTATGTATTCAAAAGAAACCAAAGATGAGGAGAAGTCTGGACATTCAAATATCTGAAGGGGGATTGTGGCTATGAACATTCTTGTGGCTGACGTGAGCCATTAGGGTTCTGAGAGTACGTATCTTGCTGTTGCCTGTAGCTCCCGTCATCCGTCATCCATCATCCACTCCGAATGTCAGGTTGAATTCTCTTAACAAACACTGAGAGTGGCATCACCAGCAATATCCCAGCTGATATTTTCTCCGCAGGGATTCTCCGTCACACTGTTTCCATTGACTTCCAGCGTGATCGAAACATCGCGATTGTTCTCAAATTCGTCGCGAGCCGCAAGACGGACCTCACCACCACCCTCGACGGTACCCCCAAGAATCGACACACCATAGCAGTTCTCAATGAGAATAGCATTGTTCCCATTGTCTGCGAGATCCACGTTTCGAATCTCAACGCCGCCCGACTCCGAGACACAGAAGACACCACGACCGCCACCACGAGAGATGACATTGTCCACGAACACATTCGTAGTGTAGCTCCCATCGGCGAGTCGACCATTCGTGTTAGCCATACGGAAAGTGGCATATCCAGTTCCAGCAGCGACGTTGTCGCCGTCCACAAGCCCAACCTGGGCGTTTGTCGTTGTCTGCAGCAACAGGCCGCACTCGCCCACGTCGCGCGCAATGACCTCGTTAATGGTAAGGCCGTCAATGTTCCAGGTCTCGACGGCATGGCTGCCGGCTCCGGTGACTGTGATACTGTCCATGCTCACGTCAGCGTTGGCGGCTTCATCGCGTTCGAAGCGGATTCCCAGTCCTCCGCTCAGGTTCATCGTGATGGTACCGAGCGAGAGGCCTGTGACGCCGTAGAAGCGCATGCCGAAGTACGGGTTGCCGGTCATGCTGAGGTACGGGATTGATACCCCGTCCGTGTCGAGCGACTCGATCGCGCCGCGTCCGCCCTCGTTGAAGCCCACGTCGATGGTTCCGCATCCTTCGAACGTCTTGCCGCTACTGATGCTTATGACGTTGGTGCCGATGGATCCCGATGCAATGACCGATAGACGCTGCCCCGAGCTGATGGCATCCAGTGCAGTCTGGATAGCAGTATAGTAGTCATCGCCCGAGTACACTTCTTCAGATCCAACAGCGGCAGTGTACGAACCGTCTTCGCCGTTGACTGTGGCATCCGGTGTACCAGAGCCACACTGAGCGGAGACAGCAGCGCCGAGGGCAATTGCTCCGGTGAGTATAGCGAATTTAATCATGACGAGTTGGGTTGTATGAGTGGTGTTACAAGGAAAGAAAGAGCCTAGGGCTACCTTCACTTCTGCTTCCATGCACGACATCCACGTTATATGTACATTTTTCATCTCAGTGGACAAAATTACAGGACACTCAAGTATCCAGGTTTGTCTGCCAAGCATGTTTCAGCGGGGTTCTGTTCTCTAGGCAAGCGACTCAACGGCATATCATCACCCCGAAGCGGACTTCAGAGGGACATATGAGCGGAGGAGACTCTCCACCACTTGTCGCAAAACACCTCTTGGCAAAAACCCCATGTCAGATGGGATTGTCGAGTAGAAATGTGGAGAGGTGGCTTGGATGGGCAGTGGTGCGCGCATTGCGTGCCGATCTTTCGGGGAGAGCCAGCATGATTCAGCCCCTGTTGGCTCTTGGCTTTATATTCACCAAACCTCTAGTGTAGCAAATGCTATACGCTCCTTAAAATCCCACCTGTTAGGTCACACACCATGGATCCCAAGAAGAGACCTCCCAATTTGGAGCGGGATATGGCTCTGCAGAGGCTTGGCCGGAGTGGAATGGCATCAAAACGTCGAGCTAAGATCATCGACATACTCTAGTGATAATCCGAGAATCAACATTGAATACACACTGAAGACATATGTCGATATTGAGACGGAACCCGAGGCTGTTTCTTCTGCACTCGGATTTTATTGTCTCTACAGAAATATCGTTCCAAATTCTGTTCACGCCTTTCATATCGACAGCTTTCGCCATCTCAGGCAGTCCGGACACACAGCCGCAAGTAGGTCTCTACGCGAGCGACATCTCCAAGCTCAGCGATAACCCCGACATACCCGTCCGGTCGTATCACAGCAAGCGCCCCCTTGCTCGGATCAACGCCATAGATCCCATACGCGTCCTCCAGATCATACCCGTTGTAGAAGCGCATCTCAGCATGCTGTTTCACAACAGCAGGAATATCATCCCATTCGAAGGGCTTTCCAACGCGCGGATGGACAATGATCAGCTCGATGAGCGATTTTGGGAAACGCTCTATCATCGTGACCACGCCATCTAGAGCATTTGCCGATGCGCCAGATGGATCAAGGAGGTCGGAGGAGGTAAGGCAAAGAACGCGAAATCTTCCGGTCGACTCTAGATCTGCACGCCCTGTCAGTTCGTCCACTCAGGAAGAGATCAAGACAACGCGCACCGTCTTGGATATCGCGGTGCCGGCCATCGGCGTGTCGCATCAACTTGACGTTCAAAAGTCTGCGACCTGGACGAAGGACTCCAGCCAAGTAGTCAGTCCCCTGGATGGGGTCCGACGATCCGGGTGGGAATTCCCTAGCCACGATCATGCTGGGGTTATACTCCACGCCACATCCACTAGTGAAGCCATTGCCGGTGTTGAAGGTTTGAACGAACTCGGCGTGGGACAATCCAGAATCCGCAGTGTCCACTTGGCCCAAAAAGATGGTAGAGAACTTGCGGTCAAAATCAATCAGTTGTTGCGCATTTGCTTGACGTTCAATCTGGTAAGTGTCCAGCAAGGGGTTGGGTACAGCTGGGTCCGAGGGGGCAGGCGTCAGGCCGTTGAGGTGGTATGCCAGCTTCCAGGCCAAGTTATACGAATCCATCATGGAGACATTCATTCCCTGGCCAGCTTTGGGGCTATGGGTGTGGCATGCTACTAACGTCAGCATAAAAATTTCTTCAACGATGAATCACAGAATTCATACCGTCACCCGCGATAAACACCCGCCCGACACCAGTAGAATCTTTGACAATAAATTCAGGCGATATCCGCTGGCCGATCTGGTACGCCGCCCACCAATCAACTGCGTCTTCCCTCTTGGGGCGGAGGTAGTAGGGCTTGAAGGCGTCTTGGGCCTGCTCGAGGATTCCCTCCAGTGTAACCTTGCTTCTTCGCACTCTGGCATCGTCCGTGGGGACGCCCGGTGCAGCCACATCATTCCCATCAGGACGGACTGCACCCGGTACAAGGACGTAGAGACGCGTCAGATATTCACCAGTGGCAATTCTCTCGCGCGGAATAACCATCACGGACCCGGCAGGTGAATGAATAGCACATCGTCGCCGGATGTCAGGGAAGTTGGTGTCTACAACTAGGTCCACGACGCCCCAGATGTGGTCAAGAGACTGGCCCTCCAGCTTCAAGCCCATGCACTGACGGACCACGGAGTGCGCACCGTCAGCCCCAACCAAGTGTTTTGTCCGGATAGTCCGCTTCACACCCTTAGTTTCAATTCCTGCCAGCACAGGAAACTCCTTGTCGCTTTCATCGATCTGCACGTGCAGCAGCTTCGTCTCTCTTTGCACTCCTCTCTTCGAATAGCGAAGGAGGTCCGTCTCCAGGATTCGCTCAATGCGCCCCTGGTGTATAGTAGCCTCGTAGCGGAAACGCGCAGGCGGAATCACTTCCGGCACAACGTTCTTTCTTTCGATGACTTTGGTCTTGTCCTCGGATGTCTTCCAGAAAGCGAACTGCCACATCTGGCATGCTTCGTTTTCAATTTCATCGGATATTCCAAGTGTCTTAAAGACCTCTAGAGTCCGGGGCTGCACGCCATCTGCTTGGCCCGATTTCAATGTACTGGGCTTGGAATCGATGCACAACAAGGACTCGTCGCTCAAGCCATACCGCGCTAGTAACAGTTCCAGCATGAGTCCCGCCGGGCCGGCCTTGGTCATTGTTAGCAACGTCTATTCTACTCTGCCATATCTCAATGCGTATAAAGGGGGAATATGTTACCGCACCCCAACAACAACAACTTCATATCTTTCTGGTCCACTTCCAGAGGGGTTGAAAGGTGGTGAGAGACGAGGTAGAGAGGGAGCAAAAGAAGGAAGAACCCTCAGATCCCTTGAGTTGGATGAAAACTCCGTGAAAACAGGCATACTGTCAGCTCCTTAGAAGATACGATGCTGAACTTCGAGGAGAAGGGGTTGGATGAATGCATTTATATCCTTCTCTATTTGACAGTGGCCCATTCCCCGCGTATTTTGTGCCATACTTTCTATTAAACCCCACCAGATCGGCGTCACAATGTTTGCAGGCATTCGATCGTTCACCACAGGGTATATCCGGGATATGGACAATGCCATAGTTGATTGAGCTTGGTTCACGTACGAGTGGTCAGCCTCCAATGTAAGGAGGGACAGCTGATCCAACGAGGCGTCAGCAGTGTCAACTGCGCAATAAATTCCGTACACGAGTTTATTGGCCCTCTACAATGCACGCGAAGCGGTTGGAACTTTCATGTCGCAACTGTTGTCAATCCCACTTTGAGAATAGATGTCACCCCGCCACCCCGCGACACCCCGCAAGAGCTTAGTGGACCTTCGCCACTTTCCACGGCAATGGCCCGGGGAACAATGTTCTATACCAACTCAAAGTTATTCTCCTCACCCTTCTTCCAGGGCGGTGCACAATACAGACGCAAACTTCTTCGAGATAGCCCATCTTCCAACCCTATGAAGAAGGTCAACCAGCCGATGGAGATGGTTCACATCAGCAAACGCTGTATCACCGAATGCCTGGCCTTGGACCTCTTGCAAGGCATTTTTGCTTCCAATTAGTTGGATCTCGGGTGCTTCGAACGCCCCCAGGTGTATTTCTTTCTGGTGCCCAATTCGATTGAAGCAAACCCACGCCAACGCAGCGGAGAAAAGGGCGCGCGGAATGTGAATCGCAGGCTCGGCCGACACCCGCATCCGCTCCAAGTAACGCTGGGTCAATAGGGCATGGACCAGACACTTGCTTGCATCTAGCGAAGCTGCCCACTTTCGTACCTCTTCGGAAGCTGTCACTTTGCGTGAGTCTCCGCACCGACCGATGGCTTGTTCCAGGAGATCAATATCAACGTAGAGAGACATGTAAATAGAATGCCACAGCACCGGAAGACCGAATGGGTCTTCATCATCTCGAAGGTGCACACTGTGAGTCTGCCACCATTGAATCAATAATTTCGAGATTCTTCTCGAGTCGTCCGCACGATGCGTATTCGAGTGCCGCGACTCAATGAGGTCCGCGTATATGCTTTCCAGGACACTGTATGCTGCAAACCTCGATCTCACTCCCGCATTGCAGAAAGGATCATCCAAGCTCACTGCAGGAGTCGTGTCCAATAATAATTGCTTGTAGATGGCGGCCCATTTGGTCGCCGTCGGCGCCATAAACAGTGCATCCGACTGTAAACGTGGATACTGAGCAAATCGATGCTTGCGAATGGGGTCATGATGGAGCAGACCCGCAAGCTCGGCATCATGAATATTGAGAGCAATTTCGACCCGTCCTCTCTGCTCCACTTCAATCCATAATTGCCATTGTTCCTCTAACCCGCGTAGATCGGTATCGAAGTTCGGTTTTTGCGTGCTATTCAGATCCACATGGCTGTGTTTGTTCGATTCTCGGGCCCACGACATCACGGTCCCGTGTAGGACATCCGCCAGGACCAGATATCTCGGCCTTCCCGAAAGAATGGCAAATGTTTGCCCCAGAATGGCGGCTTGGACCATGGAGAGCGCGTCTGGACGACTTCTGGAAAGAATGGTCTCCCAGGATGCGAGGATTGCTTTATTCAGTCTCTCAAAAATCCGCGTCCCCTGTGCTACCGCGTGAGAGGAACCAACGAAGAGGCTCCCGACGGAGCATATTGATAAAAACAACAGTGAATTCTCCGCGGTAGGTCGGAATGTTGGAGCGTGGATAACAGGTAATAATGAGTGGAAGCGGCTGAAGAATAGCTTGGCAAATAAATTTAATTGCTCTGCTGACGGCAAGGCCTCGTCATGCGTACGAGGCTGGAGTTGACGTGAAAGACCGGCTCGATAGCTCTCGTCCGCGCCTACATTTCCGGATGCTAACGTGCCCTGAACTGGCTCTGTAGTGTAGGTATGCTTGGGGTCATCGTATGGCGTTTGGAAGGCGAACCATTTCTTCTGCACAGCATTTTGCGGTCGAGACGGTATTGATTCCATGTCACCAGCTGGTGCTGGAATTGATCCAGAGAAGTCATAATCACCTCCACTTTGACCAGGATAAGGGACGGTGGGAGTTGGCTGGGCCCATTCGAAGATAGCGGAGGACAGTGAAAAGTCCAATGCATCTACGTCCAGTTCGGTGCCTAGAAACCAGCTGGAGTCGGTATGCGGGATGGCATCGTGCAACGCCATTCCCGACACTTGTTGCGCGTCGGCAGTTTGAGTCACATGTGGCGTCTGCGGTGTTGCATGTTGAAGCCAATGTGAGTCCTCTGATACAAGTCCCATTGGCCTTGTATGAGAGGCTGGTGTAAGTACGGTCACGTCACCCTCGGCAGGACACGCGGTGCCAGGCGCGGATGCATGGGACCCCGGGAAGAGGCTTTTATGGCTCTTTTGATGCCGCCTCAACACATCACTATAGCGTGGTGAGAATCCATTCCTTCTCGAATGTCCGACAAGATGACCATTTACCTCCGGGAGTATATCTTGCCGCAAGTGGTACATTCATAGGGCCTCTCCTTGGTATGGCTGCGAAGGTGCCGGGTCAGATGTTCCGACTTAGAAAAGGTCTTATTGCAGGCATGACACCTGTGCTCCGGTCTATTACGAACGCCGTTCATCTCCTGGGGTTTGGGTACAATATCTGGGGAAAGTCGATGTCTCCATCGGAGTTCGTCTTCTCTGCCTCTCACAAGTCACGCAGCTTGCGGGGGAACAATGGGGACCCCACATCAGTCACGTGTTACCAGTAACTATGGTGATTTCTGACTACAGTAAACTCACCGTCATCTTCTTAACTACTCTACTTTGACATCCATTGAAGAAGTGTGCCTCAAATAGCTGATACAAGCTGATAAGGCGATGAGAGATCGAGGTAAACCGTAAGTGACATGTTTCTACTTCGAGTTATCGGTTGCAGGGACTTACATAAAATAACCCAAAGCGGCATACAATTCCCTGCGCTAAGTCCGTAGCCGACGGACCGTGCATGAACCGTGGACGGACCGTGGACGGACCGGAGGATCTCCATTTAGATCAATTGAAATGCCATCGGACTCACAGTCTAGGCACTTTCTTCATGCTCTGATACGGCCGTGTCACTGTGGAGCTGAGCTTCAGACGTTCTGTTTCTTATCAAAATCTCCACATGAACCCCGCACTAACCACCGTCGCGGTCAATAAAGATAGCTGGAAGTCTGGAATTCCCTCCTCACAATTGAACATTAGATTCTCTTCCCTCGCCCTCAGACCTAAAGACCTCCCGCCGCGTCGTGCAGCTCCCGGCACACACCCATTCCCACTATGGCCTTGGACAGCCCTTCCTACCTCATCATCGGCGCCGGCGTCTTTGGCGTATCAACCGCCTATCACCTCATTCAGAGATATCCCAATGCATCGGTGACACTAGTTGACCGGGATGCATATGACGCCGAGTCCCGTGTAGCCGCATCATGGGACTGGAATAAGGTCGTGCGAGCCGACTACGACGACAAAGTCTACTGCCGACTCGCGCTCGAAGCCCAAGATATCTTCAAGTCCGATCCGCTCTGGCAGCCGTATTTCCACCAGACCGGCGTCTACTGGACGTGTCGCAGCAGCTATGCCCAAAACGTCATTGCGCACCATAAAGAGCTTGGTCGCGACGACGATATCATTGCCTTGCCTGTGGCTGAGGCTCGGAAGCTGTACGGTGGTATCTTTGATAACGCCGATTACACGGGTGTCAAGGAGGTTCTGATTAACCGCGCTAGTGGTTGGGCTGCGGCGGGTGATGCGCTCCGGGCTGTCACGAAACGGTGTTTGGAATTGGGAGTGAAGTATATCACGGCTGAGGTTGCTGCGTTGCAATTTGACGGTCGTGGTTCGTGTACCGGGGTGAAGACGAAGTCCGGACAGGTCTTGTCTGCGACACGAACTATCGTTGCGGCGGGGGCTTTTACACCGACTTTACTGGAGTGGAGTGCAGCGACGAGTGGGAATCCGGGCTTGCGAGCTGGAGAACGCATTTTGGCTGCTGGTATCACGACGGGGATGGCCCAGCTTAATGAGGAGCAGTACAAGAAGTATAAGGATATGCCGGTGGGTTTCCAGGGCTATACGCCTGATGAGGGTAAGATATGTTGACATATATGTATCGAAAACAACAGCACCTAACTCATCATTCCTAGGCAAACCGTTTATCGGTACCCTTCCCCCGACCAAGGATGGAGAGCTGAAGTGGTGGGGCTCAAAGATTTTCACCAACACGCGCGAGGTGGTCCCTGGGCGTCATATCTCTTCTCCCCCGCCTACATTCGACTACAACCAGTGGAAGGTTCCTGGGCCACTGAAGCAGGACATTGTCGAATCCCGGAATCTATGGTATGGTCCAGCGAGTGCGGATTGGAATATGACGAAACACCGAATTTGCTGGTGAGTATGCAGCATTCAAGTACATTGATGGACACGTCGTTGACATGTAGCAGGGATGCGTTCACAACCACCTCCGACTTTATCATCTCCCCTCACTCGGCCTCAAAGGGTCTCTATATCGCTACGTGCGGTTCATTCCACGGCTACAAGTTCTTCCCGGTGCTGGGCAAATATGTGGTGCAGATGATGGAGGGCGAGTTAGCCACCGATTTGGAGGAAAAGTGGGCTTGGGATCGACAGCGTCCCGATTCCTCTGAGAACGTGGAGTATCCGAATGCGGAGATGAAGCATCTTCTGCAGCCTGCATCAAAGCTATAGTGCTGTTTACAGGCATGTCAGCACCGAATGTTTTATGATCATTACAAAGATATTTTCTATTCTCTGAATGAAACAATAATGATGGCCTATAACTTTATTACGAGGCTTTAGCAGAGAGTAGGAGTGAATTATATCTACTCTTACTTTGCCCATAACATGCGGAAAGCTATCAGATAAATAGTAAAACCTCATCCCTTACAAAACAAACTCACTCAAAGGAGAAACAATCCTCTAATACAAACCAATCCGACCTCCCAGATCCTCCGCTTGCTCGTAAAAGTCTATATCTCCCTTAATCCCATCTTTAGAAATAGCCCATAACCCCTGTTCAACAAGTTCAGTCTCTTTCTCTAGTAGGGTAATAAGTCTCGTCCCATGCTGAACAAAGAAGGGACAGTCAGATGATACCTACAGATCGCTAGACGTTCATTAAGAACTCCTTATCAAGCTGCTTATACGGCGCTTGGTGGTTGTGCGGCGCTCGGTAGTGAAATACGTTATACTTAACGCATCGCCCACGTATATTTCGGAAACTTGGACTTCGGCCTGGTGTCTCGCATATACCAAAATGCAGAGAGGGTTTCCCATCTCATCATCACGAGGAGATATGAACAAATACTCTCGTGCGTAGCTGTGGGTGTGGTGTGGTGTGTTGTGTTGTGGTTGATAGCACTGGGGTAAACAGCATGACTAAGCGGAGCATAGCAACAACTATTCGGTAACATGCGGAGAGATTCCGAGATTCATTCCAACGATTCATTCTCGATCTCTTGTCAGCATCGGATTGCCTACGCGGTGTTCGCCTTATAACGGCTATGCTGCATCAAGGCACATAGATCAGGTCATCTACAGGAACAATGGTCGAAAGAAGAACCCGCGGGGATAGCACAAACTCCCGTGAGGAGCATTCAGGCTATCCTGCCAACGAGCGTTCCTCGGCAGAAGCTCCGTCGAAAAGACAAAAACGCGGGAAATATTCACGAGCTTGGTATGAGAATCACATACAGAACCAGTCACCACGCTCGCTTTGCTGACCAGACTTTTCTCGGGTCAGCGGTGAATGCTCCAGAAGGAAAATCAAGGTATGAAGGAAAACATTGACCAGAGGCTTCATTTTTGGACTCCTAAGAATTATCAGTGCGATGGAGCTATTCCATGTGGACCATGTCAATTCCACCAAAGAAGTTGTATAATGTCAACAAATGATGCGCGGCGACGGCGAACCACCGTCAGCCTAGAAGCATTTCAACCGCCGGATGATTCGCACAATTATGACCGAGACGGCCAGCAGTACGAATAAGCCCACTGTCCTCTGTTGTGTTGTCCCAGACCGGGATGGCCCGTTTGATCGAATATGCTTCTGATGTGACGCATAGGCCTACAACGAAAGAGTTAGCTACACGCTTGAGTCGCATTGAGCACCAGCTCGGTCTCCTTCTATCTTCCATGGCATCCACAAATACTGTGTCAGGACAAGATAGTGAACCGTCCACTGGTAACCGCGATACTTCAAATATACAAACCACGAAGGCGCAGTTACCAACTTTCGCTGGCGAAACATCGATCAGCCACATTTTGACACAAATTGAAGGATATCTCGGACACCGAGAATACCCCTCTCTACGGCGGGATTCAACATCGTCACTTGCGTCGCTCCCTATGTCTCCTACAGAACATGCAAAATATCAGCGTGGGATTACTGATTCCCGAAACGTCCTGACAAGGAATGGCATCAAGCCCGACAGAGCACAGTGGGATGCGTTCATGAAAACCTTTTGTGACGAATCGCATATATTGTATCCGTTTCTTCATATTGCGAGCTTGTGGAACAATTATGACAACATGTGGCAGTCAAATTTCGCTACGGAAAGTCGGTCATCTGGACAGAATGACCATCAGGTAGTCATGGCTCAGATATGGATCTGCCTTGCGCATGGGAAGTGTACCCAGTCACCCCGAGTGCACAGCGAGGAAGGCAGACATTCAGCGGGGTGGAGCCTTTTTGGAGCTGCTGTAGACCTGATCGGAGATCTTCTTGCGTGTTTTCGAAATTGCTCAGATCCCACTCTGGTTCTACAAACGTTCTCGCTGATGGTAAAGAGCCACGGCCATGTGTAGCTGTTGTTGCTAACTAATATTTACACAGGTCGCGTATCTTTTCAGACTGGATGCGAATGAAAGAGCCGAGAAATTTCTGGCTTTAACGGTTTCCCATGCTCATCATCTGGGGTTCCATCGATCCAAAGTGGTTTTGCAAATGTCCGCCTTCAACGACGAAATGGTTCGACGACTGTGGTGGTGTCTACACGCGATGGACAGACGCATGTCCATTGAAACAGGACACCCATTCATTATTCAAGACGTCAACGTTGACACTCCCCAGCCACGAGACCTGAGTGACGACTGGCTCACCCGCTACAAAAACGATCCAAGAACTAGTGCTGAACTGGATAGTGAGATCCATTCAGAGCTGTCTAATAATGAGTGTATCACTCCGATCCCCTACCTTATTGCCACCATTCGCTACTCGCGTGTCCTCGGCAAGATATGGGAAACCATATATGGCGCCAACGTGACGGACACGTCTCCGACCCCTACGTTGCTCCAGTATCTAGAACATCTCGTTCATGGTGCCCAGAAGGAAATCAGCCCCGATTTTTCTACCAATCAACTGGGTGGATCAGCCAACACACTTCCCAATGATTGTCCGTGGTGGCGAACAAAGCAACAGATGCTAATGAGAATTGTACGTCTGTACTGGAATTGCTTTGCATGGCATTTGCTGACCGTTCTATTAGCGCTGGCTCTCCCTACGACTCCTGATCCGTAAATCAATACTTCATCAACGCCATCGTCCTCCCGAAACTAGGCTCGATATCCTTGACAATGAAATTACTTGCATACAGACCGCTTGCCAGATAATCCGAGAGTTCAAGCAAGTGGCCGATGAAAACACCATATCCGCCTATCCGTTTCTCCACTCGCTAGTCGCTGCTACGCTTGTCTCGTTGGGTATCATCATCAAGGAGCCTTCTTTCAGAGACGATTACGGGGAAACCACGCTTCACGCCGCCAAATCTCTTGAGAGATATTGTCACAGGACATGGGTATCCGGACGGATGCTTCGAGCAATCTGCAGATTGAACCAAATCGCATCGCGCGTGTTGTGCAGCAATGAATCTCCTGCAATAAGGAGGGTGGCTGATGACCAGGCTCGCGAGGTTGCCTCCAAATCCTCTTACCCATCAACATTAAACCTCGGCAAGGGTCCCTCGAACGGTGTCACCACCGTTTGCTCTAATACCGAGACCCCTCAACCAGCGGCTGGTAACCCCGTCATCACGGGTTCCAATGCGACAAACGGGGTGAACGAAGCACCCTCATTATCCTTTCCTGCCCTTGCGGACCCCTCCCAGCTGGTAATGGCCGATTTCGATTTCGAACAAAGTTTTATAAATGACATTGCTCCGCTATGCCAGCCTTATGGGTGTCCAGACACCTTCTCTGATATGCAACCTGGGGCACCTACCAGTACTGAAATGGACTGGTTAGAGTCTCTGCTTGGTGGAGAATAACATGACCCTACTGAGAGCATTCCGGATATCGCGAGTGAACTTCGAATTGCCGCATGATTCAGGAAGACCAACGCCATACGATTATGCCTCACATTGGTTGTACAAATGATGAGAAGGACGCAACCAGGGCCCGTGCTACACGAAACGGCTGAGGCAGCCCAGAATTGAATCTCAAAATAAAGAAGTCAAAGTCCTCACGAGGGAATATCGAAGGTAGAGAAATATTGAGCTAACTGAACATAATTCATTGTACATACTCCTGACTGGTATATACTATCCGGAGCGAATTCCACCCAATTGGGCTGTCTCACTGATGGTAGACGGAACCATCAGTGAATAACCACTCCTGTACAACCACCATATAAAAAGGCCTTCTCCCCCACTCTGCCCTTTCTGTTCTTTCGTCTACTACATCCCCCCTTCCCTCTCAATCTTTACAACCATCCTCTACGCTATATATAGGAAAATTATCCTCGACAACTCTACACCATGGCGTCTCAGGACGCTACTCTCCCCAAAGGCTCACGCGTTCTAGTGACAGGGGCGAATGGTTTCATAGCCTCCAATGTCATTGACCGCCTGTTGAGCAGTGGGTACATTGTGCGTGGGACTGTCCGCGACACCAAACCCTACCTTGACGGCATCTTCTCCAAGGCGTACGGTGAAGAGTCCTTTGAGTCCGTGGTCCTTCCGTCGTTCGAAGACACTGATGCGCTGGTTAGCGCTCTTGATGGTGTTTCTGGTATCATTCACGCGGTATGCACTCTGCACAGCCTCTGCAGCTACATTCTAACTCCTTAGCAGGCCGCCGATATGAGTTTCAGCTCTGACCCCAACGCCGTCATCCCGTGGGTCGTGAATGCCACCCTGAACGTCCTTGCTGCTGCAGCAAAGACTCCTTCTGTCAAAAGTGTGGTGCTGCTTTCGTCGTCCAGCGCGGCCTACTGACCTTTCCCGGAGGAGGCCCGCTTGTGGTTGACAAGGGTATGGGGTCTAAATCATCCATATCGAAGTGACCTGCTGATCCAGAGCCAGACTCCTACAATGACATGAGCGTCAAGCTTGCCTGGGATGAGACCACCCCCGAGCCACTCAGACGTTTTGCTGTCTACGCAGCCTCCAAGACCGAAGCCGAACGGAAGGCGTGGAATTGGATGGAGGAACAAAAGCCGCATTTTAGGCTCAATACCGTCCTGCCGGGCTCCACGGTAGGCTCATCTCCTATGCAAAGATTCATATTGGGTACTCACCTACCGTGTCTTTCTCCAGTACGGAAGGATGCTCCACACCGAGAAGCCGTCAAGCATGATTGTCCCTTACAAGCTTCTCAAAGGCGAGGACGCATATGCCTTCATGGTCGAACGTGCGTATGAACAAGACCGCCATCAGGACAAACACTAATCAACATAGAATGGGCTGTGGATGTCGAGGACGTCGCACGTTTGTGTTCCATCGGTCTCTTGGATCCTGCCGTGAAGTCGGAGAGATTATTTGCGATGGCGAAAACACTGAATCCTGAAGGCATGGCTCTGATTCTGCGGGAAATTCAACCGAACAACAAATATATTCCTGATGCACCGAAGACCCAGCTCCCTCGCGTGGATATCCTTCCGAGAGAGAGAGCCAACGACCTTCTTTGGGAGTCCGGTCGAAAGGGATTCAGTACCATCAAGGAAGCGCTTGTTCTGGGAGTTGAAAGCTTTGTACGTCTTGGGTTGTAGTGATAGAGGGCAGATTGCGCTATGACACGATGGACAGTTTTCCCGTACAGCATTTGCGAGTTGGTCTATGCCAACTTACGCGATAAGGCTGTGTGGCGTTTCCCTTGTTGTGCCCCTTACGTCTTCTGGTCCTTGCGATGCTTTCATTCTCTGTGTGGCTACCCTTTCTTGATCAGTGTACCTATTTAAGCTAGTGAATGCCACGCATGTTTGCAAGACTATCTAGTCAAAGCCCCGAGTATCTGATATAAATTGAATCGGACTAAACTTGGTATCCTACTACACTATAAGAAATTAATTATAAAAGAACCCACAATGTAAATCCTGCTCATATAACGGTCACATCATCTTCCACGTCTTCTCGACAACCGACGCATCATCTCCAAGCTCCATCCATCCCAAATTACCCCACCGAGCTGGACGCTCCAACGCATCAACATACTGCTTCAACGCCAACACAAACTGCGCCGCCCATCGTTCCTTGCTGACTCGCCCCACCCCCGTAGCCATCGGGGTGATCAAAATCGAATCAATGCGGTCCGTCTCCCGGCCTCGATTCCACCGCTCCAGCTCGCAGAGCAAGCTCCAGACACACTCGTACACGACCTCGCGGTCCCAGGTTACATTCGCGGGCACTTTCATGGTGGGACAGATGGCGACCCACTTGCACCCCCAGGGATTCCGTCCCTCCAGCGTCGTGGGGAACGGGACGAGGGTGCAGGTGCCGGGGGGCGCGAATCCCCTCCAGCGCTTGTAGAGCACGGCCTGTGCGGCGTTGGTGAGAGTGTCGTAGTTATGGTGCGGGAGACAGAAGGCGCGTGAGATGGCGTCGTCGAAGGCGCCGTCTAACCGGGCGTATGAATTTGCCGGCGAGACAACAAGCTGGAACTTCGTCGTCGCGGGGAGCTGGTTGAGGGAGCTGTTGATGATGTTGATGTTCAGCTTGGGATGTCGGCTGAAGGTGGGCCATTCTTGTGCAAGCGCTTCGTTGAAGGCCGTGATGTATTGGCTCTCCATGCAGAGGAGGTTTATTGTGGGCAGGTCTTGAACGGACATGTTGACGGCTGGTTAGGTTGTCGTGATGGATGAGCTTATGTGGTTTGTTTGGAGGGTCGTGGATGGTAAAAAGATATATACGAGCGGAGTGCTCGCCTGTGCGCCTCGCGGGGCTGTGCTGACTGCCGCATGCAATGACAACGCAATGACTGAGATTTGTTGGCTGGAATATCGCTTGATGGTTTGCATGGTCACCATGAAGTAAGACGAGTTCCCATGGTGGTGAGTTAGGTCTTTGGAAATCAGATGACTTCCAAGTTGATCCTAATCCACCAACATGGTAAGGACTCTACACATCCCGCATCCAACCTCCGACACTGTCATCAATCACAACTTCAATCATGACCACTGCCGGCGTTCAATATATCAACGGTCGCAAGACCTTCATCCCTCTAGGTATTCTCTCCTCGAGACCAAAACCATCAGCCACTGACACGAGCAGAAAACAACCCCGACGTGCTCTCCACGCTCAGCCACAACCTCGGGGTGTCTCCCAAGCTGACCTTCCATGACGTGCTCTCCACGACCTCTTCGGATCTGCTGGGTTTGATCCCCCGCCCGGTCAACGCGCTCATCTTCCTCTGCGACACACCCATCTACACCGCCACACGGTCCGCTGTCGAGCCGACCATCCCGGTGTACCAGGGGTCCGGGCCGGATGAGCCCGTCATCTGGGTCAAGCAAACCATCGGACATGCCTGCGGGTTAATGGCGTTTCTTCATTGTGTCTGGAACCTGAGCAATGGTGATTACATTTTACCCGATTCGGGATTAGCCAAGTTGAGGACAGAGCTTATCGCACTCGGGCCTGTCGCCCGGTCGGAGAAACTGTACAATTCGGTTTTTCTAGAACGGGCGCATATGCATGCTGCAGCGCAGGGATCTTCGCATGTCCCGTCGCCAGCGGATGAATGTGGATATCATTTCGTGGCCTTTGTCAAGGACGGGGACGGACGCGTGTGGGAATTAAATGGCGGCTTAAATGGACCGCTGCTGCGGGGGACTCTCGGCCCCGACCAGGATTTATTGAGCGACCAAGGATTGGAATTAACGGTGCAGGAGTATTTGGACGCAGCTCGGGGTCTTGAGGGAAATCAGGGCGACGGGATCAGTCTGGTCGCTCTTGCGGAGGCTGCCTAGTCTAACTAGCCATGAGGCCATTCCATTCTTATTGTGATGGAGTGTGGCGCAGGAGTGGGGATGGATCGACATCAACAGCTGTGCTGATAATAACGAGGCCGATAATAGCATCCATGATGATGGTGGTTTATTGGCGACACGAGGAACATCCTAAACAGCACAGCCACCATGCAGGATGGCCACGAATCCCTCCACCACCATGGCAGAAGATGACTGCGACGAAGCGCATAATAATACATAATAATTCCCCCCTCCTCACCGTCAGATGGAATAGCGGCAGCCTAACCCCATCAGTGGTGCCGTGTGTCTCGGGATGGCGGGGCAGCCTGATCACCCATTCGTCTCTCCTGAGTCCATCCATTTCAGCTGGGCCTGCGCTTTTCGTACATAACGCTCGTCCGGCCCCTCCGCCTCCTCTTTTTTCTTTTATCATCTTCTCATATACAACTCTCTGGTCATGTCGCACAGCCAGGACCACTTGGCCTATGGCCAGTACAACCCCGACGCCTCTCGCGGAGAAGGTGAGAGCATGAGAGGCCTTGTTGGCGACACCTTCAAGAAGCTACGTGAAACATACAAGACCCATCAGGGCCAACAGGGCGGCCAGGGGCAGCCGGCGAACCCGGGGTACCAGCAGGTAAGCAGTTTACCCGTTCTATACAGACCAAATACGGAATCTAACCCGCATACGCCAACCAGAGCGCCTCGCAAAACTACACCTACGGATCTGCCAGCCAACCCTCGAACCCTCCGTACCAAGATCCCCAAGCTCAGTTGCAGAACAAACCTCCCAAGCAAGATAAACTTTCCGGCTTGTTTGGGAAGCTCCAGGGCACGGTTGCGGATCTCGGTTCTGATGTCGCTCAGCGTTTGGGTACTGCTCTCGACCCACAAGCTTATGCGCAGTACGGTCAGCCTACCAAACCGCAAGCCGAGAATCGCTTCGGGAGCTTTGCGCCGGACCGACAGGGGAATGACGTGAAATGGTACGTGGACGGCTGCTCTTATTTCTATGCGGTGTCCAAGGCGCTGGAAAACGCCCGCGAGTCCATCTGGATCTTGGATTGTAAGTCATCACTATAGACGGGAGGGTCGGGGGTATTGTTTACTGATAGGCCTAGGGTGGTTATCCCCGGAGTTGTACTTGCGGCGTCCCCCTGCGAAGAATGAACAGTACCGTCTGGATCGCATGTTGCAGGCCGCCGCCCAGCGGGGTGTCAAGGTCAATATTATTGTGTACAAGGAGGTCACGCAGGCATTGACCCGTAAGTGAAGATCTACTGTAATGAAAATTGCGGTGATCTATACTGACCTTGACAGTCTCCTCTCACCACACTAAGCACCACTTGGAAGACATGCACCCTAACATCGCCGTCTTCCGTCACCCGGATCATCTCCCCGACCGCCAGGAGCTGACAGCTTCGATCACGTCCACCCTTGAGAACATGTCCTTGGATGCGAAAAGCCTTGCCAAGATGTCCGGTGATGCGTTGAAGGGCATCTACGGAATGCATGAAGACGTGATCCTCTATTGGGCCCATCACGAAAAGCTCTGCGTCATTGATGGACGCATCGCTTTCATGGGAGGATTGGACATGTGCTTCGGGCGTTGGGACACCAACCAGCATGCCTTGGCCGATGTCCACGGTGAGAATCTGAACGAGATCATCTTCCCGGGCCAGGACTACAACAACGCCCGTGTCCTCGATTTCAAGGATGTTGCTCACTGGGAGCAGAACCCCTTGGACCGTAAGAAGTCTTCTCGCATGGGCTGGTCAGATATCTCCGTCAGTTTGCACGGACCGGTCGTTGAGGATCTGCGCCACCACTTCGTTGAGCGCTGGAACTTCATCTACGACTCCAAGTACCAGTCGCGTAACGACTCGCGTTACACCAGACTTGTCTTGTACGGTCGACCCAGCTCGTCCACGAGCCAGCAACACGGCGGTCCCCCTGGTGCCTACCAGCAGCATCCGCCGTCTCAGCAGTCTGGAGTTCACCAGGCAGCTCCTTCGCCGTCCACGCCCCAGGGACATCAGCCCTACCAGCCCTCTCCCTCAACCCCATCCTCAACTGCAGGCGCCCAGCAACAGCAGTACACTTACACTGGTCAATCCTTCCCGCCGCCGCCCCCTGGACCACCTCCCTCTCAAGGCCAAGTGCAGGTATCTCCCCAAGCACAGACCCAAGGACAAGGCCAAACCCCGTATTTCCCTCCTCCCCCAACCCAGGCAGCTCAGGGGCAGCACTCTCAGACCCGCGGCGTGGAGCACGAATATGAAGGTTCGCGCGGATTCGGCGATTCTGACCGTGGCTTTGTTCCGCGTCGGTTCCGCGAGGATATCACCCACTATGGCAACAACCTGCGCGGACAACTGGCTGGCCAGATCCACCAGTATCAGGATCGTCTGACGACGACCCTCGGGCAGAGCCAGGGCCGGCACACCCAGCCCCGCGGCAACATGACGTGCCAGATCGTGCGCAGCTGCGCGAAATGGAGCAACGGTACGCCCAAGGAGCACTCTATCGCGGACGCCTACGCTGCCATCATCCGCAACAGCGAGCACTTCATCTACATCGAGAACCAGTTCTTCATCACAGCCACCGGCGACTCGCAGAAGCCGGTCCAGAACAAGATCGGTGCTGCGATTGTTGAACGTATCCTACGCGCCGCCCGTGCCGGCGAGAAGTACAAGGTCGTCGTGGTGATCCCTTCGGTGCCCTGCTTTGCGGGCGACCTAGCCGACGAGTCCACGCTGGGCACCCGCGCCATCATGGAGTTCCAGTACAACTCCATCAACCGTGGCGGCAACAGCATCATGGAACTCATCGCCAAGGAAGGCTTCAACCCGATGGACTACATCCGGTTCTACAACCTCCGCAACTATGACCGCATCAACGCCACCGGCGCCATGACCGCCGCTGAACAGCGCAGCGGCGTCAACTACGAGGACGCGCGCAAGCAGCACGACGTGACCACCGCCGGGCCCGGCGGCTACGGACCGGGCGCCCCCCGCATGGCCTTCGACACCACCGCGCCCTTCCAGCAATACCAGCAGGCCGCGCACCAAGTCTCGTCGCCGAAGTCCGGCCGCTGGAACAGTGTCAGCGAGTGCTACATGCTCAACGGCGCGGACATTCGCAACGTGCCGTGGGACGGCCCCGCAGAGACCGAGATCGACGCCTTCGTGACCGAGGAGCTGTACGTGCACTCGAAGGTGATGGTGGCCGACGACCGCGTGGTGATCTGCGGATCAGCGAACCTGAACGACCGCTCGCAGCTCGGCGACCACGACTCCGAGATCGCCATCATCATCGAGGACCACACGCCCGTGCAGTCGACGATGAACGGCAAGCCGTGGACCGCGAGCCGCTTCGCCGCGTCCCTGCGGCGCCAGCTCTTCCGCAAGCACCTGGGTCTTCTTCCCCCGCAGGACCCGCAGCGCCCAGACGCAAACTCCGAGCCTATCGGCGTCTGCCCTAACCAGTTCGACTTTGACGCGCCCGAGAGCCAGCTGGTCGCCGACCCGCTCGCGGACACGCTGCACAGCCTGTGGAACACGCGCGCGCGCACCAACACCGAGGTCTTCCGCAAGGTGTTCCACTCGGTGCCGGACGACACGGTGCGCGACTGGGCGTCGTACAAGGAGTTCTATGGGTACTATTTCAACAAGGCCGATAAGCAGGCGTACGGCGAGGCCAAGGAGGACCCGCCCTCGCGGTACGCGTATGGGCACGTCGTGCGGGATGACTTCTCGCCGGGCGTCGAGGGCGTCAAGGAGGTCAAGGAGTTGCTGAGTAAGGTTAAGGGAACGCTCGTGGAGATGCCGCTCATGTTCCTGATCGAGGAGGATGTGGCGGAGGAGGGGGTCATGCTTAACGATCTGACGATGCCGATCTACACTTGAGATGTGCGAGCCTAGCCTCCGTGTGTTCTTTATGTTTTGTATAGTCGAGTCTTATCTAGTCGAATCCATTGGCTTCGCTGATTCTTTGTTGCTGTACTCCCATTCGCATTGCGGAGGTGGCGCCCGTTGATATTGTTGTCGAGGAACAATATTACCCGAAGCGCAAGTATATCGAGTCCCGGCTTTGTCCGTCCATCACGCTTCAATATCTCTCCACCACCAAGATTCCATCCAGCCATATTGACATTCCCCAGAACAATATCAAGACTCACATTGATCCCCCACACAGCAAACCCTCCGTCCCCCATTCGCACCTCTCTCCGCATCGCCCATCCAAGGTATAAGAAGGACCATGCAGCACGCTCTTCGTCTCTCTCCCCATCACGAACAACTCCTTCAGATCCAATCAAGCTTACATTCAAACTCCTTTGCTTCACGCAAAACCCAACCAACTCAATCAACATGTCTCCCTCCGAAATCGCCCAGAACGTCGCCATCACCAAGGGTACGCCACACCACACACATCCCCATCTTTCTACAACGAAACTAACAAGAAGATAGCTTCCCCCGGCGGTGGCTGCGTTGTTATGTAAAGTCCCTACCACGGGCTCGAACGCCTCCAACCATGATCCACATTGACGCTCCTCTGTTGCTCCGCTGCATCCCTCGACGACAGAGGAACCGACTAAGATAGCGTCTACTACACGAGTCCAATACATGACCGACTGGCGGTTTCGATATCTCTCAAGCAATCGCTCCTTTTTACTTCTTGGCCTCGGGGATGGTGTGGGCGGCGCTAAATTGAAAACCCTGATATGATATGGCTGGTTTAGCCAGGAATGTGTTGTTTCACAATCTGTTTATTTCACTCTTTTACTTCTGGTCTCGTGTCCCGTGGTTGGATTGTTGGTCATGTCCATATAGCAATCTACGTATATTATCAAATGAAAGTTGACATTCTTTCGTCAGTCGGCCCTGGTATATCACTGTGTAGAAGGATAAGATGTATGCGTCATGTTCGTAATCTGTCCCTCATGTCTATGTACAATAAGGATGGCAATGCGCTACTGGAGACTAGGGCTCCGTCGCCTTCCGGATCTTGTCCACCCGCGCAATGTCGTCCGCACTCGGTTCTTGCAGCTCCGCGTCCGAGACGACAAAGGCGTCACCAACGACGTCCTCGACCTGCTCTAATGCGTGTGAGATCAGCTCCACTGACCGCGCCATGCCCGTGTGGCACATGTCCTCGCCAACAGCAGACTCGATCTTCCCGTCCCCGCCGTTCTGCGTCAGGTCGGCCTGGAAAGCGTGGAGCAGTGTCTTGAGCGGCTCGAGGAACCGGTTACGGAAAAATAAGTATGTCTTTCCGAGCTGGAGTCGGCTGCGAAGGTCTGCAGACGAAACAAGGATGTAGTACAGGTTGAGGGCCGCGTGGATAGAGGGGACCAGGCTTTGAGAGAACTTGATCCACGAAGCGACAATGTCGGAGGAGACGTTGAGGAGGAGCTGAGCGGGGTTGAAGAGCGACGGGAAGAGGACTGAGAAGTAGTGCGGATTGAGGAAAATGCTCGGTTCGGCGGTAGGGGACTCATTCACGGCTGAGAGGATTTCGTTCTGGAGCCAGCCAATCGCACTATCCTTGACAGTTAGGTAGTTTTCCTCTTCCAGGACGTTCCGGATGATCTTGAAGCGCGCCGTCGGCGACGGGTTACTGTGCACGATGATTCCAGGAATTTGCCGGACACTGCTGAAGTGTTGACGTGCGGTGCATGCAGTCAGAGCCAGTATGAAGTCCTGGAACTCGCGCTCGGTGGCTGGAGTCCCGATTGTCTTTTGCATCGAAAACACGGTTAGTGTGAGCAGAGAATCTAATAAAGCCTGCGGTTGCCCGAACGCGACGTCGTCCGGTGTGTTGTACCCGCCCACAAAATTGGCAAATATATTGGCGAGGTCAGGGAAGACGGCAATTGGAATGACCTGTCCAGAGGAAAACAATTCGGCCATCGCAGCGCGGGCTGCAAGGAGAAGGAGAGCGCCATGTCTTTCTAGCGGGATTTGGTCTGCTTTCTTGGGTAGTTCATCGAAATCAAGCGGGGGTGGTTGATTCTCTGAAGGTAGCGAAACAATCTCGAGGAGTAGCTTGTCCTCCAGGCCGAAATCGCGAGACAGGGCCTATAGAGTTAGACGGATTTAATTGAAATGGGACGAGAGACTTACAGTAATCTTTGCCATGATCATGTCTCTCTCGCGCAATTCTTTGCTTTCAGAAAAGGCTTCGGTCTGGGATTGCCCGCCAGGCATGCGTGTGCCAGGACGCAGCTTCTCCTGTAGTCTGATCGCCCAACACATGCCAGGATCCGTGGGGCTGGAGAAGCTCAAGAGATACGACTTGACAAGCTCGATCAACCCGAATTGCAAGAACCTACGGACCAGTGCTGGTTCTTCGTTGTCGGCCGGGGTTGTTGATTGACTTTCTGCCTCCGGGTCCGGCGCTGAGGCTTCCGATACACGTAACACAGATGACTCGCTCGCGGCACGGGGTGGAGGGGCGGGTCGTTTGGAGGGCGATACATCGCGGAAGAACTCAAGTAGAGACATTGTTGTCTCACTCGTTGGCATCAAAGTGTACGCTTCGAGAGCCGCTTGTAGAGAGGTGGCGATGAACCGACTGGGGGATTTTGTCTCGATGCGGGAGTGGAGGACGGAGAGCATGGCCAGGAGTGTGTTGAACTTGACGATGTGTGAGGGGAGAGTCTTCTTCTGTCCCGCACCGTCGCTACCCCCCCTCATCGTCCTCGTCCTCCGGTTGGAGCTGCATGAGCGCATCGGAGACACGTAGGATCACCTCGCGTGGATTACCGAGACGGGCAATGTCCTGCAGACATTCTGAAGACTGAGGGAGCATGGGCAGCAGCATCTGGACCAAGTCCCAGCCGATGTTGGTGGTCAGGGTCTCATCCTGGAGGAGTTTGTGGAGGACGGGTAGGCGTGCTGGCGTTAATTGGTACTCCAAGAGGGTCAGGTAGGTGAGGTAATCGGTCGCAGGCGGGAGAGCCTGGACGAGAGGGTCTTCCGACTCGGCCATGGTGGTCGAGATTGAGGGATGGACGAGTCTTTCTGGTTCGGAGATGAAACGCTCAAGAGGCCGCGTGGAGGGGAAGTTGCAGGAGAGGCTGCGTCAGCGGGGTCACGGGGGATGACATCATGCCCGAGGTTGCCAGCCACCACCAGTCCAAGATATATACCTGGTATACACCACGACATGGATACTGTCAATTGAAGTTTTCGGGTTTCTAGGGTCCATTCGCTAGGGAATACTCTGTAGCTCTGTGCACGATAGTACCTTGGCACGCTGGACTCCACCATACGCACTAGGTCGTGCTATGACTCCAAGTAGTGAACTAGCAGAGGTACCATACGATGGTAAACAATCCCTTGAAGATAAAATCTGGAAGATAATGGCTTCAATGATCGTGCTATTGCTCGGAATGCAGCTATGCATCACATGACTATATGGCACATCACATGACTCAACTGTCAAATTCAGAGATATACTCCGTAATGAGTTGGTCGAGAGAAAGACTCCCTCCCTGAAAGGATTGGGTAGAAACAACACTAGAGTCGGGAGGCGTGCGATCGCCTGCGCCGTTCATCCGTCACCCGGAACACGGCACAAGGGTTATGCAGAGGTCCATGCTACGGAGTACTACTCCGTCCCTGAGTAGCAGGTACTGAGTCCGCGAGACGAGTCAATAATCACGAATATGTGAGTGAGCTCGATCTGATAACTAGTCAGACAGAACTCAATCTCAGATAAGCGATATCGCCGTCAGATTATCTTCTCATGGAATTTTAATCCATGGAAAAAGAAAAAAATAAAAAGAAATAGAAAAAAAAGAAAACTCGAAAAAAAATCCCAAAACGGGAGTTGCCGATTAAACCGAACATCCGGGCCCGCTGATTGGCTGCACCACCGCCCTGCACATCCGCGCCCTACCGGATTCATTATTGATGACCTCTTCGTTTCTTTCCTGCTCTCCTGATATCTTTCTCCCCCATACTACGCCCTATTAATCCCTAATAATTAAATCACCAACCTCCTCCCTCTCCACCCTCGCCCCTCCTTTTCGTGCGTTCGCGTTGTTTCCCTGCCTCCGCCCCATCGACAGTCAGCTTAGTCCGGTTTTCCTGCCCGTTTTTTCCCCTTCCGTCTCACGCCGGTTCCGCCTTGTCACTCCTTGATCTTCTTCCAACTTCTGTCGGAAACCCGTAATACCACCAGGCGCAAGGGATAGAGTTGGCGATTTTTCTTCGTACCGTGTCCCTGGCCTCGAATAATCCTAATTTGACCTCCCATCTGCACTACGCGGGGGCGATTGCGACTGCAGCTCGTCCTCGTCCGCCAAAAGCGAGGAAGCGCATTGCCATTTCTCAGCAGTTCGGAACAGGAAGAGAAATCAACCTACTGCATCCCTTTTAGTCAGGTATCGCTCAGCATTGGTCCTTCCTCAATTCAACCATCAATCGTCGCCATGGCTACCGAGATGCAATCCTTCTATACTCCCTCGACCTCCACGCACATTTCGTCTCACGCTCCCGCGGCGGTCGATGAACTGATCAACAAGTACTCCTCCACCATGGCCACCGCCAATATTCCCGGATCCAGTCACATGGCCATGAAGAAACCGCCTCGAAACGTCCTTCAGCGTCTCGTCGATCGCGTCCGTCTGGAATACTATCGATATGAAGTCACCTTCGGCCTCTACGTCATGACCCCCGGAGAGAAGCTCGTGGCCAACTCGTTCGTGATCGTGGTCTTGTCCCTGCTGTTCTGGGCATTGCTTCTCTATTTCCCCGCGTTACTTTACCAGAAGCTGACCCGCCTCGTGTGGCTGTTGACGGGTCACAGCAGCGAGGAGATGGGTGCCGCCCTGGGGATCCTGGAGACACACGTCGGCTCGATATCGACCCCATTCTCAGCGGAGAATGCGCTCTGAGGGCATAATAGCACATACATGTTCCTGGCTATGCGGGATCTTGTCTTTCCTGGCGGTGATTCTGCCCTGGAGTCGATAAACAACTCTCCCGAGGCCTATACAGTTGGTGAGCAGGATATCTCTCCGTTCAAGGCATCGAACACCCAACTGACCACTGCAGAATCGATGCTTCTATTTTTATTTGTCTTGGCGTTCATACGGGGCGTTTGGGTTCTGGTTTATAGTGGAAGGCGCCTGCGCCGACCTAATGATTGGAATGGATGGACTGGGTAATGTGAGCACGAGTACCGCCACTGCACGGCCAATCACGGAGCACCCATCCATATGGGGAATCTTCTAGCGTGATTCCCGGTGACGGGGTTGAAACGGGCATGGTCGAGCTTTCTTTTTTTCTCATGGATGTTGTGACTGTATAAATGGGTGGTGATGAAGCGGACTTGGGAAGTGACCGACGGCGCCATTGTGGCCATCGGTAGTCGCGACTCTTGGAAGCTGGTCTCGTTGCGGTCCATCTGGTCATTCTCTCTGTCTTGATGGGATCGTTTTGAGCATATAGTTATACATTAATGCTTAATGTCAATATGAGCATGTACCGTGGTGTACATGAATAACCATGGTGTTTCCTCCTCTTTCGGAAAATGAATAGGAAGAAACATACTGTGACGAGGCCAGAGGCTTAGACGATGACGAGGAGAGGAACGACTCCACTGCAGTCGTGGGCAAGAAAAAAATCGGTAGTAACTACGTACTAGTAGTTAGTTATTGTAGCCGGCATGGAGGCTGACGACGATGATCAGCGGCCAAAAATAGCTCCACCCGCCAAAAACGCCAGCCTAAGCCCAACTTCACCACATCTTCCATCTCCTTCATCTCCCACGACCTTCGTTTCTCTCGTTGATGGTTACGTTTCCTCCAATCCATCAGTCCAGTCATTTCTTCCGTCGTGGTGGCCGCTGTCCGGTCCTTTGTTTACATCATTGATTTCCCCCGTTCGCCCACTCTGAGGCAGCTCCATTATCCCCTCAGATTCTGCGCCCCAACGTGGCCGTGCATTCAATATAAGGCTGGAACATCAGTCTCTGCGTGGACATCCTATCCGACTCTGTGACACATTCCTTCGTGACCCACGAGACTCGCCGTGCATTTGTCGACCTAAAAACTCCGCGAGATTCTCCTCCCTCCTCCATCATCGCGTCCTGTTGATCCTCCCTCCTCTTCGGCATCGTTTGCGCCTCCACGATGTCCGCCCACGACTATTACAACACTGGCTACAGCAATCATCCGCCGGCATACCAACAGGCCGACCCTCCCAGTCCTCACTCCCCTCCCGGTTACACAGGTGCCAGCACGCATCCCTACACGACCCCTGAGAATGATCCGCATCACCTCCGCTACAGTCAACAATCGCTAGGATCCGACAACGGCGCTTACGTCGCCGGTGGGCGACTAAACGATGAACACCAGTACGCCGAAAACATACCCCTCAAAGAACACACTGCGTATTCGAACGGTCCGCCGCCGCCGCACTGGATGCAGCATCCCACGCAATACCCTCCCGACCCTACCATGGAACCCCCCATGGGCCCGAATAGCCGACGAAAGCAGCGGAAAGGATTCTTCAAGAAGAAGATCGCGTGGGTGACGTACACTCTGACGGTGGCTCAGATCGTGGTTTTTATCGTGGAGTTGGTGAAGAGCGGTATGTCCGACTGCAAACTTGACACATCAAGGTCCAACTTCCGCTGGATAGTCGGCTAACAAGTGATAGGACAACTCACGGGCTCGCCGATTGAGACGAAGCCTCAGTTCAACCCGATGATTGGACCGTCGGCGTACATCCAGATCAACATGGGCTCGCGGTACACGCCGTGTATGCGAAACGAAAACAAGGTTCAGAACTCAAAGATTGAGTTCCTGATGCCGTGTCCCAACTCCACGACGAACGCCTTGGAATGCACACTGTCCGAGCTGTGCGGCTTCAACGGCGTACCCAACCCAACTGTGAATGGCTCGCTCGATGCGAAGCCCGCGCCCAACCAGTGGTGGCGCTTTATCATTCCCATGTTCCTCCACAGTGGAATCATCCATATCGGCTTCAATCTACTAGTTCAGATGACGATGGGTGCAGATATGGAGCGGATGGTGGGTTGGTGGCGGTACGGACTGGTCTATTTCGCCAGTGGCATCTGGGGATTCGTGCTAGGTGGAAACTACGCCGCTCCGTTTGAGGCCTCCTGCGGCTGTTCGGGCGCGCTGTTCGGGATTCTCGCCTTGTACATTTTGGATCTTTTGTACACATGGAAGGACCGCGCTTCGCCAGTCGTGGAGCTGGTCATCATGGTCCTCGGAGTGGGCATTTCGTTCGTCTTAGGACTGCTCCCCGGATTGGACAACTTCTCCCATATTGGTGGGTTCGTCATGGGTCTAGCTCTCGGTCTGACCTTGATGAGATCGCCCAACGCGCTGCGCGAACGTATCGGACTGGCCCGGGCCCCGTATGTGGCCATGAGCGGCGGGGTTGCGTCGACTTCTGAAGGGGAGACCAAGCCGGCGGGTTCGAAGTCCTCATTCATGGACTTTTTCAAGGCCCGTAAGGCTGGAACTGCTACGGCAGACAACCCCGGTCCGGTGGGCTTCTTCAAGGGTCGCAAGCCGCTGTGGTGGGCGTGGTGGTTGGTTCGTTTGGGCGCGCTGGTTGCCGCCCTGATCGGCTTCATTCTCCTTCTGGTGGACTTTTACAAGTACCACGAGTCGAACTGCTCGTGGTGTTACCGCCTGAGCTGCTTGGTATGCTTTCCCCCTCTTACTGGTTGAACGATAGCTAACTGGTCAATAGCCGGTCAAGGACTGGTGTCAACAGGGCATGGAGCCATACAAGATTACCACGACCAACTCTACGAGCGGCAGTTGATCATGCATTTATTTCTGGTTTCTGACGAGTGTATTTTGGTTAGAGGATTATATGACTGTTCATTTATCTGTATACACCATGTTCGAGGCCTAGGCGTCTATGAATGCCGAACGGTAGAGAATGTCTAGTCTGACATGGAATATTCACGATTGTCCTGATATCTCCAGCTGTATACGGAATACCTAATTCGTAGCTGTGTGAGGCTGTGCCTGATGCACCGCCACCGCTAGCTAAATATATCCGCTGCTTACGTATAACCGGATTTCGGTGATCGGCCGGAGATCGTTGGGTGCCTTCGTCTTCATGAGCATTCTTTCGTTCCGCTGTCTTCTCTCCCAACTCATCCCATCGCTTGCAGTCAGTGCTATCGTATCTTTCTTTCGTTCGCGCATGACCTTTTGAGCCTCCCTCTGGACGATCTGCCTGGAATCCCGGCCAAAACCCGTAATCTCCGCGATTGTTCCACTTCCAACCTTACGAGCCCATCGCCATGATTCAAGCCTCGCTTTAATTCATCGTCTCTTCGAGCCGTCACTTGGCTAGACCCTGTGCGCAATTCACTCATCCACGATGGCGACGCTCGCCGTCTCCCCTCCGTCCTCTCCGTCCTGGCCGAAACGGCGTCCCCGGGCCTGGGCCCTCCGATGCGAACGCTACTGCTGTGCAGCAGCCTCTTTCTTTCCCCTCGCGTTTGTGTACGGTTTGACTTCATGGGCGGTCTACGTTGAAGCTAGCATTGGCTTCCATCCATCGCGTAGCTCTTGGGTTGGTAAGTCGCATACGTAGACGGATACATCGGCCCCGGAGGTCCCGGAGCATCATCCCCGTTCTGACATGTCGCGCACCACAGGTGTACCATCATCTATCCTCGGGATTCTCCTCTATATCTGTTTGAATGCTTCATATACCGTTGCCGTGTTTACCGACCCCGGATCACCGCTATCCGCCTCGCGCGGGGGCAACAGTCGACATGAATACAGCGCGCTACCCGTCACCGAGCTCCCGGAATATACCTCCTTCACTGTGAACTCCACAGGCGGTTCACGATTTTGCAAGAAGTGTCAGGTCCCCAAACCGGACCGCGCACACCACTGCTCCACATGCAAGCGATGTGTGCTGAAAATGGACCATCATTGTCCATGGCTGGCGACCTGCGTCGGGCTCTACAACTACAAAGCCTTCCTCCTCTTCCTCATCTACACCTCCATCTTCTGCTGGGTGGACTTTGCCGTCGCCTCGCTCTGGATCTGGAGCGAGGTCCTCAATGACACACACTACATGGACACCTTGCTCCCTGTGAACGTCGTCCTCCTCGCCATCCTCGGCGGCATCATCGGGCTGGTCCTCAGCGGCTTCACCGCCTGGCATATTAGCCTCGCGGTCCGCGGCCTGACCACGATTGAATGTCTCGAGAAGACGAGGTACGTATCGCCGCTGCGGAAGGCGCTGGACCGCCACCGCACGGCCGAGAACGCCGGCAACAACCCACCTGGCACCGACCCAAACAGCCTCTCCCACCGCCTCCAAGACTACGGAAACCAGATCATTGACGCCCATGCCAACGCCATCCCCGGCGTCACCCGCCCCGAAGAAGGCGAGTCGGAGCTTACCCCCGCACAGCAGGCGCTCTCCCGCTCCTACGCGGAGCTCGAGCGCCAACGCGAGCACGACCGCTACCAGGACTACCTGGACGAAGAGGAGAACGAGAAGATGCCTAACGCGTTTGATCTCGGGTGGAAGAAAAACCTGCTGCATCTGTTCGGCGATCGTCCCCTGCTGTGGTGTGTGCCCGTCCGCACCACCACCGGCGACGGCTGGCACTGGGAGCCGAGCCGGAAGTTCCTCGAGGCGCGCGAGCGCGTCCGCCAGCGTCGCGAACGTGAACACGCCGATCAGCAACAGTACTACCGCGACCTGTACCAGCGCAACATGAACAACAGCCAGGGCTGGCTCGCGCCCGAGCATCACCCCCCGCCACAGGCCGCACAGCCCGTATGGACACCAAACCAGCCGTTAGATAGCTTCCGCGATCCGGAGCGCCCACCGACAGGTGTGTCGATGAAGACGCTGGCGCCGATGTCTCCGCGGCCGCGGCCGGGCGATAGCGATTTCGAGGGTAGTCCGGACAGCCGGGATCTTAACCAGGAGGGAGACGAGTGGCGGAACTGGGATTAGTATTATGATGGCGTTAGGATGTATCATATGGTAGCGTTAGTAGCGTGTCAATATCATCATTACTTAGAAACCCCCAAATAATTTCAGCCTGAATAATCAGGCATCAACCGCGTCATCCCGCCAACTGTCCAATCCATTCCAACCCCAACAACCTTCTTCCCTCTCACCATCCCTCCATTCAATCCCACCCTCAATCCCCAAAACAAACCGACACTTACAAAGATGTCCCCGGGAACCCGCCGCCTCCTCAAAGAAGCCGCCGAGCTCCGCGCCTCGCCCTCCCCGCACTTCACCGCCCACCCGGTCTCGGACAACCTCTACGACTGGCACTTCACGCTGGCGGGCCCGCCGCCGCCGTCGCCGTACGCGCACGGCATCTACCACGGGCGCATCGTGCTCCCGCCAAGCTACCCGCTGCGCCCGCCGAGCTTCCGCTTCCTCACGCCGACGGGCCGCTTCGAGGTCAACCGCGAGATCTGCCTGAGCATCTCGGGCCACCACGAGGAGACGTGGCAGCCGGCGTGGGGGGATCCGCACGGCGCTGCTGGCGATCCGCAGCTTTATGGACGGCGATGCGCGTGGGCAAGTCGGCGGGCTGGATGTCGGCGACGAGGTGAGACGCGAGTATGCGCGGACCAGTCGCGCGTGGAGGTGTGAGGTGTGTGAGCGGAGTAATGAGGAGATATTGGAGGAGTGGAGGGGGCTTTGTGGTGATGCTGGGGTTGGTAATGATGGGGATGCGGAGGGGGAAGGCAAGGAGAAGGATGAGGATGTGAGGGAGGATGGGGCCCTGGAGAGCGAGACGCAAACGCGTGCGCGGGATGTTCAAGATGCGCCGGTACAAGACCCTGTGCTTCCCCCAGAGCGAATAGAGCAGCAGGATATCCCGACCCCTACGCCGACAATAACTGCGCCCCAGACGGTGATTCCTGAACCAGCACCGCCACAGCAGCAGTTTGTTCGGGCTCGTGAGACATCCGATGGTCCCTGGCTGGATCGTGCGATCATCGGCGTGCTGGTTGCGTTGGTGGTCATGATTCTTCGCCGGCTTGCGAGGTCAGAAGATCCCTATTGATGACTCTGTTGGGCACGAAAATGATAGCGAGTGGAGTTTGGAGTTGTCTATTTATGCATATCCGGAATGATTTGGTTGTTTGTTGGGTCATATGGCAGAGATATTTAGAATATATATGAAGTCGATTGTCCTGGTGGCCTCACGTCTTATATCCCATTTTGCATCTTACCAACTAACAGACTTAATCAACATCATTCAACACCCAACACGAGCCACCACCACTCTTGTACAGCCCATCCGGCCTCTGCACCACGCCCACCAACCTGTCGCATCACTCCCACCTGCTCCAGCCACTTGAGGAGCAATTCCACCTCCCACGCCCCCAGTGTAGGCTTCAACATATTGGCCAGTCCGGAGGCAGACAACCCCGGCCGGAGGGCAACACTGCTCACGACGGCTGTGAGAGCAATGTCCCAAAGCAACTTGACAAATTGGCTGTGGATGTCGTACCACAAGGGGATCTTCTCCGGCACGGCAAGCTGGGACGCGCCGATGGTGACCGACGGTGGACAAGGAGGCGCAATGCTGGATGTCTTCTCCTGGATGGGATTTCCGTACACATACTTTCCCTTCACCGGCCGGACCTCGACGGCAAACCGCAGCTTTCCCTTGTCCATTTGTCTGGTGGTATACCCACCTTCAGTTAGGCCGTATCTATCGCGTGGAGGATCTCGCGGTCTCAAGTCCACTCTCCCCTCAGCCAGCAAGTTAATTACTGCCATGGTGTCACCATCGTCAGCCGCGTAGTCGAAATCCCACTGCCCTTGGGACCGCAGGGCAGCATCAAGGACATCCGTTTTGAACCGCGCCGCTCTTCGCAGGTCGGTGCTCTCGAATGCTCGTTTCCGTCCCAAAAGCAGGAGGAAGTAGTCTGTGATATCGTAATTGCGGCCAGGAGCGGGACGTCCTTTGTTGTTGGACGAAATGACACGCTCGGTCATCAGCGAATTCAAAGCATTCTCAAGGACGTTATTCGGCACCGTACTAAGAATCTCGCGAGCTTCTGCAGGACGATACGACTCCTCCGCCGCCACAACATTGGCACGAACCCATGTTTTGACCGCGTCCAGACGAGCTAGCTCGGTCTGGCGTAAGGTCACCTGGCCTGGCCGCTCAGCGAGAGGAACAGCAAATGGTGTTTCGGCATAAGCCGTCCGCTTTCGATATATCGTGACGTTATGGCTGCTGTGGTAGATATCGTCCAAGGATGAAACAGGCTCTTCCCGTACTTCAAAGACGCTGTCGAACTGTTCACGGGTCGCCGGTAGGTCTGGAATCTTTTCTGAATTCGGAAATTCCAGCGCGGAGTTTGCCCACTCGACCACTCCCTCCCAGTCGTAGTTTTCCAGGTCATCGTAGTTGATGGCGGGCACTTCACCATTGGCATAGGCCTCGATAAACAGAGACTGGAAATCACCTTGCATCTTGGCCAGTTGCAACCGGTGTCTAGCGACGATACTCTTTCCCCTTTCCTGCACAAAAAGCGGATCAAATTCAGGGAAACACTTAGGCACGAGATTCCAGTCAACAATCTTTCCCTCCCACCCTCCAGCTAATGTGCGGACGACGACGATAGCTGTCATAAGTTTTCGCACAAATGACCTTGACAACACATAAAGATTTTTGTGAGAGCGACGGCCAGTTTGTTGAATGGAGATTGCCTCGCCTTCATCGGCTAGCGAGGCGTGCAATTTCTCCAGGCGTCTGTTTCGCCGAGTCGTGTCAAAGTCTTCCTCATACTCAAAAGCAGGCCTCCGCCCACCCACATCCATCTCAGTATCCACATCATACCTCGGCTGACCCGGTGGTCTGGGCGCCAACGGTCGCAGAGTCCCTCCTGCCAATGCCTCCGTAGTACGCGTTGCCTTCCTTGTAGCTCTAGGCTCCGATGGAAGATGTTCACGTCGAGACATCGGCGGTTCTTCATACCCGTGGAAGCGTATATTACCAACAATTGGGGCGCTTTCAAAGGAATCCTGTACAGTTTGGTTGATGTAATGGAAGTCGGATGACTTTCTGCGGAATAGCTGCTTGTTTCGAATTTCCCACCGCATAATCGTAGCCAGATCAGTTGAGAACGTGCGGTCTGGATCCACTGGTTCGGATTCTTGATGTGCCATGCTAAACAAATCATCGAGAGAGTCAGGCAAATCAGATGTAGTATCTTTCCTTCTCCCACGTGGTGTCAATGGCTCTTTCTGAGAAACAGTAGGTTCTAAAATTCGCGGGGCTCCAAGTACTGCAGTGGTAGAAAACGTCCCGCTGCTGGCGTGAAACTCTTGCCGAGGACTCATGACCATCGCAAACGGCCATACCTCGGAAATTGGTAGATCGATCAGACGTACTCTGCGGATGCCACCAGATGACTGAACCTTCTGAATGCGCCTTTGTTTTTGGCCCTCCGAACGATCTGGTCGGGATATGGAAGTTAACCCATGCGCCGTGTCACCCTGACCGGGAGCTCGTCGGATCCGCATCAACCGGACCACGTTGGGCCCCTTGACAAGTTCTCTTTCAGAATCCAGTCGTTGCAATAATCGCCTCTGAATCATCTGACCCTTTCGCTTCTCCTGGGCCGTAACGAGAGCCGGCTTTTGATGCAGATGGACTGTTAGGCGTGGCTCGATCGGAATGCGGGAGGTAGATTTCCCATATGGTGGAACTTGTACTTTCTTTCCGGATTTCGTCATCTCCTTGTCGTATTCCACGTTCTCAGGAATGTAAAATCTGCTGTCCGTCGCAAGCATCTTCTTCTGCATGTCCTGGATGAGAGGATCATCCGGACTCAAGTCAGATTTCGCAATGATACTCTTCGTCACCATGAGGCCTTTACTGTCTTTCCCGCTGAATGTAAATTGCCGCAGTGTTCCTGCATCAATCAGGTGTTTTACTGTGTTCCTGATTGTTCGGAGATCCGGCTTCTCCTTATACTTCAGCTTTGCCCAAGCAGTCGTGAACGGATACCACAGTTCGGTTCCCATGGGGAAAGCACCCCCAGCCTGTTCCAATATTTGCATGACGATCTTCCTCCGCTGGAAGCCAATTGAACCACTCATGTGTCCTCGCAACCCACGCCCCTTCCCTGTGCTCGAGGCAGGAGCCGGTGAGGAGGTTGGTTCGGTGGATGCTGGTGTGGCCGTCGGCTGCGCCGTGCGCATGCTGCTTGGGATACTGGCGGTGGTGGGTGGAACAGCAGTCGGTGCTGTTGCCGGAGGATCAGCTTCAGCTAACCGCTTCTCTGTTGGTGGTGGAAGGAGATTCGTGTCGTGCGTCCCTTTGACAGGTTCATCTGTAGCACCATCATTTCCTGGCACAACGACGGAGCGCCCAGCTCCATATTCACCCCGAACCTCATGATGGGGCCGCTTTGAGGGCATCTCTGTGCCATTATCTGTAGTGCGAGCTTGCGTCTGGGGGGCTTGAGAGACATTATCTCCATCAGGAGATTCTGCTCTTTTTCGTTTCGAACTCCTATTCCCGTTGGCACTAGGATGAAGTTCAGGAGTATCAACATCCATCGAGGCTGGTCCACCTTCCACAAAGCGACGCTGCTTTGAGACTACCGGTGACTCGGTGTCGGAGTCCCTGCCAGAAGACAAATGCAGGGGTCGCTTGGTACCTCTCAAGAGACCCGTATCGGATGGCCCAGCCGCAGACAGCGAAATGTCCTGTCCTGCATCTGATTCGGGACGATCGCCGTCCTCCCCGACCTCCTCGACAAACCAGGGCAAGGATGATAGCTTCGGTGATTTGAAGACCGCCACTCTGCTTCTCTTTGGACGCCCCTGTCTCTTTCCTGCTGGCCTACGCCGCCCGAGGGGGGTGAGGTACACCCCAGGGTTCGGTCGCTCGATGAGGAGAACGCTATATTCTGTGTAGGTCTCGTCCAATCCAAGATGTTCCAGCTTTTCTTTCTCGGACATCCCGCGAAGCAGATCTTCGTTCTTGATCTTCTTACGGCGCGCGACCGTCGGCTTGGAAGCTTCAGGTGTGTTCTCCATATCGATATCTTCAGGCTCATGATGTTCAAGCTTGACCCTGAGTGGTGTGCTAGCTTCAACGGCCCCACGTCGATGGTGATCGGCGGCAGAGGCTCTTTGCCTGATACGCAATCCTGCTTCGAATCAACAAGAGTCACTACACTGATACGATCTTGCTTACCGTATGTACCATCCTGGAGTTGCACCACGGACGGATCTGTAGAAGTAACGACATAATCCTGCGGTTTCACAACTGCCATGCACTCCAGAAGAGATGCATTGCCATTCTTAAAAAGCTGAGACTTGGGTCTAGCCAGAGGTAAGCCATACCCATCGACTTCCGGCACAGCATCCACCGGGGGGGGACGAAGGTTATTTGCTTTGGCATTCTTAGAAATAAATTCGACGGCTTCCCACGCTGCCTCGCCTGCGTCGACTCGCTTCCGAAAATTGACAGCCGAATAATGGATATAATGGTGTATAGTGCCGGTCATTGCTGTGTCTCGCACCAGAGCGAGATGTCTCAGATGGAGGGGTTGAGATAACTGCCAACACTCGACTAGACGGGCCAAGACGTTCTCCAAAGGCCTGCGATAGAGTCCACCGAAACAGCTTTTGATGAGATCCTACATGCCGAGTGGTTAGATGCTGACGGCTATGGATGACATTGAGTTGCTTACCAAGCTGATCATTCCGTCGGTGCCCGCCTGATGGACAATATCAAAAATTTGGTTGTGAAGGACACGGTCCGGCGTCCAGCATGGAATAGTTCGCCCAACATCCTGTACGACTTGCCCTTGCTGCAGCACGCCATTTTGCAAAGCCACCGACGGCTGTCCTGTATCTGTCACCATCATTTCCTCGTCCAGTTCGGCACTGTCCTCTTGCTCGTTATTGGTCAACGAATCTATGCCGAATTCATAAAATCGCTCGTAGTCTTTCTCGGTTGGCTCTCGCACGAGCATGACACAGGGATGGTATTTATTCACCGTGTCCGCATACTGCGACAAGGCACGGACACGTTTGAGCACCCCGATGCGCTCGAATTTGCGCAGGGTCCGCGACAGAATCCTCCATCGCCAGCGGTCGGCGAAACCAAGCAGGTTCTTCAGATCATTACGGGAGAGAATCTTGTGTTCGCGGAGAATACCGAAGAGGTCATCCATGAACTTGTGGAAATCAATCATTTGGTTTTGGCGATCGGCGGACTCGGACGCCGATTCAGGCACACTATCCTCATCTTTAAGAAATCGACGCAGCGTGCACAGGCTCGTTCGGGCGGACTTGATCTGGACCGCTCGTTTCTGTATATATCCTTTGCGTTGTAATGTATCGGTCCGCTTCGGGACAGACCGTTTGTCCTGACCACTGATTCTAACCAGATCGGTCTGCGCGATACCCTTGGATTTATGGGACGCGATGATGGACAGGAGGGCGAATTCAGTGGGAAAGACCTTGGTATCATCCGGCTCATGACCGGTGAGTGCTAGCCAGGTTCTTTCCTTTGATACGAAGACTCGCAACGGCTCTGCGCCTTGCGCGCGACCTTCTGCATCCGCGAGGGTGAGATGGTTTCCCTCCTTGTCGTGGCCCACGGAGACTTCGGGGTTTCGAGTCAGCCACGTCCAGACTTTCTCTTGGAACCGTCGGTCGACGGTATGAGTACGACTTGATGCATGTTGAGCTGGCTTGGCGTAGAATGCCTTGGTGGACTCTAGGATGTCCGCGGGGGTAGCACCTGGAGGATGTCAGTTGCCAGTGTAGTACTATGGCAAGGGAACTAAAAGACGATCATGGGGTGCTCATTGGGCGAGATGGACCTGCACTGAAGGCGATATGCATGATTGGTTTGTCATAGTAACGAGCCTAATGCATGGCCCTAGTGCATGTGGATCGCTGAAACATGAGAAGATGCAAAAAAAAAAGACGACTGACCTTGGTCACCACAGAGGGCAATGTCGGCAAGAAGATAATCGATTAGATCGCGAAAGCTAGGGGCCATGATATTGACATATTTCACAGACCTGGAGGAGCTATCCTGTCAGTTCTGCGACGGCGATTTGGGAAGGAAAATGTTGAACGCGATGAAGCTGAAGACGCGGTTCGAACGACTGTCGTGGAGGAAAATCTGGCGGCGATATTTTATCACGTGATGGCATTGTGCGCAATGACTCATCTGCGCATAACTCGGAGTCTTATGTTCCTATTCCGTGCAGATCGGCCGGGTCGATCGGGAAATCCAGCCGTTTTTCTTCAATCGCCACTCACCCCATACAAACATGACCATGGCATCACTGCAGAATCATTGCGAGGATACTGTGTGGAGATGAATTCATGTCTTCTGGGCATGCCATTCAGATAACAAGCCCCGTACACAATCCCACCCCCCACCTGCGTCGCTCCTGAACCAAAACACGCGGAATGTATACATAGATGACATCACCTCCTTACGTCAGGCAAGATCCGGCGCCGCCGCCAGCAGCCAAACCAAACCAAACCATCCTGGATATCAGAACCTAAAAATTAGGAGAATCTGTTGCCGTTGTTTCCGGTTCTTTTTCAGTTTCCTCTTCAACTTGTGCCACTGCAGTTCCTGACTCTTGATCCCCTCTTCTATCAACCACGATTCCTGACCCAACACCCCGTCCGTCATGCGCCTCTCCATATGACCTGATCCGTCCCTGCCGGCTTTGTTTCTATCTCGCCATCCTCGCCACGACCAACCCAATCGCCCCGGATTGTTGGAGAACGCGCATCGTCCATGGAAGAAGCCACGCTTCCAACCGATACGTTGGAGCCTCCTCCGCTCCCTTACTCCTTACATACTCGCAAGAAAGCGATCGCAATCTTTTGGACCTTGTTTGTCATCGATACTCTTGCGCAACCGTTGATTCTCTATTGGACCCTGTGGCAACTGACGGACCTGTCGCTTAACTTGGGTATGTTCAATATCCTTTGCGCTGGCTCCTGTACAGACCATCAAGACTATCTCTAACGCTTCTTTTAATAGTCTTTACCATTGTCACCGCTTCTCTTGGGGGTGTCTCCGTCTTCGAGTATTTCTATCGTCTCTATAATCTCTTCCGCAAGGATTCCCGCACTCGACCATTGAATGCACGGAAATCATGGGTTCGTCTTGTTCCCCCCTTCTTGAGACGACGGACAAATGTTGACGGCACCTAGCTGGATTTTTTCCAAATCAACTTTACCATAGTTTGGCTGATTCTGGCCGTGGAGCTCATCGTGTAAGCCACATCACGTCAACTTCTCATCAGATACTAATCGATGGACAGTGGAACCGTTCAGCCGGAACCATATGGTAGCTACATCTGCATTTCCCCTCTCTACTCGAAGCTTGCTAATTCATACTCAAGTGAGGCTGGTTGCCATGGTCCTGCCTAGCGTCATGTTCTATTTCGGTGTCGTATATCTAGCTCTTGATATCCTCCGTCTATGTGGATTCAAAGCGCCATTCCGCATCTCCTCAACCCCCAAGGGCTCCACCATGCCTACCGCTCTATACGTAATGATCGAAGATGTCGTCGCCGTTGACGGCGGTGGCGGCCAGATGTATCGATATGCGCTCCGAACCCGGTATCTATCCAGTCCGTACTTCCGACGGATGCTTGTACAGATGAACTTCTTCTGGACTGGGGGATCCATCGTCTTTGCTGCTGCATTTACAGCGATTATCTTCACCGTCTCGGAACCAGTCGCCTTTACCGTAAGTGCCTACAGTGGCGTATGCCCGAACAAGACGCTAACCAGCATCGACATTCCAGTTAGGATGGACCTTGCCGTTTGCTTGGGCAGGAGTGTGGACTATTATCACCATTCCCTGGGTACAGAGCGACCTCCGTCGCGAAAAGAAAGCTTGGCGGGAAAACCGAGGCCAAGGAGGCATCCGTTACACAGACGACATCACAGCGCCAACCGACCCGACCCGACTCGAAACCGTACACGCCCATTTGCCGAGCTTCTTCCCCTGGGGACGAGAGAAAACATCGGCACCAGCTTCCCCATCCGAAGAGCGTTCGACTGCATAAGCCCTTTAGGAGTTACGCATACAGCATGTACATTATTGGTTGACTTGATTTGTTTTAGCCTTGGCGTTTTACCCAACCATTGGAATGAAATACACGATATATCTCCAGAAGTAATGGGTAGTGAATATGAGGTTATGAGAGATTATGGCGTTGACGAAATTGAAAATTATGTGTTGTTAAAGTTGTACCTTACTTACGTGGCTCGATACCCAGGACCTCCATGCGTTTTACAGCGACACTAAGGATGGACATCACCGCCATGCCTATACTTATGTCTATCCTTTTAGCAAGCAATCTTTAGAACACTACTTCTGAAAACTATAACATATTCCGACAGTATGTACCTTCTACTACTGAATGGTATGTAGCCGGTATATTACCTAGTTGCGTCCTTTTACCGCTATACTATGGTTCTATGGTACGAGATACCAAAAGTAATGAAATTCAAAATCGAGCCTTTGCATTCGCAGGACAGTACAGGGAAACCTAAGAAAATAGGGGAAACCTATACCAAGGCAGAAAGGATAACCTGTGAGAGACCTAGATGTTGAAAATATCTTCCCGAAACATCCTGACCATGAGGAACGGCCGTGTACAACTCCATCTGAGTTCAACCACGCTGTCAGTGCGCTCAACTAAGGCTGTATACTTGTACAGTGGGAGTTAGCCCAATATTATCAAGGCATCTGCCAAGACAGTTTCACCACTTACGCCATTAGCCACCCCAGGTCCCTCTGTTGGTCATCTTCCAAGTATAATCGGCCGTGGCACCCTCGTTCGCGTCGCGCTTCTGTTGGTAGGCTCATCCATTTGTAGTCTTCTTGAAATTACCATCGGCAGTAGCTTCATGCTCTGCGTTATGGTTCTATACATTTGGACGTCAGTTAGAGACAGAGCTGGGTGTCTGGGCAGCATGGAGATGGGATGTGTACCTCCTGGACAGTTGGAACGGCCACTGCAACAGCCGCCAGCAGAGTAGCGACCAAGATAGTAAGCTTCATTGCTGCGTTGATAATGACCGCTCAGAAGTATCTCAGGCTAACAAGAGGAGTCGATGTACAGGGAGAGAAGGGAGTGGTTGAGGATGAAGAAAGAACTTGATGGTGGGGTTACAGGTCCCCTTTATAGCAGGTCAATGACGGCTCAATTGGTATATCCTAGCATAGGATATGCAACTCTCGCACGCCTAGACTCTCTTAGTCTTTGATCATGTTCATACGGTCGAGCGAGTTCACCGTCAGCTGCGGCCGCCAGTGGCTCATTATGCAGCCCTTGACGCTGTGACATACTCATGCTCAGCCGGAAGTCAAGCTGCAACCTATCATAACCAGAAGATCCCAATCTCATTCCAGCTGAAGCACATCATTGCTTTGTAGCAACATATTCCCTTGCTCTATATATCGGTGGTGTAACCGAGACTTGGCAGATCTCCGGGCCGAAATACAACAAGGGTAAGCCAAATCCCAATACTCAGCAAGCCACTCAGTGGAGGACAAACAAGCATTGCCCTATATGGAACTATCCACTCCACCAGTAGTTGGTGATGTCCACATCCAGGTGTTTATCGGAAGCAATATGACTTGGTCCTGAAGAATCCCAATAGGAATACATCACTTGCAAATAGCCTTATAAGAATCACAAATATCATATACTACTTTCTTGTGCCAGAATCCCAGAGATGCTGAGGAAGCCCTCATGTAAGGAAAAGACATTTTGTACTCCACTTCAGCTCGCCACAGTCAAAAGCAAAAACTGCAAGGGGAAGGGAATTCTTCGGCTCAGTAAATCTCTCGTCTCACACATCCAGGAAGCATAGTGGTCGATGTATCCTCATAACCGCAGCAACTCAACCCGACCAAGTGACCAAGTCAAGTCCAAAGTCTCCTGAACAGATGCCTTCAAGTAGCTCGCATTCCAGCTTCCGATCCGAGGAGACCGAAGAGAACAAACGACCTTTGATTGAGGAGAACGATGGATATATCCCGGTGAATAAATATCAGTCCGAACGGAGGAAATACAGACGGGCTATCATGCTGCAATGGGTTCTTGTTGGGGGTTTTGTGCTAATAATCCTGTTCATATCACTGAGCAGGAACAAGACTTATTATATTCCAGATGAGCTTTATTGTGAGTTCGATACGCACAGCCTTTCCGAAAATATAAACTCATCCATTCAGCCCCAGCACAAAGTCTGGTGAGATATCATAACATAGTTTTTGATGCTGGCTTTGGGAATCTCACCAAGTACATGGGGTACCCATCCGAGGAAAACAACCGTCATTGGGAGGATTTGTATAACAGTTGGTGTTTTTGAGCCAGGAATACACGATAATGATATTGACAATCCTTCAGACCCCGCGATTATACAAATCCCGATGGACCAGGCATCCAAGCTCCCTGTCCAGACGGTCCCTCTTCCAGAAAATCCAGGATATTACGTGGTCGGGATAGACGTATTCCATCAGCTGCACTGTCTGGTAACTATCCTTGCCCATCTATTCTCTACATACTACCCCATTGACATATAAAAATACAGAATCAGCTTCGTCTAAAGGTCTGGCGTACGGATAACCAGACAGTCCACCATGGCTCTCACGACGACGGTCTTCAGGATATGGAGCACAAAGATCACTGTATCGACTCCATCAGACAAAGCCTCATGTGCTCATCAGATATCTCTACCATTATCTGGGCGTGGGATGCGAATGACCAAATTGCACGGCCGCATGCCAATGTCACGCATACGTGTCGCGACTTTGAAGCTATCAGACAATGGGCATTGGAACGTCAAGCACCTGCTTGGAACCAGTCTATCTATGTGCCGGATCCTCTGAAAGGAGACATGTGATTTTCAATAGGATAAAGAAGGAGAGAGAATAGGATGAATGTATGGATATACAATGCGTTATAGGTCTCAATTGCTGTTTTATGATCGTAAACAACTTCAAAGTACTTCATAGACATCTCAAGGGAGTTATGCACATTATGGTCTCTTACATAAGAAAATTTATGTCACTTCCATAGCCCACTCACGTCGCCATGATTGGACAGCGCAACCAAACGTCCATCTCGAACATCAACAATCCCCAACATGGCCAGCTCCCCAGGCCTAGAACACGAGGCATTCACACAATGGGCCCTTTCCAACGGCGTTCAGATCAACGGCATTGCTCCAGCCCGGTTCCCCGGCCGGGGGACGGGAATGATTGCCACACGAACGATAGAAGTATGCGCCTACCATCCCACTAGACTCCAGCTGCTGACGAAACAAACCACAGGAGAACGAGACCATTCTCATGGTTCCCCCCAAATCAATGGTCAACATTGACACCATTCCGGAGTCATTCGTGCGCCGCCTCCCAGCTGGCGCATCCAAACACGCCATCATCGCGGCCTACCTGACCCTCGAAGCGCCCAAGGACTTGGACGCCTGGCGCAACGTGTGGCCTCAGTGGGCGGACTTCGAAGAGAGCATGCCTATTCTCTGGCCGGCGCATCTCCGCCGCTCGGACTCGAAGTATCAGGAAGAGCACATCTCCCCTGGCCCGAAGATCCTGCCTCCCGCAGCGTCGGGGTTGTGGAACACGTTTTCGAACGACCCCCTCGAGGATGACCCAGTGAAAGAGTATCAGGACTTGCTGGCGCAGCAAGAAGAACGTCTCACGTGCGCGTGGGACAATGTGGTGGCCGCGTTTCCGAACACGGACCGGGAGACGTTTGTCTACCACTGGCTGATTGTGAACTCGCGGAGCTTTTATTACGTATCCCCAGGAAAGGACGTTGGCGAGTGGGTTGACGCCCTGACTTTGGTGCCTTTTGCGGATTATTTCAATCATGCAAATGATGATGTGCGTTTGACTATGGCGGAAACAAATGATGGTGCTCACGCGGTGGTAGGCCTGCAAAGTCCGCTTTATCAACCAGGAGTACACTTTTACTGCCAACCGACGATACGGTAGGGTCTGCCAGAGCAATCTACTGGCCTGTCGCTCACTGAAACGCACCAGAGAAAGGCGAAGAGATATACATGAGTTATGGTCCCCATTCAAATGACTTCTTACTCGTCGAATGTCAGGCCCCCATCCGCTGTCAAAAAGACCAAACTAACACAGATAGACGGGTTCTTCCTGGATGACAACCCCAACGATGCCATTTTCCTCGACGACATTATACTGCGCGAGTTTACACTATCAGACAGAAAAGCCCTCTCCTCGCGCATAACCCAACCCACCCACGAGCAGAGGTACACACATACATCCCATATGCATTGAGCCGTTTCTAACATCCGTTTGTAGCGGTGGGTACGCCATCGAAGTCACAGGGCCGAATATTTTCATCACATACGCTGCATGTCTGAAGTATATGACTCGTAAAGACTGGAACGCGTATATAGAAAGAGGCTCGGCAGCCTTTAATGCCGAAAAAACAGCACAGATTATCAGTGACTGGGTGATCATATACCTGAACGAGAGCGATATCGCCATGATGGCCATCCAGAAAATGCTGAATAACCGCGCATCAGACCGTGATGCCGAGGCAGAAAGGAAGAAGCTATTTATCCTCCTTCGGAGATGGCGACAGATCAAACGGTTGTGTCAGATGGCCTTACATTCGCTTACCCAGTCTAACTGGTTTGAGAGCCGGCAAGGATAGAGAGCGCAAGAAGGAACGACTACATGGAAGTGACGCGCCGGGATAGCGCAGGGGCAGGCGTGTTTAGTAGTATTTCCTGCTTTCGTTTCTGCTGTCTTTGCGTTTTACGGCTTTTATGGGCTCCAGGTGTCCAGATGCGAGATTTTTGTTCCGTTATTGAAGCACCTGCAGGGCTATTCGCTTTCATAGATAGGATACAGCAGGGTAATAGAGTCTTGACTGATGGATTGAACAGTGGTAGGCAAGTATCCCACGACAGATCAATGCCTAAGGATTCTGTTTCCGTTGTAGGACTAGGATGGAATATAGATAGGCAAACAATATATACCGCTTATATTCCCATGGAATATCGAACGTAGCCGACATCGCATCTAGATAGGTAGCAAAGAACCCGCCTGGAACATCATATACGCCAGTCACCGTTTCTAAATGCACCCACCCGTGTCCCAAAGTATGCATGCGCCAAAGAGAAAAGCCAAAAAAAAAAATTGTGTACAGAAAGAATTTTCAGCGAAAATAGACATCCAGCTGTTACTTGGATGGCAACAACAGGGCAAAGTAGAATTCACATCCCATGGAAGCACAAATCAGAAGCATAGATTTTGTATAACCAGCAAAGAAATCAGACGCCTATATACACCCGCTGCAATTGGGGTATCGTTATGGCAAAAAGGTAGATGACAATGTTGAATATGATCAACGGGAGGCCGGCATAGCTTCGCACGAACTCCGCCGCGCAATGTTGCAACTTGGCGAGAAGTCAGGACGTGTTTATTTCCGAGAGGGCATTAGCTTCCGGCCGAAATTTCGAATTGTCGATTTGTGGCTGCAATAGTAATTAGTATATGATCTAATGTCGTGTTGTTAATATAGACGTACCTTTCCCCTGGCTCGTCCCAGCGCTTGGCAGTCTGGGAACGGGAGAGTATCTGACCAGAAGTCATAGGCCGGGGAGGGGGATTGACGAGTCGGCGCGATTGCTGGGGAAAAGTCAGCACAAGCCTCTATACATGAGGAATATCATCTAAGCATACCTCCCAACGGGCATCCACATCCACCTCGCTCGTCGAGTGAGCATCAGACGATGGCCCAGCTGCGTCTTGCACACTGAGCACGCTAGACCCTAAAGAGTTTGACCGTGCGAGAGGCGATGTGCCCGATTGGACTGATCGTTGTGATCGGGACTCGGAGTACTCGCTGTTGGAGTCTTGGCTTGCCAAACTTTGCGCTTTCTCAGAATGTAAGCTCGCTGTGCTGTCGGGGTTGTGCAAGATCTGAGAAGAGGACGCAAGCTCGCGGTAGTGCTTCTGCTGCTGTTTCGTAGGCCGGTGATGAGAGAATTTGTTCCCGAGGATTGCTGGAGCGTGCGAAATGAGAGCCTTGATCACGTCCTTTTTCAGCCGTAGCGCCAGGTCCAGATTTGACCATGTCTTGTTGCGGTACTCTAGAACAGGCAGTCGGAAGACAAAGTCATGAAGATCCTCCAGGTTGTGGTCACCTTTGCCTTTGTAACTCAAACAAAGGACCACATCATTCACCCTGACATGAGCCAGTGTCATGTAGTTGGATGCGCGGGACATCATCTGGGAGAGATCGTCTGTGGTCTCTTTATTCTTCTTCTTGACCAGACCAAACTTCTTGCCCTTCTCTTCACCAACGGTCGTGGTCGATCCATTTGCGAGCGACCTCTCTGTGGGCTGTCGCGAGAGAATTCGCATGCTATCGACGGATCTCTTCTTGGTCAACGCAGTGCCTGGACGTTGTGAATGGCGAGTTCCTTCGCCCTGCGGCGACCGATTGCTATCCCTGTGGATAGGTGTCATGGCGAGACCTTTGAGATGATATCCTGAGCGATGAGGGCGAGGCTTGTTCTCTTCGGATAAAGAAAGCGTTGGTTGCAATCGGAGCTCAATAGCACCTGGTCCGGATGGTAGCTGCAGGTCGTCGTTTGGAGCGTCGCTGACTTCATTGACGCCTGGATACGAAGCTGGACTTGTTTCACCATCCGAATCAGAATCGTCCAAGGGCTCCATATTCTTGATCATGAACGGGGAGAAACCACCGCTCTCGAATGCACTCGATCCGACGTTGGGGAATATGTACTCAAAGAGACGCTGGCCGAGTTCCCGCTCCAGTTGGATCTTGAGAGGGAAGAGAGAGACGTCAAAATCATCCACAACAGGGATGCCCGCAACAGCTTCGAGCATGTGCCACCTAACCTTGATCATATAATCATCCGGTCCGTCTGGCTGCTTTGTCTGATCAAGGTACGGCACGATGATCTGAGGGTAAATAGCATCAGGTAGCAGGTTCAGTCCGTAAAGTCGCTCTACCGCGACTTGGTTGTGATTCGACCCATCACTATTGTCCGTTCGGTCATACTCCGCATTCCGTAGCTGGAACTCAACCAGCGGTTCTGATTCCTTCTTCATAAGATGCCAGACGACCTCGCTGGCAGAGATGTTCCAGCGCAAGACACCAGTTGCCCCTGACACTGTCGGTTCGATCTTTCGTTGAGATGACGTGATTGCTTTCATCAAGAAGAATAGCTCATCTTCGCACTGAGTAAGATCCTTCTCGAGAACCAAACGATCTTCCCAGCCTTTTTTATCTAGGTATTTTGCATGGACCTGGAAATGTTCTTTGATCTCTTCCAGCTGTCGGATGCGGGACTGCAATTTGAAGACCATTTCCGGTGCGCCCCGAAGATCGCTGAAGTCAGAGCTGAGCATTATCCGTTCAAGACGCTCATTGCGGACCTTCTCCAAAGGCTCACTGTATAGCAACAGGTCGAGCACGATGATGTACAGGGAGTAATACTCAGCCGAGTCACAGATAGCGCGGAAGTGCGGGAAGTCGACACTGATATGGTCCATCCTGGCCTCTTGGCCGTATGGGTCCTGACGACCCTTGCCGACTTCTTCATTGTACTTCAAGCGCAGGTTATTGTACTTGTCATACCGTAAGCTGGCCGAAGTCTTCTGAATAATCCTTGAGAAGCCAAACGGGTTGAGTTCGAAGTCAAACATCGCCTCGAGCGTTAGCCAAGGCGGCCAAGCCGAACCAGGAGAATTGCCGTATTTGTTGCCAGCATAAAACTGCAGATGGTTCATCAGGTTCTTGTGCGTGGCCACGAAGAATTGAGCACCGTCCATGTCGAGAGTGAATCGCCGCTGAACTAGACCACTAACGTCATCTGACACACGCTCCTTGTCCATAATCGACACCACCTTGAGCTGCATGCCTTTGGCGGCTATCAGTAAGACAGACTTCTGGTTCTTCTCGCTCTGTAACTGGATTTGAGGCGCGATGAGTCGCAGATTGTAACTGTTTTGTGGCGTGAACTCGGGCGCAATGTTCTCGCTAGAACCATCAGACTTGGTGTTGGCTTCATCCTTCTGGTCTGAATGCTCCTGTTCCTCAGCATTCACAAAGCGCTTAGCATCGTTCAACAACTGCTCAATTCGATCCTCCACGCTGTCATCATCCTCGCTGTCGACAAGGCCACGAGCGTCGGAAGGGCGTCGGGAAGCAGTTTTAAAAAGCTTCGATTGCCTCCGCTTGGTTCGGCTTTGCTCATCAACAATATCGAGGATGAACTTGACCGCCCTCCGAGACATGTAGTAGACAAATCCACGTCTCTGGCTGACTTGATGACTGTAGCGAAGTATGATGTTCCGAAGGGGATTGTTCCACTTCAACTGGATATTGTGGATCATGAAGCGATTGTTGAAGTCACTCGCGAACTCATCATGAGGCGAAGAGTAAAGGCCGTCCAGATCAGTATCCTTATTCTCGTTGGCTGACTCGGCATCCGTTCCCACTCGAGAAGCACTATCAGTCGCGAAATTCTCCGGATTCTTGTTGACAGGTAGTTTCTCCTCTCGAGCCAGCTGCCGTTCAAGCCGTTGAAGTCCTGCAGTGAGAAAGGCCCGTCTTCGGGCGAGAGATGCCGCCTGTCGAACATAGTCGGCATGTTCTTGGCGAAGCCGCGGATCCCCCTCGACGTCCTTCGCTATGCGGAGCTCCTGCTCGCCAATTGCACGGTCACAGTCCCGTATCTGTGTCTCAACAGTTGCAAGACGATCCCTAATCAGCTCCATTTGCACGCGACGAGGTTCATTGTTTTCGGACATGACACAATCGTGGGTAGGCTCGTTCCCAAACGTGCTATACCCGGTCTCTTCAGGGTCGATATCTCCATGGTCTGTCTGACGGAAGTATGTGAAGCGCGGGGTGAAGGCAAGCGGCAAGATTTGGGTGCGAGGGTTCGACTCCTGAGGCAGAATCCAGTCCAACTCCACAAAGTCGTCCATGTCAATCCAGTCAAGATTCTGGTCTGGTATTGTAAACCGGGACAAATCGACGGAAGGAACAGGCTGCTGGAAGGACGATATGATATCGTCCTGGTTGTTCTCTATGTCATCTAGGTTCGTTCCCTCAATACTAGCAGATACGGCCCTGAAATCTGCGGCCTGCAGATCCAACTCTGCTTGATTTATCCGCATCGCACTAGCCTTTGTTTGCTTGAGGTGTCCTTTGGCTAATGTCTTGATTTGCTCACGCCTTTGGTGAACGTCGAGCTTCAGGCTGTCTAGACGAACTTTCAATCCTGTCGCAGTGACAACGTCTTCAGCATAGTCCTCACGGTCTTTATGCTTGTATATATGCGCCACAAAGAGAGGCGCCAGAAGCAGTTTATACTTAACTGTAGCAAGATGACGGTTGAACTTCTTGCTCGTCTTGGTAATGCCTGGCCAAAGTGGTCCCTGGCGGACAGGGAGAGACATGACACCTGAAAACAGCGACCACCAACTAAAGAAGTGAGTGAAAAAGCGAGGTGTGAGATGGACAGAGTTGTAACTCGTTGACGGTTGCACATGGTCAACGGACCAGTCTCGGCTCTCAGGAGCGACAACAGCCACCGACAAATGGATGTGATTGCTCCGGAATCCACGGAAAGCATCGTAATCTTCCCTTTGTGAAGGGTCCACATGAATCGGGTTCTGAAGAATAACTTCATAGTGCGGCTTGAACTCAAAGGAGCGGTTGTCCTCGTCAACATTCCGCTCAAAAACAAGCCCGGCAGCCCATTTCACATCGCCGGATAGTTTCATGATCACCTTCTTGAAGTGAGCCGCGTTCTTGAGTTCACTCGACGATGACGTGCTTTCCAGATCCTGAGCGGTGGCTTCCGCCATATAGCGAGCTTCGTGGCTGTAATCTGGAATGGCCAACACATACTCGCCACTGGTGACGCTCATAAACTCCATCGGATCATCGCTGGTATGGATATCCCATTTCACGTCCCTGCGCCAACACATAACGAATCCGGCACCGAATCCAGTCACCACGTAAGGATCACGAGAACCCTTCAAGCGGAGATGAACATCGCCATCTTCCTTCCAGATGACACGGATCCGCGAGTGGAAACTGAGGCGGATCTTGTCCCAGAAGCCAACTCTCTCAGACGGGTCAATCTCAGGCTTTGTGAATCCTTCTATGATCTTCATCATGTCCTGGATCACGGGTTGATAGGACATGCCCCAGGAGATACTTGTCGGAAGACTGGTATTGATTTCGATTGTAGGATCAGAGTATGTCTTAACAGGCGTGACGGATCGCCAGACGCTGATCGCAAAGGGCGAGCTTTTAGTCCCATCCGGAAGCTCCGTCGGCGGAACAAGCTCCACCTCGACCTGCCGGGCTGACTTGTAATCACGATACTCCTCAGCAATGACGAAATTCGTCCGTAGAGACCAGCTAGGTAATCTGGGGGATTGGCCAGGGCGCAAAGCCGGGATGTGCAGCAAGTCTAGGGGATAATCCCTCAAGTTTACACGGGCCTCGCCCATGTCTAGCCGGAAGCTCATCGGAATGAGTAGTGCGTACTGCATCGACATCGGCATCCCTTTTCCGATTCGGTGCAGGAAAGTAGGATAATCTTCTTGAGGGAAAGACGGCTTGTCTATGACAAGATTTATGTCGCTGATGAGGGCCGCCATCAGCGCAGGGCGGTTCGGAATAGAGAGGACGGTCTCCGTTTCCTCCACATCCTGTGGAGGTTCGTCGGCACCAGCAAAGAGGTTTCTGACTTCTTTGATTGAAGTGCCCTGGAACTTCATGGCTGCATCTATTTTACTCTTCCAGCTTCGTGCATGGTGTTCCTGAAGTCGGTACCAAGCATTTTCTGCCGAGACTCTGCACTCCGACGAGATACACGCGGCGCCCTCGGTGTCATAGCGGAACTTGCGTCCACGCCCACGCTTGCCGTCCTGCGTCTCATTGCGTGGCTTCGCATCTGCACTTTTACTCCTTCGCGTGTCTTGGCTGACGCGCTCGCTCCGAAGAGTTCGATGGCTGGACCTTGCGCGGAGGCGGGATGAGGCACGGCGCTGCCCGGTCTCGATTTTCTGCAGCTTTAAATTGAACGCTTCTTCGCGGGCCAGCCGTTGGCGCTGTTCCAGGAGACCAGTGCGATAGATACAACCCAGCTTCCATTCAAATGCATCATCCTCTAGCTCAAAAAGAAGAGCTTTGCTGCGAACAGAAACCCTGGGAACCACCTTTGGTTCCTCTGGCTCCCTAACAGAGACGAAGTGGGGAGAGCGAGTCTTGAAGCGATGGTGCAGCTGCTTGAGGGCCTTCGATGTATTGATGATATTGTCGAAAATCCGATGCATCACCATGTGATGGGGAACTCCCACTCGAATGAAGTCCGCCCATACATCGATGGACTTCTCCTCTGTAAGGTCGGCGCCATGTTTATACCTCATGGTACGTAAATCTGCGCGGACGTTGTTCATGCTGACAATTCTTGCCCATACCCCTTTCAGTTTAGGTGCTTCAGCATGCAGGCGGACCAGTTGGGCTTTGACGAAAGGAGCCATGAGACGATGAGAGCCTGCGTGGAGACCATAAAGCTGGAACAGCATTGGGGGGTCGGCTGGGAGCGAGGTCTTAATTTGGACAACGGTCGCTCTCACGTCGACAGTCACAAGCTCTCCCCTTTGTGGCGGTACCATGCGTTGAGGTGAGGAAGGAGTGAAGTCCATTGAGCTCCACTGAGGGGACACAGGGCTCGAGACTTCCGGGGAGTGACGCACAAAAGCATCTTGGATCACAGACGTAGCCACCCCGAGGCAATAGTAACGGTAGAGAGAATATTGAAAGTATATGCCCTTGAACACCGAGTTCACATTGAACACTGGCCCAACACGGTCACTGAGAGTGCTCAGTGCTATCTCAAATCTAGGCAGTGAGAAGAAAGGCTCAGCCTCCAGAAAATCTTCCGACTCGATGACAAAGCCCTCGAATCCCCGCGCATGGAACGCCAGTCGTCGGCCGTCTGCGACGCCGCTTTGGGTCTGCCGTGGCGGCGACGTCGGGGGGAACCTGAACGGCGTGTCGTCGCCGATAGTTGAGTGACTTGGGGTGCGCCGCCGGGCAAAGCTGATATTGCTTGGTTCGGTCTTCTGAGCTCGGTAGTCAGCGGTCCATGATTGCAGCTGCAAGGAGACACCGCGTGAGATATCGGACACGGTTTCGTCAACCCCGGCAATTTCCAAGCTTAGTCCGGTAGCCTCGAATTGGAATCGCAGGAGCCAAGGAGGAAGTTGTCGAAGGAAACTAGGTTTTCGCTCCTCCGGTGTCATCGAGGTGCGGCGTCTGGGACGCACATGCGTTCTGAATTGTTCAAACACCTGCTGTATGCCTCTATTGACATCGCGGTTCACCATGTGCGCAGAACAGGTATTCAAAGTTCCCGAGGCCATCACACGCACTTCCGGAGATGCGCTGAGGAAGACCTTCAGTTCCAGGTTTTCTGTGGTAAGGAGGTTATGTTTGACTCCAGAAGGAGTTTGGTAGTACAGCTGATGGGAAGAAATTCGATATATGGAGGAGAGCGTATAATGTATACCGCCTTCTGATGAGTGGGAAGATTCAATGTCAAGGGAGATGGAGGATATGGAAGATATGAGAAGATTGTAGTCATCTTCAGTCGTAGAAGGTTCGGATATGGGGAGGACGAATCGCACGACTGGTTCATGAACGGAGAGTTTGATACTCGCTTTCGGGAGCAATCGAGAGATCAGGCGCTGGGTGCGTCTTTTCTTGCCACGGGAGGAAGATGTACGTCCTTGGGTCAAGTTCAGGAGCCGGGAAACATGTCGTGGTTCTAAATCGAAGGATGGCGATGTGATGACGAGGTTTGCAAACAGGATGTTGGTGTTTCGTTCGTCCAAGTTGGATTCATCGTAAGAGCTGATTGTTTTGGAAGGGAGAGTGGTTTTGATCGTCGTAGTAGCCATGGGAATGTAGAGGAGGTTGTCTGATTCCCCTGAGCTGTCGTCCAGACTGACGGAGACGGAGATCGCGGCAAGAAGGGCCTGATGAGCAATGTCGTTCCGTTGGAAATACATACGGTGGGCAGGACTCTTCTGGTCCATCCGATGGAGGTCAATTCCTAGCTCATGAGACACCACGTTGAGGTAGACGGAACTTTGTTTCGCGGAGGGCTGGATGGCCTGGGACAATCGAAAGAAGCTCAGGGCGACCTGGATTTCCTGAATTCCGCGCAGCAATGAGCTCGCAAACTCCCTCGAGTCGGCCACCGTCTGTACAATCGCATCGTCCCGGCTTCCGGGTTTGTCCAGCTCCTCCACAAAGTCCGCAAAGGTCACCTCCTCATCCAGATCGCCCATCGCATCCGCAGTAAAGGGCTGCCGGAACTTTTTGATCCGGCGCACAAGGGTGGTCAAATCATCGAGCGGAATGTGCATCCGCCCGATCTTGAACGCAATCGACGCATCCCTTAAGCCCTCGAGGTTTCGATGGAGAAGCCCGTGAATATTGACCCCAATATTATCCAGCAGCTCCGTTGGTTCGCGACCATCAATGGACAGCAGGACATTTTGCACCGCCATGATCCATTCGGCTGGGCGGTGCTCGTCGGACTCATCCTTCTTCTGCCGGAATAGCTTCCCCCGGTCCACCATCTTGCGCCGTGTGTCGACCGCCAGGGACAACGATCCGACCTGGATCTGACCGGCTTCGACGAAGTTGAGAGTCGTATTGACAGCGATGACATCGACTAACTTCAACCAGTGGATCTTGCGATGGAGTCGCTTCACATACTCCTTCAAACGAGTCAGGGTCCTCCATGTCTTGCTCCGCCGCGGCGCCTTGCTATTCTCCGGGTCTTCCGAGATATTCGACTCCTCTGGACTTTGCGGTTCCAACAAATCCGGCTTTCCTTTTGTCTCTCGGGGTCTTCCCAGCGCGCTGGGGTCGATGGTGATCTTCAGGTCGGTCAATCGAAGGCTGAGCCATGTTGGTTGGGCGAAGGATGGCGGATGTAGCGACAGACCGAGCCCGCGCAGCTCGATCTGAATGCCTTCCTTGGGGAGCATACGCAATGCGGCGGAGGGAGAAGTATCCAATGCGTTGGATGGAGATTCCCGTGGCGATGCGAACAATGGCGAAGATGAGGAAGGAGCAGAGGTAAAGGAGGAGGAAGCCGACGAGGACGGTGGTCGGACTGAAAAGGGTCATCGTGGCGTGCGATCAGGAGGACTGATCCGTTGGACAGAACGGGAGGTCGTCACCGATTGAAGCATCGAGATACGCGGGGGAGGAGAGTTGGATTCCTAGATCGTGAGAGAGATGACCATGTGAGATGCAGTTGTTCTATAATGATGGAACGCGTTCTGAAGTCTTCCAAGTTTGTCTTCCTGTAGTGGCCGGGAGAGCTCCTCGTATTGAGGAACTCCCGTAGGGCTTTCTTAGGTCGGGGGAAGAACACGGCGGAGGACAGGTCTCAATTACGACCTGGACTGCGCGAGGTCGCAGGGACGAGTCAACCGCGGGTCAGTCATGTTCTCCGTATATTTCTTTTTGGACAGGTAAACCGGGCGACGGGGGGAAAGGGGAGGTGGAGGAGGTATAGATGGGAATATGACAGAGAATGGAGTAGGACGATCCGACGGGGACGAACCATAGATCTCTCCCAACAGGAAATGAATGATGAAGTTGCGGGCTCGACTGGAAACGGAAAGGCGCCCACTTAGGTCTCCGGCTGTCTCGGCATTGCTTAGAAATTACGTCCACCCGCAGCATCTTACTGTGTTGGGAGGCATTCTTGACATTCTGGAGCATTTTTCGAGGAGGTTATCAGGACGAGAAGGGTCTTAATATTGGAGACGTATTATTAGCAGCTTCATCCGCATCAAGGTGGTCGGTCTCTTTAACAGCTTCCCCAGACTCCCCAACCCCCTACCATGTCCACTTGCGTAACAACATCCACGTGTCCACATCAATGCATACTTTATGCATACATTTTTCGGTGTCTAGATCAATCAGTTCTAATATACAGGAATCATCCTTTGGCGCCGTCCTATCCCAAGTAATGTACGAATATGATTGAGGAGAGGCTGGTTTTCCACAGCCGGTCGCCAGGGGCCCATATGGAGAGCCACAGTGGCTCCATTTGTTGTTCCTATGTCGGTCGGTCATTTCAGGGGTTCTAACTATATCTCCGATGCGATATAGTTAGTCGGCGAATATGATTCCCGCCGTTGCCTTTTCCGTAGAAAAGGAGGCAATATGAAAGATGCGCTCGTCTCCATCACCACCACTAGCCATCCGTGGGAGCCAATAATGCATCAGGGAGATCGACGTCCGTCAGTCAACTCAAAAAGTGACATTTGATGTTAAGCCCCATGGATCACTTCGTCGACTCGGGGGTAGTAGCCTCTGGGCTGTTCAGTTTGGCCTTTTCCAGCTGTTCAATCTTCTCGTCAATCAGCGCCATTTCGGCCTCAATACTCAACAATTTCTCGTTCAGAATCCCCCTGTAGTCGTCATCCGACAGGGTCTTCAACGGGATCCATTTAGAATCGGCTATTCGTTGGATTATTGGCTTGGAGGGGGTATTTGCTTGTTCCATTTGCCAGCTGTCGATCGCATTATAAGAGCTTTGACCAACATAGCCTAAAAGCGAAAACACCACGACCCCTGGAACGAGTCGGCCACCTGTCATCACAAATTAGAAATAGGGACACCACGATTTCCTCAATGAGAGCGCATACCCATAATTCGGGTGACAGCACCTCCAGCAATGCCTCCAGACAAAGCGCTGACATAAGCACGCTGTTTGGGAGATGCATTGCTCTCATAGTGAAGGGTCAAGATATTGCTTCGTAGCCCTGTGGACGTTGGTCATGTTCAGTGCTGATCGACGAATTCAACGTATCGAAGACAGCCACTTACACCAGAAGGACGTGCCACAGGCAAACCAATGGATGCCACAGGAAAGGGAATGGATGACGGGGTGAGGGGACCGAATGACTCCGGAGATGCCTCCATACACCAGGCCAGCCGCGCCTGTTGAGAACAAGTTAGCTATGCTGAAGAGATCTCGAGTTGTTACGCTGAAGGATATCTGATGACATTTAGATGTCCCGAAAGAGCACACGATTAGACTCACCACTAACAGCCCCGACTTTCACGCAGGACAACAGGTCATTTGATTCCCCAGTTGGCATCGAGCCATTGCGTCCGGTCATTTTGGGAACAATTATCGACAACTCCCCGTGTTTCCTCGCCGGCAAGATTCGGCATTCATGTTCGACTGGTGATTCGGGATGCACGTGATATGATCATGTGATTTGATTATCTAACCCCACTGTCCGGGGACTTGGGCGATGAGAATGAAAGATAAGGAAAAGGTCTAGTGTTCTGGGGAGGGACATCATGCCTACTCTGTACTTCTATGCTCTGATCCTATATACTCGTCCACGGAGGAGATGAAGTTTACGACCTCATGGCAGGATTATGATGCCAAGCGTCAGGAACAATAAACCGTCTCTTCGGGGAACTACCTGGATAATGATGGAAAGTATGAAGCACGCATATAATATATTCCATTTTCTCTTTTGTTTCTATACGCTGATAGTGAACCCTGGCATAAGTTGATATGACTATAGCCAGAAACTACGATCTGAATACTCTGTATATTCAATCCGGTGGAGCCGCGTGAGTGGAAGAATGCACAATGAGACCCGAAGAATGGAAGGTTAAGGTACCCTAGACCGGAACCCCAGGACGGATTCGGTTACAAAGGGTGTCTCTGTGCTTCGCTGCTGACAGCCTTCTCATGAAGAGATAAGTTTTAGATATTGATTTCTACCGCAGAGAATATCCAAATAATTTCTCTATTATATTATAAATAAAATAAAACAACCCCCATACCTAATCACTTGTAGTGTACTCCGTAAAAAAAAGGAAATTAATTCCATCGCGGATTGGGTCGAGGCACCGACCGAAAAGACCGCACCACCGACATTTTTTTTTCTTGAGGCTGACTTTTCTAGCGTCATCACTAAAAATTATCCTAACGGAATCTTCCCCCTCTCTGCCCTTCACTGCGGAGCTCTCCTGCAACCCACCACCGCACATCACCTTTGCAAACTCATTTCCTGTCGACATAGTCCTTGCTGCCTTTCTCGGTCGCAAGTCTCTCCCTCGCTTTTTCCCCCATCTCTCCTCTCTCGTGAAGCGCGCACAAGTCCCTGACCCTTGGCGCGTTCCCTCGTCTCGAACAACCGCAATCATGGGTGCGTCCCCAAACCCCCCCTCGACGTCCTCGCGTTGTCCCAAAAAGGCATCAAATCGTGTGGATAACTCCTCTCCGGATCATGACTGACAGTTTCATGTCGCAGCGCCCGCAAAGCAGAAAGCCCAGAAGATGTCTATCGGCACCTTCTTGGCCGATGAGAGTAGGTTACCCCCCGTCTATTCCCCCGCGGGGATCATCCGTGCTAATGGGAACAGACTTTGGCTCTTGGGCCGATGAAATGGAGGACATGCCTTTGCCTGGTAAGTAACCGTCCCTTCCAGCGTGATATTCGATGATCCAGAGGCTGATGCTTGCGTTATCCTAGCCGGTACGTTTGCGCCTCGCCTCGCCTTCCATCATGGGACCCTGACTCTAACACTTCAACAGCCCCTCCTTCCCAGTCTTCCTTTGGTGACCGTCGCTCCGCTGGACCTCCTTCCGCCGGATTCGGTTCTGGATTCAACGGTACGGACGCCCACTCTCCTGGCATAAATGGTTTTTCCCTGCATATTCTGATCTTCCGGACGAAATAGACCGTGGATACGCTACCAGGGAACCCCTCCCTCTCCCGACTGAACCTCCCTTCACTGCTCACGTCGGAAACCTCTCCTTCGATGCGACCTCTGCCGATATTTCGGACCTCTTCGCTGAGTGTGGTGTGACGAACGTGCGCATTGTTGAGGACAAGTTGACCCGCAGCCCCAAGGGTTTTGGATATGTCGAGTTTGAAACTGTTGATGGCCTGAAGAAGGCTTTGGATCTCTCCGGCGCTACCCTCCAGGGACGTGCTATCCGTGTCAGCATCGCCGAGCCTCGTAAGAATATCTCTCCCCCATAAACCAGATGTCCTCCGTCATGCTAACTCTACTTACAGCCAAGGAGCGTGATGTGAGAGAGCTGGATTGGACCCGCCGCGGACCCCTTCCTGATGCGCCTGCGCCTCAGCGCCGTATCCCCGACCGCTCCACTTTTGGACGCAACCTCGATACCCTCTCCGATGCCGGCAGCGAGCGTGGTGGACGTCGTGGGTTCGAATCGGATGGCAAGGTCCGTGACTTCAGCAACTGGGAACGCAAGGGTCCTCTTTCTCCGACTGGCCCCGCGCGTGAAGGACGTCCTCGCACCAACGAAGGACCTGGCTTCAGAAGAAACTCTCCTGCGTGGGGTGAGGGCCGTTCTCAGGATGGCTCCCGTCCCCCTCGCCGTGAGTTCCAGGAACGGACCCCCACCGCGGCCGAGCTCGATAACTCGTGGAGAGCCAGAATGCGCCCCGACCCGCCCAAGGAGCCCAGCAACCCTCCTTCGCCTGCCGCTGCCCCCGCCGTCCCGGCCGCCCCTGCGAGCCGCCCCAAGTTGAACCTCCAGAAGCGAACGGTCACCGAGGCTGTGGCAAGCCCTGTCGCCGGCACGGAGACGAAGGCTAGCATTTTCGGTGGAGCGCGCCCTATCGATACCGCCACCCGGGAGAGAGAAGTCGAGGAGCGCCGTCAACTGGCCATCCGCCAAAAAGCGGGAGGCCGACGAGAAGGCCAAGGCTGAGAAGGCCGAGAAGCAACGTCAGACCAAGGAACAGGCCAAGACTGAGAAACCGGCGGACCCCAACGGCAAAGACGCAGCTGAGGTGCCCCAGGGTGGCAAGAACTTCGAGATCCTCCGGCGGGCCGGCGAGGATGAGAGCGGCATGACGGCCGATGAGGATCAGACTGAGGAGGCGTCGACTGCGGCTGCGACCACCGAGGCCTCGAAGGAGGGAGCCAGCAAGGCCAACGGCAGCTGGCGGAATGCTCAGCCCGAGGCTGCGGCCGACGATGAGGGCTGGAGCACCGTGAGCAGCTCGAGACAACGCAACAACCGCCGTGGAGCCGGCCGTACGTTCGCATAGATCTATCGATACCCCTGAACCCAGTCATCATCGGAGCGCAACATCGCGTGCGACATGCAGGAGGGAGGTCGCCAGGTCCCCTGCAGTCTTGCGCGCGCTTTCTTCGGACGATTGTTACGATTTTGGTTATGATGACTGTTTGTTTGTTTTTTACCCGATCTTGTCGCCCATCCTTCTCTCTCCTCTCCCTTTGCCTTTGGCTTCACGGTTCTCTTTCCTCAGGTGAAGTATGTGATTTCCTGTTCACTGAGTCATTGCGACATTACTGGCACGTCGAAAAGTTCCATTTCCCTGTTGTCGTCTGCTTCCATGGCCAGTAACTCTGTGTCATTTGTTCCGACGTTAGTTTTCCTCTTGTCCTTTCCTTTGTATGTGAATGGAGTGCTATATGACGATTGCGACCGAGTGGAGGGAATGTGTCGACACGGTTCCCTTCCCCGACGTGGTTTTCTAATATATCGTCCCTGTTCTACTGCCTTCTGTCTTGTTCGGAATCGGAAGATGGCGCGTGGAGTCCATTTTCCTTGTTCTTCTGACGAAGCCATGTCCCTTCCTAGTTGACGAGACAGCCATATGAATAAGATATGACTCACTTGCATGAGGTAGTCTGCTTAGTAGCCATGTAAGGTACAGCTATGTACCTACGTATGTAGGTTGAATGCGGCTTCAATATCCCGTATCGTATGAGGCGGATTGATAGACGGCTCTGTCGACAGCTTGAGAGCCTGCATCTCGATTCGGCTGCCACTCAATTGGAGATTCTACTCAATCACCTCATGTTTGCTTACTAGGTGCAGCTCATCTTCGGCGGACCGAACAGCCCAGCCCCCACTAGTAGCCGATCTGCGAACGCCATCTCTGCACCTCGAGGGATCCGAGTATTCCCCCATCCCACCATTGGACTGCACCGTTCCAATCGCTCGGCTGCGGCCTTCTCGGGACCCGAAGCCGAGTACAAGTACGATCGATCGTTCCTCCCACCATCCGGGGCGAAGTTTTCCGCTGATCTTCTAGTCACTCTGCCCCGCGTCGATACATCCCAACACCAGGTCGACGAGACTATGGAGCAAAATGGATCCGACGACTGCAAATCTATGAGTTCTCCTCCTCCGTGGAAGCTGGCCTTTCGCTCTTCCCGGCGGTTTATCATTTCGGTGGTCGCCATGGCCATTTTCACGGTATGTACTGTGTGGTCCAGTGGGTGTCTGAGGTCCGTGTCGTGTGGGTGCTAAGAAATGGTCATAGGATGTCTTTATCTATGGAATGGTGAGAATCCTACAGCGTTCAGGATTTGGGGCGATGGGCTTGCTGATAATCTACCAGGTCGTGCCGATTCTTCCCACTGTCCTCCGGACGCGCGCCTCTATCCCCGATGATGAATGTGTGTATTCCCTGCCCAGGACATAGGTGGACGTGTCTGACGCTTTCAACCTCAGTGCAACAGTGGATGTCGATTCTGCTAGCGGCGTTTGGCGGGGCCCTGTTTATCGGCGCACGTAGGTCCGGTATTCCGTTGGATTCTGCAATCGACTGACTCCTCGACAGCCATATTCGGGTACTGCGCAGACCGAAGCACGTCCAGACGCGTCCCCTTCATCATCGGTCTGCTGGCTCTCGCAGGCTCTACCGTCATGTTCTGGGTCGCCACGACGGTCTCGGCGCTCGTCATCGCGCGTGTGCTGCAGGGTCTCTCCGCGGCGGTGGTGTGGACGGTGGGGATGGCGCTCGTCGTGGACACGGTGGGACAGGATCAGCTCGGGTCGGCGATGGGGTATGTCTCCATGGCTATGACTGTGGGCACGGTGTTTGGTCCGTTTATCGGGGGGACGGTGTAAGTGTGGATAACCTGTGTAGTTGTCTCGTGCTGACCGATGTAGTCTGACGAAGCTGGGCTACCATGCTGTGTTTGTCATCGCCATCGCAATGATCGTCCTGGACATTGTGCTTCGACTCTTTATGATCGAGCAGCGGACCGCCGCCCAGTGGCTGCAACCTGTGTCCTGCAGTGAAACCGAGAACTTGTTGGGTAGAACAACTAGCTGTGATGTCGGGTATGGTGCAACGAGTGGTCAGGACCAGCATGCAGAGACCCCAGTTGCAACGTGCACTGCATCAACAGAAGGGAATCTTGAATCCGGCTCCAGTCGCCGCACGTCGTCCGTACCGGCTATCGTCCGTCTGCTGTGCTCCGGCACCATGTTAGTTGCGCTTGGAGCAACCATCGTGGACGCCATGATCTGGGCATCGTTCGACACGGTACACCTCCGCCAACATACCCTCATTCCCATAGCAGCCACTAAAGTGTGTATGTCCAGGTCCTCCGCTCTAC